GTAGTTTCAGTAGTATTAAAATAAAACTACATTTAGCATTTCTAAGTACAACTAGGCAAATTTTAAAGACATTATCCAATAGGGAAAAATGTATTACTATATTAATACTAAATAAATAAAACCTAAGTCATTTCTATATACTGAATATTATTTCCAGCATCTGTTAAAGAAGGAGACTGGAAATGCATAAATTATTCAAATTATTAAGTAACTGTATTAAAACTCCATAAATAAACATCTCCGCTCTTTGAATCTCCAACTCCAAACATATTAATTTTATTCAATACATTTAAATAGTATGGATTTGACAATAGTTTCATTAATGGTTTAAATGTTTTTTTAGAGAAATTATAGATAATTAGACTGTAATCACCACAAACTATTATTAGAAATTTATTATCGTCAGTATGAAATAATTAACCAATTATTGAGCCAGAACAATCGGATGCTTTTATCAAAATTAATTTTTAAATAAATAAATAAAATAATTTTAAAAATATTTTATTATTATTTTTTTAAAATTAATGAAAAAAAACTTTTAACTTGTTGGGATAGGATTTGATATTTCATTAGTTTATTTTCATCTAAAATTAAATGAAATTAATTCCCATTTTGAATTTTATGTTTGATTTTATTGTAAGATTACCTATTGAGTATTTGAATGAAAGGTCTATAGAATTCCAAACAAAAATACTTCCATTAAGAGCTATTCCAACGATTTCTTAATCTTCTTAGGAATAGAGAGCATAACTAGTATTTTGATTATTTTCTTCTACTTTATCAGAGAGCAATTAAAACTATTATTAAGAGGTAATACTTATAGCATAAAATAAGAAATTTTCATTATTTTATTTATTAGGTATTCCTACAATAACCCAAACAGCTTGATTAATATCTTAGTAGGGATCAATATTGAAGCTTATTGAATCAGTATCAAGATTTATCTAACTTAAATCGTATACCTGTTTTTTTTTATATTTATAATAACTTTAATATTTTTGATTAAGATAGAAAGAAAGAAATAATTACTTAAGGAGTGAATGATGAGTCCATTACTTTATAAAATGCTAAGTATGTATCATCATGCATAGCAATAAAACAAGTATCACAGTTTTTTACAGAAAAAAATGTATTTTATCTTGCTTTGATTGACTAAATAAGAGGATAAGTAAGGATAGATTTTAGGTTACTTGGAGAATCTTTAGTGACTAAAATTTCATCTTATGTAGTAGTTACAGCAAAGTATATTTCTTAATTGAGTTAGAAACTAAATGTTTTTGTATACCATATAGAATTTAAAGCTTAAGTTTTATAGTACAATGGTTAAAGTAAATTTATTTTTGAAATTTTATTTTTACCAAAACGAGTGAGCGAAGTGTCTGTACTATATGAATAAACAAATATAGCTTATTATAATTCTTAATCATCACTGTATGGTATTAAAAACTATTGACTTTCTTCCAAATGATACCATTCATATAATAGTTTTCCAGGTGATTAAATAATAAAAGGTTGATTGATATTAGCAAAGCTAAAAGAATCAAATGTATTTGTATTCTAATTATAGACAAAATTTAAATCTATTCTATAAATAAACTTTTTGCTACTACTACTTATGTATAAACTGCCTTAATTATTTTAAGAATTTATAAAGCTAAAACTGATTACATCTTATATTGAATCTGAATCACCAATTGGTACATCTATTTTTTAAAATTTTAAGAAATTTATAATGAAAATTATTATTATATTTAATCTACAATCAGTCTTGATTAATTTTATCTAATTCGCTTATAAATTAATGATCTAGAAAGCATTGATTTGACAATTGGCTCCTGCTAAAAATATAATATCATAACTCTAGTGGAGATCTATTAAGTAATAATCTTAAATTATAAAATAAAATAGAGTGAAATACTATTCTTTAAAAGACTTAAAAAATTAATTATACTATCTTTCTAATAATATCCATTGAATGAGAATTCAAAAGTTTTAAAATCAATTGACCAAGTGTAAGCACCTTATTAATCAACTACTGCTATAAAATTCTAACCATTTTAAAGCTAAAATAACTTTGCAGAATTAATAATATTAGTACTGTCAGATTTAAAAGCTAAAATATTCAAAGATAGAATTTATTTTCCTTCTACAAAGTCAACAACATATAATAAATATGTTGCACTTTTTAAGACACAATATTTAGATCCTTTGATGAAATGCATACTATCTAAATCAGCGAATGGTAGCGTTTATTAAGATTCAAGAGTATAAGGATCTGCGTATATTAGCTATTATGAATTCAGAGCTAAAATTTGATTTCTTTCTTGTACATACTCCATTTGAAATATAACGTATTTAGCTTTAATAAAATAAAAATTATTTTATAAAAGTATAAACTATTTATTTAAATTTACTCTAAACAGTATTCACAATATTATCAATTTCTCTAGAAATATCATTGTAATATACTATACTCTAAGACTATGTATAAGTAATAATACGTATAGTGTTTATCAAAAGTATATTAGTGTTAGGCAACTTCAAATAATTAATAGGATAATAGTTCTCAAAATATTTAGCCTCTGTTTTTTAAAATTTATATCATAATGAATTAAAATATTAATTTAATCTTACGGTGCTGACGAGAAAAAGCTTAACATATTTAAGCATTTAAGTTTTGTATTGATTACAATAAGATTATGACTGTTAAATTCAAAGTAAAGAATGATTTACTCATACTAATTGATATTTTTTAAACCTTCTATTATTACTATTGTTAATTCAAATATAAGTTTTGAGATAAGATTATTGAATTATTTTGTGGAGAGTTTTTTAAATAACCTCAAATGTTTATCAATTATTATTTTTGATGTTTCTTATTCTTATCTTTTATTCTTATATCTCAAATTTAGGATTTAAATGTACACTTCTATTATTGAAATAAATCTAAAAAAACTAAAAAATATTCTTTCAACCTTCTATTATTCTGTTTTTAATTCAAATATAGGTTTTGAGATAAGATTATTGAATTGCTTTGTGGGGAGCTTTTTAAATAATTTCAAATGTTGATTAATTATTATTTTTTATGTTTCTTATTCTTTTCTTTTACTATTTTTAATTAAAATGTAGGTTTTGGTATAAGATTATTGAATTATTTCGTCGAGAGTTTTTTAAATAACTTCAAATGTTTAACTATTATTATTTTTGAATTTTCTTATTCTTTTCTTTTATACTTATATCTCAAATTTAGGATTTAAATATACACTTCTATTATTGAAATTAATCTAAAAAAACTAAAAAATATTCTTTCAAACTTCTATTATTCTGTTTTTAATTCAAATATAGGTTTTGAGATAAGATTATTGAATTGCTTTGTGGGGAGCTTTTTAAATAACTTCAAATTTTGATTAATTATTATTTTTGATGTTTCTTATTCTTTTCTTTTATTCTTATATCTCAAATTTAGGATTTAAATATACACTTCTATTATTGAAATTAATCTAAAAAACTAAAAAATATTCTTTCAACCTTCTATTATTCTGTTTTTAATTCAAATATAGGTTAAGATTATTGAATTATTTCATGGAGAGTTTTTTAAATAACTTCAAATTTTGATTAATTATTATTTTTGATGTTTCTTATTCTTTTCTTCTTATATCTCAAATTTAGGATTTAAATATACACTTCTATTATTGAAATTAATCTAAAAAACTAAAAAATATTCTTTCAACCTTCTATTATTCTGTTTTTAATTCAAATATAGGTTTTGAGATAAAATTATTGAATTGTTTGGTGGGGAGATTTTTAAATAATTTCAAATGTTGATTAATTATTATTTTTGATGTTTCTTATTCTTTTCTTTTACTATTTTTAATTCAAATATAGGTTTTGGTATAAGATTATTGAATTATTTGGTGGGAGTTTTTTAAATAATTTCAAATGTTTATCTATTATTATTTTTGATGTTTCTTATTCTTTTCTTTGTATATCTCAAATTTAGGATTTAAATGTACACTTCTATTATAGAAATTTATCTAAAAAAACTAAAAAATATTCATTCAACCTTCTATTATTACTATTTTTAATTCAAATATAGGTTAAGATTATTGAATTATTTCGTTGAGAGTTTTTTAAATAACTTCAAATGTTTATTATTATTTTTGATGTTTCTTATTCTTTTCTTTTATCTACAATATGTTAGCAATTATTCACTTAGCAAGTTAAGCACTATAACTAATCTGCTGTTAAATAAAAGTTATTCTAACAGTTTTAGCATTTATTATATGATCCTATGTATTGCTAACAATTATTTACTTAGCATGGTAAACATTAGGATTGGTCTGCTGTTAAATAAAAATTATTTTAACAGCTTTAGCATTTACTGTATGATCCTATACATTATTAACAATTATTTACTGAACTAGGTAGGCATTAAGACTAATCTGCTTTTAGAAAATAGTTATTCTAACAAACTTAGCATTTATCATATGATATTTAGATTATCAAAAGAGAAATAACAATAGGGGCTTTTTTAGATCAGTAGGCAGTAAAAACCTCTCTGCCTACTATTTTTTTCGCCTTCCAAGTATTTCACTCGGAGGGCTACTTTTTAAGACTTTTTAAAAAACATTTTTAACAAATTTTTAATAATATATTACCAATTTAGGAAGCACATTAGGTATTTCAAATATAACTACTACCTAATAAATTAAATGAAAATTAAACCTTATAAATTTTAAACTATATATTTAAGTTTATATCGTTCAAATTTAATTTAATTTAAAATGAACTATTAATAAAACTATTTAGAAAATTAAAGTTTTAATTCAAATTAGTGGTTGATTTATGATATATTTGTTATGTTTCTATTATGTTAATTATTTATATATTAAATTAGTTAAAAAAAAAAACTAAACCCAAAATAATATTAAATATCAGTTTATTTTTTGAAAAAAATAATATAATAAAAACATTTTAATTTTTTTAGTCGAAGTAATATTTCATAATATATTTATTTTAAATTCTTAAATAAAAATAATTAGTTTTTTATTTTACTTACAGAATAAATAAAGCTTAATATTTAATATAAATATATTATTAATAGGGAAAAACGAAATTTAAAATTAATAAATCTTTTTAGTTAATAACAAATAAATAATATATATTATTAACATTTAATAATAATTTTCAGATATTTAACATATTATCTATTTCATATTCAGTAAAATAAATTAAATTATTATTTTTATCCACCTGGTTAATAGAATTTCATTTTATTAATTCATTAGAGTTATCCTCTTTATCTTTTAACTCTCTTTCTAATCAATTGCTATATTTAATTTTTTAAATCCTAATATTTAATTAAAAAATTTAATGATTAAAAAAAAACTATTATATATATTACATAAAAAAGTAGGAGATTAGTTTATCTAGCTGCTATATACATTATTTGGACTATTTTCATTATCTTTATCAAAGTAATCGCATTCAGTGTTTAAGTTTTGTTAATTTACAGTATCTAAGTATTTTTGTTTTAATTTTATTAATTTATTAGAGTTATCCTCTTTATCATTTTAACTTTCTATCTAATTCATTACTAAATTTAATTCTTCGAATTCTAATATTTAATTAAAAAATTTAATGATAAAAAAAAACAATCAAAAATATTACATAAAAAAATAGGAGATTAGTTTATCTTGTTGGTATATACAGTATTTGGGCTATTTTCATTATCTTTATCAAAGTAATCACTTTCTGAGTTTAATTTTTATTAATTTTTAGTAGCTAAGTCATTTAGTTTATTTTATTTAATAGTCTAATTAATCTACTAATCTTTAAATAGTCTTTTATGATTTTTACCTATAAATTAAATATATTAAATATAACAAATGACAAGAGTTTTAATACCTATTTATATCTTAACACCAGATAATAAGAGATCATACTTTTGCTCTTCACTAAGATTTAAAAATTCTTAAAAAATTCTTTTTATTTTAGCTTTCAATTAAGGATTTAATTTTTATTTTTGAAACTTTTGAACAAGCAACTTTGTATAAGAAAATTTTTAAAAAAATGAAATGATAACATTCTTAAATTATATTAAAAGTCCTATAATAACTCTTTTAATTACTAAAATAATAAACCAAGCATTGATTGTGATTATAATTATAATAGAAGTGATTACATAATAATTGAAGGGATTATTGTAAATGAATAAACAAAGTAATACAGAAACTGCACACACGTTTGTTTGATAGAAATCAACTGTATTGTACCCACTCAAACGATAGGGTTATAAAACACTAGATGCTATCCCATAGAGAGTAATCATCATAAAAATTAGCACTCCTTTAATATTAGTTTCTTGGGAATAGAAGTTAAGAATTATAATGATTAAAATTTTTTCTAAAATTTTCACGAATTCCCAATAATAATTTTGGCTTTTATACTCTTTATATAAAAAGCCATATTTCTTATATACTTAAATGTTTTGCAAGTCATTTTTATTTTTGTATAGTAAATAAAAAAGTCCAATAGGTATAATAAAAGCAAACACTAATAAGCAAGGAGCTACTAAGGTAGAACTATATCTCTAGTGCTGGCTAGTGTTGCATTCATAAGTTATATTATAGAGTATATAACTAGAATCTCCAATTACCCTACATGAAAGAATAGCTATCATTTGAGAAACTAAATCAGGCTAAACTAAAATAAATATAAAGATTGCAGCAGTACAAATAGAATAATAACGAACTTTTATATTTGTAAATACCCTTTATAAAATTAAGCTAAGTATAAACACCATTAAATAGCCAATTGGAACTATGAGAGTAAATAGTAGTTTAAGATATATCATTGGTATATCTGTTTACATATCTTTTAATATACATTCAGCAGAATTCATTTATTATCTTACAGGTGCTCCTAAATACTATGAAGTTTCAAATACATCTTTTGTTGATAAAATTTAAAATATTATTTTCATCTTAAAAAAATTAGTTTATATAAATAAATAATCTTGATTGATAGATAAATTAATAATTTTAAAATTAAAAAATTTTAATTTTTTTACCTGTAGTTATTTTTATATTGAAAGTAATAATTGATCCTATTATTTGTAAATAGTTAACTAATACTTTAATATAAACACTAGCTTTTTCTCCATTTCGAGATTTTCTATCTTTTTGGTTATCATATTTGACATTTAATTTAGATTAATATTTAGTCCCTTTTAAGGAAGTGCTTTGATTATTCTTTGATAAGTGTCTTTTCAGAGCTACTTAATAAGCATTTATTGTTTATTCCTCTAAGTCTCCTTTTATGGCAAGTCGAATTGAAAATAAAGTCCAGATTACTATTAAGATTGCTTTCCACAATAAAGTACTCAATTCTTTACATTACGCACATTAATAAGATCCAATTTTAGAATAGCTCTCTCCCCAATAGCTTCCATAAATCTTATTAATTTTAAATTTATTGTTAAAGTAATATTTAAAAAGTTGTATTTACATCACATTATTCACATAGAGGTCCTATGTAACCTTCTAAGCATACTTAATTCCCATAAGTATTTCCAATACAGTTTGAAGGCTTATTTACACATTCTATAACTAGAGGACTACTTTCATTTTTTCTCCAAAATCCTTAATTTACATATATAATTCCATTTTTGCATTTTGCTCCAGAAGGACATGAATAACATTATTGTGTATCGACAGAGTATTTATCTTAGTCACAGACAACACATTCTGTATATGTATTGTAAAAATTCTGAGTTTCACCATAATTACAACTTCTAAAATAAACTTCTAATTCATAAGAATAGTTTGACTAAAATTAATTAGTTTATTTATTTAAAATTTTTATAACATCAGATTTGAACTCAATTATTGCTTATGAATTTGGAATCCCTATTAATTACATACCTTAAAAAACAAATTATTTTTATTTTAAATCTACAAATGCTGTAGAATTTCCTCTAATGTAATAATTTGATATATTTTTTGTTTTGCTGCTAAATTATGCTTAAATCATTATTTTATCAGCATCTAATGGAAATATTGGTTTAGCAGTTTAATCTCTTAGCTAAAAGATTATATCTGGAATTTATCCTCCACTTTTAATATTGGATAAAATTAAAGAATTAGTTTACTAATTGAAATATTTATTTAAATCTGTTGTCATGATCAAACCTAAATGATCAGGATATGAATTGATATTATCTCCATAAAGAATGGCCTAGTTATTCAATATAATGCTTTAAGAGTCTATAACTGGATTTATACCTAGATTATTAATACATCCTCCGGTAACTGCTTTGTTATTTGATAGATTTGTTTTATAAATTTTGATCTATTACTGTACTGTTGATTCATTTTCTGAGCTAATAAATAAAGCCCCACCACTTCCATTTAAAGATTGATTGTCAGTAATTTAGCAATTAGACAAAGTTAAAGTAAAAATCTATTAATTGTATGATTAAAAATTTTAAATTATTTAAAAAAAAGAAGTATTACATCATCTTTTTAGGCTATTAAAAGCATAGCTCCTCCATCTGATATGGCAGTATTTTTAATCATTTGAGTATTTTGTATGTAGTTAAGATTAGAAACCAAACCATTAACTGATATAGCACCACCGTTATTGGCCTATTTTTAATAAATATTTAAATTACATAAAAGCTTGTATGATATTAAATTATTTTAATCACTTTTGATTCTAAAAATATAGAGTCAGATATAAAAAATTGTGTTTAGTTCAACTAAAGTATAGAGCCAAAGCATAGCATGCAAATTATTTTCTAAAATATTGTTTATTATTATATTTATAATTTAGATTAATATAGTGATATAAGTGCTCCTGAATTTATCAGAGAAATCTAGGATTGTAATACTCGTTTTGAGGATATCTAATTTATATTTATAAATTAGGAATCTTCAATTGTTAGAGATCCTTAATTGACACTAATTAAGTATGTGGAAAACGTAGAGTCTTTAATTATTAATCTTTAAATTATAATACTCGTATTAATACCATTAATTAGAAGAGGGGAAGTATTTTGTAAATTTTTTATTATTAAATTTTAAAATCCACAATCAACAATTGAGAGCATAGATTTTTAAAGTTAGAAAAATGACACTGATTAGATGTCAGATAGCTTAGTTATTTGATTCAAATAATCAGGATAGGTTTAGTTAAAATTATTATGAATATTAAAAAGAGTAACATTAGAATTTTAGATATTCAAAAAATATGAGTTGGCCTAGCCTAAAATATTGGTTAACTCTCCTTCATAGAATAGAATCTAGTTTAATAAATTCTAATTTTCTGATTATCTGAATATTGATTAAAAAAAAAATTTAATATTATATTTAATTTTCTTTATTTTATGGTTATAACTTTATGTTGATAAATATTTTTATCGAATCCATTGATTAAATGTGCACCTGGTGCTCAAAAAAAAATCAAAATTTATAAAGCAGGTAATAGGTGTGCATAAATTAAAATTAAATGAGCATTTTTAAAATTTTTGATTCCGCTCACTAGTGCGCATTTATACAAAGTTACCATTTTTATCTTAAATTAAAATAATTTACATTATTGAAATTGAGGAAGAATAAGAACTAAGTGTATAGATATTACTAAAGTTAGATGATTTACACACAAAACTTAAATTTGAGTTTTGTGAATTTATGTAAAATGCACCACCATCATTCTAAGCATAACCTTCTACAAAAGAAGATTTTTCTATAAAAATATTTGTTTCTGAACTAAGACTCTCTAAGTAAATAAATGAGCCTTAGCTTGCTGTGGATTGGCTAAAATTTGAAGAAAGAATTTATAAATTGCTTGATTTAGCCCTTAAGCAACCTCCTTATTATATTAAAGTTGTTACATTATCTGTGATATTAAATGAAGATTGCTTGCAATTAGCATTAATAATAGTTATATTAAGACCAACTATATATTGAAAATTAAAGATACTACTAGATACTGAATTAATATATTGGTTATTAACTAAATATATAGAACCTAATGGATTAATTGCCTGAATTGCAGAAGTTGAATAAGTTTATGTATTAGGATTTGCATTTAATCTATTTTAGCTAAAAATTGAGTTGCTTATTGTTATATTAGAAGTATAAGTGGAAGTAATAAAAATTGGATTAGCTTAGGAGTTAGTTTAAATTTATTCAAAATATGAACTTGTGATAACTACTTTTGATAAATTTATTACCGAATTTGTGTAAGCATAATTTTTTATTACTAAAATAGAATTACTTATTGCTTTTATATAGCTTGATTATAGATTAGTTATGCTAATCTTTTTTATTTCATTTAAAATTAAACATCCACCATATTCTCTATTGACTAAACTATCAAAAAATTGTTTATCATTTAAGCAAGAAATATTGCTAATTGAGACTAGAGAAGATTAGGATAATGAACAAAATGCTATTTCTTATTGGTTTTTTACTGTAACTTCTGTTATTAAAACTGAAAAAATTTGTTCAGTTAGAACTAATTAAGTAATTCCGAGGTAGATGTCTGATTAAACTTAAGAAGAGGGAAAGTAAGAATTATCTGTGAAATTTAAATAACTCATATTTAAAGTGTGTTAGGGAAGAGGATTTATTGAATAAATAGCATCAAAAAAGAGATAATTGTGTGTTGTATAAAATGAGTTATTGTACATAGTTATATTCTAGAACTAAAATGTTTAATTTTTTTGTTAGATTGTGCTGGCAGTTGAGAATATCTATAAATTACAAAACTGATTATTGGATATAGTCATATTAGCTACATTGAATTCACCAGCTTCAAATAGCTAACCAGAGAATTGTGGATAGTAAATTTAATTTATATCGCATAGATTATTTTAAATTATAAAAGTATCAATAATAACATTAACATCGCTCTATTAGGTTAATATACTGAATTTTTCACTTAATTTACAACTATCTATTAGAATATTTTAAAGTGCAATCTATTTAATATAATAAAAATATTTTATTTTTAATTTAAAATTAAAAAAATTACCTATTAAGAATTAACTATTGTTATTAAAGTTGATTTATTTGAAAAATCTAAACTTTTTATGTTTATATTTTTAAAAGTCAAGAAAGAATTATTTATTTAAAAAAAGAAGCAATCAGATGTTCCATCTGTTGAAGATATACTTATGTTATCTATAGTAGCACTTGAAGTAATACCATCAAAATAGAACCCACACTTTTATTAGGAGCTACTAATAATAAAATTAAAAAGTATATCATCAATGCTTAGCATAAATAGACCCGAGAATTGGAGCAACTAATTTACATTAATTTAAGCTAATTGATTATTATTCCAGCTCTAAATTGTTAAATTTGTTTATGCAAAAACTTACAAAGTTAGCAGTTCATTGTAAAATACCATCTAATTTTAGTTGCTCACTAATATATTAACGTTTAGAATTTCAAATCCGTTTATTAATTCGAAATATTATTTAACCTATTTTTAAAATGAAAATATTATTTTTAAATAGAAAAATACTTTGGTAAAATATTTATTTTAATCTAGAGATTTACTAAAAGTAAAGATGAAATTATACTCAAAGAAGATGTAAAAGGATATTCAAAAGAACCTATCCCATATAGACCTTTAGTATCAGTAGTTTCAGTAGTATTAAAATAAAACTACATTTAGCATTTCTAAGTACAACTAGGCAAATTTTAAAGACATTATCCAATAGGGAAAAATGTATTACTATATTAATACTAAATAAATAAAACCTAAGTCATTTCTATATACTGAATATTATTTCCAACATCTGTTAAAGAAGGAGACTGGAAATGCATAAATTATTCAAATTATTAAGTAACTGTATTAAAACTCCATAAATAAACATCTCCGCTCATATTATCTCCAACTCCAAACATATTAATTTTATTCAATACATTTAAATAGAATGGATTTGACAATAGTTTCATTAATGGTTTAAATGTTTTTTTAGAGAAATTATAGATAATTAGACTGTAATCACCACAAACTATTATTAGAAATTTATTATCGTCAGTATGAAATAATTAACCAATTATTGAGCCTGAACAATCGGACGCTTTTATCAAAATTAATTTTTAAATAAATAAATAAATAAAATAATTTTAAAAATATTTTATTAATATTTTTTTTAAATTAATGAAAAAAAACATTTAACTGTTGGGATAGGATTTTTTTTTTGATTAGTTTATTTTCATCTAAAATAAAATGAAATTAATTCCCATTTTGAATTTTATGTTTGATTTTATTGTAAGATTACCTATTGAGTATTTGAATGAAAGGTCTATAGAATTCCAAACAAAAATACTTCCATTAACAGCTATTCCAACAATTTCTTAATCTTCTTAGGAATAGAGAGCATAACTTGTATTTTCATTATTGTCTTCTACTTTATCAGAGAGCAATTAAAACTATTATTAAGAGGTAATACTTATAGCATAAAATAAGAAATTTTCATTATTTTATTTATTAGGTATTCCTACAATAACCCAAACAGCTTGATTAATATCTTAGTAGGGATCAATATTGAAGCTTATTGAATCAGTATCAAGATTTATCTAACTTAAATCGTATACCTGTTTTTATATTTATAATAACTTTAATATTTTTGATTAAGATAGAAAGAAAGAAATAATTACTTAAGGAGTGAATGATGAGTCCATTACTTTATAAAATGCTAAGTATGTAGCATCATGCATAGCAATAAAACAAGTATCACAGTTTTTTACAGAAAAAAATGTATTTTATCTTGCTTTGATTGACTAAATAAGAGGATAAGTAAGGATAGATTTTAGGTTACTTGGAGAATCTTTAGTGACTACTATTTCATCTTATGTAGTAGTTACAGCAAAGTATATTTCTTAATTGAGTTAGAAACTAAATGTTTTTGTTTACCATATAGAATTTAAAGCTTAAGTTTTATAGTACAATGGTTAAAGTAAATTTATTTTTGAAATTTTATTTTTACCAAAACGAGTGAGCGAAGTGTCTGTACTATATGAATAAACAAATATAGCTTATTATAATTCTTAATCATCACTGTATGGTATTAAAAATTATTGACTTTCTTCCAAATGATACCATTCATATATTAGATTTCCAGGTGGTTTAACAATAAAAGGTTTATTGATATTAGCAAAGCTAAAAGAATCAAATGTATTTGTATTCTAATTATAGACAAAATTTAAATCTATTCTATAAATATAACTAGCGTTACTTATGTATAAACTGCCTAAATTATTTTTAGAATTTACAAAGCTAAAACTGATTACATTATATCCTGAAAAACCAATTGGTACATCTATTTTTTAAAATTTTAAGAAATTTATAATGAAAATTATTATTATATTTAATCTACAATCGGTCTTGATTAATTTTATCTAATTCGCTTATAAATTAATGATCTAGAAAGCATTGATTTAACAATGGGCTCCTGCTAAAAATATAATATCATAACTCTAGTGGAGATCTATTAAGTAATAATCTTAAACTATAAAATAAAATAGAGTGAAATACTATTCTTTAAAAGACTTAAAAAATTAATTATACAATCTTTCGAATAATATCCATTGAATGAGAATTCAAAAGTTTTAAAATCAATTGACCAAGTGTAAGCACCATAATAATCAACTACTGCTATAAAATTCTAACCATTTTAAAGCTAAAGTAACTTTGCAGACACAATAATATTATAAATGTCAGAATTAAAAACTAAAATATTCAAAGATAGAATTAATTTTCCTTCTACAAAGTCAACAACATATAAGAAATATGTTGCACTTTTTAAGACACAATAATTAGATCCTTTGATGAAATGCATAGTCTCTAAATCAGTGAATGGTAGCGTTTATTAAGATTCAAGAGTATAAGGATCTGCGTATATTAGCTATTATGAATTCAGAACTAAAATTTGATTTCTTTCTTGTACATACTCCATTTGATTTATAACGTATTTAGCTTTAATAAAATAAAAATTATTTTTTAAAAGTATAAACTATTATTTAAATTTACTCTTAACAGCATTCACAATATTATCAATTTCACTAGAAATATCATTGTAATATACTATACTCTAAGACTATACACCGCCAATAAAACGTATAGTGTTTATCAAAAGTATATTAGTGTTAGGCAACTTCAAAAAATTAATAGGAATATAGTTCTCAAAATATTTAGCCTCTGTTTTTTAAAATTTATATCATAATGAATTAAAATATTAATTTAATCTTACGGTGCTGACTAGAAAAAGCTTAACATATTTAAGCATTTAAATTTTGTATTGATTACAATAAGATTATGACTGTTAAATTCAAAGTAAAGAATGATTTACTCATACTAATAGATATTTTTTAAACCTTCTATTATTACTATTGTTAATTCAAATATGTTTTGGTATAAGATTATTGAATTATTTCGTGGAGAGTTTTTTAAATAACTTCAAATGTTTATCTATTATTATTTTTGATGTTTCTTATTCTTTTCTTTTATTCTTATATCTCAAATTTAGGATTTAAATGTACACTTCTATTATTATTGAAATTAATCTAAAAAAACTAAAAAATATTCTTTAAACCTTCTATTATTCTGTTTTTAATTCAAATATAGGTTAAGATTATTGAATTATTTCGTGGAGAGCTTTTAAATAACTTCAAATGTTGATTAATTATTATTTTTGATGTTTCTTATTCTTTTCTTTTATTCTTATATCTCAAATTTAGGATTTAAATGTTAACTTCTATTATTGAAATTAATCTAAAAAAACTAAAAAATATGCTTTCAATCTTCTATTATTCTGTTTTTAATTCAAATATAGGTTTTTATATAAGATTATTGAATTATTTGGTGGGGAGTTTTTTAAATAACTTCAAATGTTGATTAATTATTATTTTTGATGTTTCTTATTCTTTTTTTTTATTCTTATATTTCAAATTTAGGATTTAAATGTACACTTCTATTATTGAAATTAATCTAAAAAAACTAAAAAATATTCTTTAAACCTTCTATTATTCTGTTTTTAATTTAAATATAGGTTAAGATTATTGAATTATTTCGTGGAGAGTTTTTTAAATAACTTCAAATGTTTATCTATTATTATTTTTGATGTTTCTTATTCTTTACTTTTATTCTTATATCTCAAATTTAGGATTTAAATGTACACTTCTATTATTGAAATTAATCTAAAAAAACTAAAAAATATTCTTTAAACCTTCTATTATTCTGTTTTTAATTCAAATATAGGTTAAGATTATTGAATTATTTCGTGGAGAGTTTTTTAAATAACTTCAAATGTTTATCTATTATTATTTTTGATGTTTCTTATTCTTTTCTTTTATTCTTATATCTCAAATTTAGGATTTAAATGTACACTTCTATTATTATTGAAATTAATCTAAAAAAACTAAAAAATATTCTTTAAACCTTCTATTATTCTGTTTTTAATTCAAATATAGGTTAAGATTATTGAATTATTTCGTGGAGAGTTTTTTAAATAACTTCAAATGTTGATTAATTATTATTTTTGATGTTTCTTATTCTTTTCTTTTACTATTTTTAATTCAAATATAGGTTTTGGTATAAGATTATTGAATTATTTGGTGTGGAGTTTTTTAAATAACTTCAAATGTTGATTAATTATTATTTTTGATGTTTCTTATTCTATTCTTTTATCTACAATATATATCTAGAAAGCTACCTCTAATAACAATTAATAAAAATTTGAATTACTATTTGAATACTTATTTTTAAATGGATTTTTGATAGCTTTATTAAATATATGTTTCTATATGTAATTAAAAAAAATTTGTCAATTCAAAATAATGAATACACTTATATATAAATTATATTAATAAGAAATAAAATGAATCAATTAATTATTATAATATTTTAAAATTCATTTATAATCTTTAAAGAACAAATATTTAGAATCTTTTTTATATTTAATTAGTTTCATTCTTTTCTTTCTGTATCAGGATTAAATATGATCTACTAAGAATCAAAATAATATTTTGACTTTCTTTTTCTATTTGTACTATCTAGGTTTTAGTTTATGTTATATATATTTGTTTCAGATTATTATTGTTCAACTTTTTAGATGTTTTTACTACTTGGCTGTGTAGATTATAAACTATGACTACTCTTGTAAATGCTTTAAGAAAAAACAGAGTTCCTTTTTCTTCTATTTATTTACCAATTTATTTATTTTTAAGAATTAATTTGTTGCTCGCCTTATACATTAGGAGTTTGGTAGATAATACTAATTGATTATATTTCTTCTTTATTATCTAAGTTCTTATCTAGATTGTTATTATTAACTATATTTTAATCCATATTTTTGTTAAGCTATACAGGTGAGGATTCTAAGATAGCTGGTTATACCTAAGATTTACTCTTTTTATTTTTAATGTACATTACTAGTGATTTAACTAATTGATAAATAGATACTATGAGATCTTTAATAATAAAAATAGTAAAGTATGCTATTAAAAATCCACTAATAGCAACAATTATCCATCCAATTTTCATTCTTGTATCTTCGTTTTCATCTTAACTATCCTTAACTAACAATGAAGCACAAATTTAAATGGCTATCATTAAAACTTCCTAAATAATAAATTACACATTTTCGAAGTTACTTTTAAAAGGAGTCACTACTGATAAGTATATTATTATAAATATGTTGAGAACGCATATAAAGGAAATTTATATGTATGTATAGTCATACATAAAACTTATCACCATACAAAATAGAATTTTTCTGAAGTATAAGACCACATTATAATACTTGCTAAACTTGAAAATTAACTACTCTCTTATAGTTTTTTTCCCTTCTAATAAATTAGTTAATGAGCTAGAAAACGATTTCAATCTTATTTCCGAAAGTGAGGGAGATATTGCGGTAAATCTAGTTCTTTTTCTCCTTAGTGTTTGATTGCGTGTATAGTATCTTTTACCATTATTTAATTCTATAGTTTATAATTCTTCAGGGACCTCAGATATTTTTTAGTTAAATATTTGAGCTAAGTTTTTTACTTCAAACTAGTTTTCATTTTTAACAGATTTTGTTTAAAAATCATCATTTTATAAATCGACTACTTCATTTTCTTTCAAAGGCTTGTCGTAACTTGAAATTTCTGGGAGTTTCAATCCATTTATAAGAGAAGAATATTTTGTCTGAAAATCCTTATCAATACTTATATTTTAATTCTTATATATCTTATAAAGATATAAAAAAGGGATGCCAAAAAATATAATAAAGCAAAGAGAGTGGAATGTGTAGTTTACTACATATGAGTTTTTGTCATCAAAGTTGTAGGTCTTAAATTAAATAAGTATTCCTACAACTAAGTATATGTAGAATGACCAACTCAAATCAATAATTGCTCCATATTCCCAAGTTTCTTTAATAGCTCTTTGACAATAAGAATTGATATATTTGATAGAAGTTTTCGCAAATATTTTAGCTAAAAGATACAATCCGAAACCTGCTAAGTAAATTGTAAAGTATTAACCAGAGTTATTCAAAAAATAATTATCAGTGTTCATTTCCATAAATTTGGGTGGTGACTCTTAATAATAGTTAGGATCTACAATAAAAGAGAAAAGATTAGGCACAAACGGGAAATTAAAGTTTTTAAACAGCTCATAAAATTTCATTATATTTAAAGGGAATCTAATATTTAAAAACATAAGATAGTATAAGAAACCGGTAATATCGAGGGTGTTACAGACGATATAAAAATTTCCAAAAAACACAGAAGGTACAATAGATGATATCAAAGATGTGGATATTCCTTATCCTACACTAGCTATTTATTAAGCAGCCTAAACTTGAGATTAAGACAAATATACATAGGGAATAAGATCTTATGTTTGTGTAACAACAGAAATAGAATTTTAATAGCTAAAACTTTTGTCAATAATTGTTACATTTATTTTAGAGTTTTTTATGTTAATTGACGGATTAATTAAAATGATTATAGTAGAATTAGATTATTATTATAAAGTCATGGTATATTGATTCTAAGTAAAACCAGAAATAGAAATGCTGAATATACCTATTTTAAATTCAATAAAATGTTAGAAATTTTAAAATTATTTTTTTTTAATTCCACTCAAAAAAATTTTTAAAATAAAATTTATTTTTTTAAAAAAATAATTAATAATTTGGGAAAAATAAATTTTATTTACTTAATAATTAAGACTATGCAAGGCTATTTTATTGGAGTTGATATTAAAAATTTAAAGTTATATTGTATCCATTATCTAGCAATTATTATTTTATTTAAAATGAATTTTATTAAGGAGTTGGGATAATTATTAAAGTGCACTGTAATTAATCTGATGAAATTTGATATCCATTATTGCATATTTAGCATGCTTGATAATTATTCGCCAAACATTATTTACAGTTCTAAACACCACAAGGTTAGCATTAAGTTTGTGAAGAATTTAAATAGTAATTTTATTAGCATTATTAGCAAATATTATAATTATAACTTGAGCATTGTTAGCAATTTTTAACTTGGCATATTTGGCAATCAGTGTTATCACTATTAGGTAAAAAGTTATTAAAACATTTCAAGCATCTATTGTATGCTCCATCGCATTGTTAGCAATTATTCACTTAGCAAGTTAAGCACTATAACTAATCTGCTGTTAAATAAAAGTTATTCTAACAGTTTTAGCATTTATTATATGATCCTAAGCATTGCTAACAATTATTTACTTAGCATGGTAGACATTAGGATTGGTCTGCTGTTAAATAAAAATTATTTTAACAGCTTTAGCATTTACTGTATGATCCTATACATTATTAACAATTATTTACTGAACAAGGTAGGCATTAAGACTAATCTGCTTTTAGAAAATAGTTATTCTAACAAACTTAGCATTTATCATATGATCCTATACATTGCTAACAATTATTTACTTAGCATGGTAGGCATTAAGATTTATTAGCTGTTAAATAAAAATTATTATTGCAAGATTGGCATTCATATAAATTCGTTCCACATAAATTACAATTAGAAACTGCGCATGCAACACATGATTTTTAATCAACAGAAATATAATAATTACTTTAACAAGTTTTACAAAGTAAATAATTATTATCTTAGCAAGTAGCGCAATTATTTACAGCACATAAATTACATTAGGATTAATCTGCACTAAGATAGTACCCAGTAACACATTTTTGGCATTATTAATAGTTACTAGAAAGACATTAAGAACAATTAGCTACACTACAAGGAAGACATTAACTCTAATTTGAATTTAGGGATAAATTAGGAGAACATGTACTGCAAGCAAGGGGATTTTGAGAAACACATGCCTAGCAATTTGCAACTATACAAGAATTTATAGATATGCATTGGTTAGTGCTTGGATTTACGACATATTAAGAAATGCAGGTTTAGCAATTAGTTGAACTTCCTTGTAAACAAGTTGCGCAATTTGGTGAAGTACATGGTAATTAGCAAGATAAGAAATCTTAGCTTAATTAATAACCAGAATTACAAATAGAGCACTTACCTTTATTAATTATTTTGTAAATATTAATAATGTAAATTCAAAAAATAAATTTTGTAAATTTAGATCCAATTTAAATGAGTGGTAATTAATACAGTAATCTAATTAATTAATTTAATAAGTAAAATTTGCATCTATATATTTTTAATTTTTCAAATAACAATTGATTCTATTGTAACTTTTAGATATAAATTACTCATTCGAAATTATTAATTTAAAAACAAATTTAATTACCATTAGAAGAGCAGATACTACAGTTAGCTATCTAGCATTAAAGACAATTTTATTAATTAATAGGGTCTATGTAATATGAAGAATTAGCGCATTATAAGCAACCATTTTAATTGCATTTTATGCAATTTTAACCACAACCAGTACAAATTGAATTGCTATTTAAATATTAATTACTATTACACACAGAACCACAAGTATTTGTTGGTGATAAGCTGTATCCAAATTCACACGAATTACAAAATCCATAAGGATAGCAATCAAAACAGTTACTTGTCATGCAGCCACATCTATATGAAGAATGGTTATTATCTGGATAAATTAATACAAATTAATAATAAGGACACTTATACTGAGATAAATTTTCCTATCCAGAACAATTACCATAAGTCTAGGAAGCAGAATCATATAGAGCGCAATTAAAGCTGTAAGGTTAGCAATATGGATAGTCGAAATACTAATCTAATTTTTATATAAAATAATATTTAGTTTATATAATTCCTGCATCTTAATTTTTAAATAAATTACCTTATCCACAAATGAAAAGATTTGAAGATAAAACACAAGTATTATTAGAGAGTTAATAACCTGGTTTGCATTAAACACAAATATTTTCAGATTAGCTTACAGCACATAAATAACAGTTATTAGAGCATCCTTAAGTTTGCTAGCATACTATTTATCCAGAAGGTAGAGTTGAGAGCTTGAAGTCATTTTTGCAAGACTAACAATTTAATTAATTTGTACATATTTTGCAGTTTATTGAGCAGCTCAACCAAATAGAAATCGACTTTATTCCTAAAATAGATGTATTAGGATTACTAGTAATAATTTTAGAGAATGTAATAATTAAATTATTATTTGTAAGTTGATTCTAACCTCTATTTAGACTTATAGAGGCCTTTTAAATATATTATTATTTGCCATTACATACTAAAGTATTTACATCATCGTACAAAGACTAAGAACCTGGGTTAAATGTCTAAGAAACCTATGAATTTATATCTATTTTTAAATAGGCTCCATTATCTATATAATATAAAATATCGACTCCAACTACTGCATATTAAATAAAACTTCCAATATTATAGCTATATACTATATTTCCGCTCACTGTTAACCTAGTGTCGATTACTAAACCAAATTGAGAGGTTGGATCACCATTTAAATAGCAGCTAGTATTGCAATTTGTTATAGCCTATCCATCATCTAATGAATACCAAGTACCATTTGTACCACTTAAACAACTTTGTTAGCTAGGGAAATCTTTTTAAATGATAGATACTTATGAGGCTACTTTTGCTTTTTTAATCGAAGATATTAATTAAATTTTATTTATATGTCAACTAAAATTTAATAATTTAAATAAATAAGTAATAAAATTCTTAAATTACTAAATATTTCTAGAAAGATAAATAGAATAGTTGCATATTTATTATCCATTTCTAACTTTTTTAATACCTTTTGTTAGTTTTGCTTCTTTTAATTAAATTAAACTTTGATTCTTTTTTTACTTATTTTGTTTTTTGATGTAATCAGAAAGAGAAATTTATTATTTAGATTGAAATTCACATTATGATGCAAAGAAAAGTAATTTAACTCTTTATTATAAACATTGGTGAGACAAAAAATCCAAAATAAGATTTAAGCTCAATTAATAATAATTAGTAAGTTAAATTTTTTTTCATGTATTAGCACTTTGTCTATTAAGACATTTATAAATAAAATGAATGATACATCATGTAAGGAATTACATATAAGATTCTCAAATATTAATTTAAAAGTAGTTTTTCCCCCCAACTATTATTATGAATAAATACAACATATATCAATTTTAGAAATTATTAATAAACATTAATATGATCATATTCAAATATAATCTTTGATTACATTGATATATCCATTGATACTGTTTGATTTCTTTTGAAATTAATATTGTAGCTATATATCGAATAAATTAAAAACATCTACATTTAGTCATATATTTTTTAATAACTAAACAATTTAAATTTTGGTTAATAATAAAAATGATTTAAGAGTTTATTAAAAATATAAAATTAGAAAATGTATATCATTTTATTTAGTATTATTTTTAAATTTGAATAAATATAAATTTTAAATTAATTTGAGGAATATAATAATATAAATTAGTTTAATATTCTTTAAACAAAATATTATATTTTGGTATTGAGAAAACTTTTATGAGTTATAAAAAAATATTCTACAAAAATTTATTTATTTTATAATATTTAATAATATTTATTGTTGGTTCTAATACCTTTTGATTATTAACAAATAATTAAGCTAAAAATGCATCATATATATTTTCTTAAATAATACACAATTTTATTTCTAGATATAAATTTGTAACAAATAAAAAAAACTTTTAAAAATATTTTAAGTAATTTATAATTTATTTTTTTTCTTTTTAAAAATCTCAATTTTATATTTAATTAGAATTTATATTTATTAACTAGAGCAAAAATTAATATTAAAAAATATAAATATTTGAGTAAATTACTTTATTATTTTGCTTAATAATCTATAAAATATTTATATATAATTCTTTGTTATTAATTAACATTTATTATTCGAAATATTTTTAAAATATACTTTATTAATTAAAGAATATTAAATTTCATATTAATATTTAATTAATTAATTAATAAACTTACTTTTTGATTAGATATTTTTAAGAAATATACTATTTTACATAACTTCAATTTATTTTATTAGGTTTATTGATTCTAATTTTTTTCTCATTTTAAATTATTATTTAATTGCTTGTATAATTTTAATTTTTAAATAATATCTTTGATATAAAAATATTTTTAATTTAAAATTTTTCTAAATTAATACATATTTCAGATGTAAATTCAACCCTCCTCTACTAATGATTGATGAAAAGATTAAAAATTTTCAAAAATTAAAAAAAAATTAAATGCTAATTTTTAAGAATTTTCAAACAATAAATTCTTTTAATTAGAATTTTTATTATAAAGTAACAAAAAGCTCTAATTTCTTAAAATTTGCGCACTACTATAACGAATTGCAAATTTTATTTTTTCTTTCCAAAATTTATAAATTAGTGATGTTACCTAAACTAATATGAGTTATAAAGTCAGCAATTTTACATAGTTTTATCATTATTAATTTATTTTCTAATATATGTTTATAGTTTTTAAAATAAATTTAATACACTTATAATTAATTTTTCAAAATTTAAATTAAATTTAAAAACCCTAACACATAAGGGAACCCTACAGTTTTCAAATTTGGATTAGTTATGATTGGGATTGATAACATGATGATATTTTTTAATAAATTAAGTATTAATATCTGATAAGCAAAAATAAAATTTATTAATCCGAAAAAATATAAGCATTGATAAAATTATTAAAACAAAAAAAATTATACTCAGTTAATCAGTTAATTATTAGTTAGTATTTAAATTGATTTATTAAGTAAAAATGAACATAAATTCTATTTTTATATAACTAGTTTCATTTTTTTGTTTCTTAATCAGGGCTAATTATGTTGAACTAAGAATCAATAAAATATTTTGACCTTCTTTTTCTATTAAAGCTAGTTAGGTTTTAATTTGTGTTAAATACATTAGTTTGCAATTATTGTGTTTCAACTTTTTAGATACTACATGGTTGTGTAGATTATAGGCTATGACTACTTTTGTAAATGCTTTAGGAAAAAACTGAGTTCCTTTTTCTTTTACCTATTTACAAATTTAATTATTTTTAAGAACTAATTTATGGCTAGCTTTACACATTAGGAGTTTGATAGATTATACTAGTTGATTATACATCTTCATTATTGCCTAAATTTTTATCCAGCTTGCCATTATTAAATATATTTTAATCTATTTCTTTGTTTATTTATATAGGGATTGAGTTTAATATAGCTGGTTATACCTTAGATTTACTTTTTTTATTTTTAATTTATATGATAAGTGACTTAACTAATTAAAAAATAGATACTATAATATCCTTAATAATAAAAAGTGTAAAATATGCTATTAAAAATCCACTAATAGCAACAATTATCCATCCAATTTTCATTCTTGTATCTTCGTTTTCATCTTAACTATCCTTAACAAGCAAGGAAGCACAAATTTAAATGACAATCATTAAAATTTCCTATGTGATAAATTGTACATTTTCGTATTTACTTTTAAATGGAGTCAATACTGATAAGTAAATTATTATTAATATACTAAGGATATTTATCAAGGTAATTTAAGTGTATGTATAGTCATACATAAAGCTTATTACAATACAAAATAGAATTTTTCTGAAGTATAAGATCACATTATAATACTTACTAAACTTGTAAATCAACAACTCTCTAAAAGATTTCTTCTCTTCAGAGAAATTAATTAAAAAGCTAGAAAACTATCTCAATCTTATATCTGAAATCTAAGGAGATACTGAGGTAAATTTAGTTCTTTTTTTAGTAAATTCTTGCTTGTAAACACTAAATTATTTACCATTATTTTATTCTATTACTTCTTATTCTTCAGGAGCCTCACATATTTTTTAATTAAATATTTAATTGAAGTTTTTATCTTCAAATTAATTTTCGTTTTTAACAGACTTTGCTTAAAAATCATAATTTTATAAATCTATTACTTCATTTTCTTTCAAAGGTTTATCATCACTTGGAATTTCAGGGAGCTTTAATCCGTTTATTAAAGAAGAATATTTTGTTTGAAAATCCTTATCAATACTGATATTTTAGTTCTTATAAATTTTATAAAGATAGAAAAAAGGGACACCAAAAAATACTATAAAACACAATGAGTGGAATATATAGTTAACTATGTATGAGTTTTTGTCATCAAAGTTGTATGTTTTAAATTAAATAAGTATTCCTACAACTAAGTAGATATAGAATGACCAACTTAAATCAATAATTGCTCCATATTCCCATGTTTCTTTAATCGCTCTTTGACAATAAGAACTTATATATTTTATAGAAGTTTTAGAAAATATTTTAGCTAAAAGATACAATCCGAAACCTGCTAAGTAAATTGTAAAATATTACCCAGAATTATTCAAAAAATAATTATCAGTGTTCATTTCCATAAATTTGGGTGGTGACTCTTAGTAATAGTTAGGATCTACAATAAAAGAGAAAAGATTAGGCACAAATGGGAAATTAAAGTTTTTAAATAGCTCATAAAAATTCACTATATTTAAAGGGAATCTAATATTTAAAAACATAAGATAGTATAAGAAACCAGTAATATCGAGTGTATTACAGATGATATAAATATTTCCTAAAAACATAGATGGTATGATAGAAGATATCAAAGTTATTGATATTCCTTATCCTACACTAGCTATTTTTTAAGAAACCTAAATTTGAGACTCAGACAAAAATACATAAGGAATTAGATCTTATGTTTGTGTAACAACAGAAATAGAATTTTAATAACTAAAACTTTTGTCAACAATTGTTACATTTATTTTAGAGTTTTTTATATTAGTTGAAGGGTTAATTATGATAGTTATGGTAGAATTTGATTATTGTTATAAAGTCTTGATATATTGATCCTAAGTAAAGCCAGAAATAGAAATACTGAATATACCTATTTTTTATTTTTTTAAAATTTGAAAATTTTTAAATTAATATTTTTAAATTCTAATCAAAATTATTTTCAAAGTAAAAATTTGGGAAAAATAAATTTTATTTACTTAATAATTAAGACTATGTCATGCTATTTTATTGGAGTTGATATTTAAAATTTATAGTTACATTATATCCATTATCCAACAATTATTATTTAATTTAAAATGAGTTTTATTAAGGAGTTGGGATGATTGCTAAAGTACACTACAATTTATCTGATGATATTTGATATCCGTCATTGCATATTTAACATAATTGATAATTATTTGCAAAACATTATTTACAGTTCTAAACACCACAAGATTAGCATTAAGTTTCAGAAGAGTTTAAATAGTAATTTTATGAGCATTATTAGCAAATATTATAATTCTAACTTGAGCATTGTTAGCAATTTTTAACTTGACATATCTGGCAATCAGTGCTATCACTATTAGGTAAAAAGTTATTTATACATTTCAAGCATTTATTGTATGCCCCATCACATTATTAACAGTTATTCACTTAACAAGTTAAGCATTATGATTAATCCTCAGTTAAATAAAAGTTATTCTAACATTTTTAGCATCTATTATATGACCCTATGCATTACTAACAATTATTTACTTGGCATGGTAGGCATTAGGTTTAATCTACTGTTAAATAAAAGTTACTCTAACAATTTTAGCATTTATTATATGATCCTATACATTATTAACAATTATGTATTGAACAAGGTAGGCATTAAGACTAATCTGCTTTTAGATAATAGTTATTCTAACAAATTTAGCATTTATCAAATGATCCTATGCATTGTTAACAATTATTTACTTAGCATGGCAGGCATTAGGATTAATCAGCAGATAAATAAAAATTATTATTGCATGCTTGGCATATATTTTAATTTGCTCCACATAAATTACAATTAGGAACTGTGCATGCAACACAAGACTTTTAATCTGCAGAATTATAATAATTATTCTAACAAGTTTTACAAAGCAAGTAATTATTATCTTAGCAAGTAGTGCAATTGCTTACACCACATAATTCACATTAATATTAATCTATACTAAGATAATACCCAGTAACACATTTTTAGCATTATAAATAATTATTAGAAATACATTAAGAGCAATTAGCTACACCGCAAGGAAGACATTAAGTCTAATCTGAATTTAAATAAAAGTTATTCTAACAATTTTAACATTTATTATATGATCCTATGCATTACTAACAATTATTTACTTAGCATGAAAGACATTAGGATTAATCTGCTGTTATATAAAAGTTATTCTAACAATTTTAGCATTTATCATATGATCCTATACATTGCTAACAATTATTTACTTAACAAGATAGGCATTAGGATTAATCTGCAGTTAAATAAAAATTATTATAACAATTTTAGCATTTATCATATGATCCTGTACATTGCTAACAGTTATTCACTTAGCAAGATAGGCATTAGGATTAATCAGCAGATAAAAAAAAATTATTATTGCATGTTTGACATAAATTTAAATTTGTTGCACATAAATTACAATTAGGAACTGTGCAGGAAATACAATTTTGCTAATCTGCAGAGATATAATAATTACTTTAACAAGTTTTACAAAGTTAATAATTGTTATCTTAGCAAGTAGCGCAATTACTTACACTACATAATTTACATTAGGATTAATCTATGCTGAGATAGTACCCAGTTACACATTTTTGACATTATAAATAATTACTAGAAATGCATTAAAAGCAATTAGCTACATTACAAGGAAGACACTAACTCTTATCTGAATTTAAATAAAAATTTGAGTTGCATTAGGAACACTTTTAGTAATTATTTGAAAGGCAATATAAGCAATTTTGTACAGCACATGATAAACATTAACTGGAATCTGAATTTTGGTAAAAGTTAGGAGAACAGGTACTGCAAGTCAAGGGGTTTTAAGAAACACATGTCTAGCAATTAGCAACTATACAAGAATTTATAGATATGCACTGATTAGTGCTTGGATTTACTATATATTAAGAATTACATGTTTAACAATTAGTTGAACTTCCTTGTAAACAAGTTGCGCAGTTTGGTGAAGCACATGGTGGTTAGCATGTTAAGAAATCTGAGCTTAATTAATAACCAGAATTACAAATAGAGCACTTACCTATTTATTAATTCATTTGATATTAAAAAAAATAGTTTCGTATTTTTGGAGTAATTTAAATGAGTGGTAAATAACTCTTCAATTTAATTAATTAACTTATTTAATAAAATCTAAATTTATTTATAATCTTCAAAAAATATTTTTTATTTTAAAAAACAGAAATTACTCATTCAAATTATTAATTTATCAATATTATTTACCATTTGAAGAGCAGACACTACACTTATCTATCTAACATTATATGCAATTTTATTAATTATTAGAATCTATGTAATATGATGAATTCGTGCATTGTAAGCAACCATTTTAATTACACTTTATGCAATTTTAACCACAATCAATACAATCTAGTTAGCTGCTTAAGTATTAATTACTATTACATATAGACTAACAAGTATTTTATGGTGAAAAATTGTATCCATCATCACACGAATTGCATGATCCACCAGGACCAACAGGATAACAATCTATACAATAACTCATCTTGCAACCGCATCTATAAGTAGAGTGGTTACTATCCGGATAAATTATTACATATTGTTCATAAGGACAACTATACTGCGCTAATGTTTCTTATGCAGCACAACTACCATAACTATTACCAGAGTAATATTAAGTACACTATTAACTGTAAGGTATGCATGATCCAGATTCGAAATATTGACCTAATTTTATAAAAACAATTTTATTTTTTGTAATTTTCAATTTAATTTTTAAGAATTAAATTACCTTATGCACAAGCTTAACTTGAAGCAGGTAAAACACAGTTACTATTAGAGAGTTGATAACCCGGTTTGCATTATGCACAAACATTTTCAGATGAGCTTACAGCACATAAATAACAGTTATTAGAGCATCCTTAAGTTTACTAACATACAATTTATCCTGAGGGAAGTGTAAAGAGTTTGAAGCCATTTTTGCAAGATTAGCAATTTAATTCATTTGAACATACTTTGCAGTTTATTGAGCAGCTCAACCAAACTGAAATTGACTTTATTCCTAAAATAGATGTATTAGGGTTACTAGAAATAATTTTAGAGAATGTAATTTATAAATTATTATTTATAAGTTGATTCGATCCTCTATTTAGACTTATAGAGGCTTTTTAAATATATTGTTATTAGCCACTACATACTACAGTAATTGCATCATCGTACAAAGATTAAGAACCTGGGTTAAAAGTCTGAGAAACCTAAGAATTTATATCTATTTTTAAATAGGCTCCATTGTTAATATAATATAAAACATCTACTACAATTACTGCATATTAAGTCAAACTTCCTATATTATAGCTATATACTATATTTCCGCTCACTGTTAATCTTGTGTCAATTAATAAGCCAATTGGGGAGCTTGGGCTACCTTTTAAATAGCAGCCATTATTGCAATTTGTCACAGCCAATCCATCATCTAGTGATTACCACGTACCATTGGTACTACTTAAGCAGTTATATTAAAGAAAGTCTTTTTTAATGATAGATACTTAGGATGCTACTTCTCCTATTTTAAATCAAAATATTAAATAAATCTTATTTATATGTCAACTAAAATTTAATGATTTTCATAAATCAGTGATAAAATACTAAAGTTACTAAATATTTATAGAAAGATAAATAGAATAGTTGCGAATTTATTAAGCATTTCTAGTTTTTGAATATTATTTATTAGTTTTCCTCTATATTAATTAAACCAGAATTAGAATCTTTTTTTATTGATTTTGATTATTGATGCAATCAGAAAGAGAAATTTATTATTTAGATTGAAACTCATATTATGATGCAAAGAGAAGTAATTTAACTCTTTATTATAAACATTGGTGAGATAGAAAATCCTAAATAAATTTTAAGATCAACTACTAACAATTATTAAGTTAATTTTGTTATTATGAATTATCAAAATGTTTGCTTTTAAACCTTCTTTTTCTATGCAAATAAAATGTCAGATTTCAATAAAGGAATTAAAATATATCAAAGCAAAATACTTAAATATTATTTAATATCCCAACCCTTAATCATTAAAATTTGTATTTAATAGAAATAGATGAATTTAAAAATTTATTAATATAGATTAATTTAAGTGTCTTAAAATTAATCATAATTTTTTTAATATATCAATTAATACTGTTTGATTTTTTTTGAAATGAAGATTACAACCACTTAGCCAAAATATTACATATATCTTATTTTATATTATATTTTTTTTAATTCTAATTTAGAAATTCAAATTTTTTTAAATAATAATTGTGATCTAAAAATATATTAATGATACATAGTTATAAAAATTATATTATTTTTAACAATTTTTTTCAAATATAAAATATATTTTGAATTAATTTGAAGGATATAATATATTAATTAGTTTTCTTATTTAACAAAATATCCAATTTAATATTATAAAAACTTTTTGAGTCAGAAAAATTTATTCTATTAAATTTTATTTATATATTTTTAAATTATCTTATTTGCTCGAAGCATATCTTTGAATATTAATAAATAATAAGATAAATATTTATAATTATGATTTTTTTGAAAGATTGTATAAAATTGTATTGCTAAATTTAAATAAATAGCAAAAAATTAAGAAAAGCTTAGAGAATATTTAAATATCTTTCATTTTTTTTCTTCTAAAAATCTTAATTTTATATTTAATTAAAGTGTATTAATTAATTAGAGCTAATACTTTTTATTCTAATATATAAATATTTTTAGAAATGATTTTATTATTTTTGCTTGATAATTTATAAAATAGTAGCATTTAATTGTTTGTTACTTATTAAAATTTTTTGTTTGATTTTTTTAAAAAATAGTACGATTTACCTTAAATTAATTAGTTTTAGTAAAAGAATTCAAAATCACTTAGCTTCCTGAGCTAATTTTAACCTTCTTATGTATTTAAATATCCAGAAATTTAATAACTGAATACTCTTACTAAATTTTTTTTATTGATGAAGGCTAATTTACCAAAACAATATTAAAAAGTTCTTGAAGTCTTTTAGGAAAAATCTATTTTAGGCTATTATTTTTAGTTTTTCATTTAATTAGAATAAAACCTTTTATCATTTTTCTGTTAAAGAGATCAAGATTTTTGATTTTTTGTATTAAAGAAGTCCTTTTATGTAAAGTTCAATAAGTTTCATCAATTTTTGAAATAAATAAAAGAATGAAATATTTTACATATATATACTATTTCATAAATTAACTTTGTCTACACATAATTAAATTTTAAATTTAAATAATATAAATGTGATAGATTTGAAAATATTAGCTAGCTAAATTCAATCATTTGAGGAATTATCACTATCTTAAGTAAAATTTATTAAATCATCCTATTTATTTTTACTTTAATTTTATTCATTATTAAAATAATTAATATCTTGCTTTCCTTCTTCTTGAGACTCTTTGAAATCTATGGCTATATCTAATGGCACTAATTCTAGAAATTATTTTAATACAAATAAATGAAATTTTATTAAGTAAAATTTTACCTTATTAATTTGAGGATTTACTGTTATAGTTTGTAAAAATAGTTTAAGGAGCATTCCCTTCAATATCAGAACTATTTTTCTTTTAAAGTTTATGCTTTAACTAATTTTCTTCGTCTAAATTAATCTTTTCACTATTCTTTTCTTCTTAATCTTTCAAAGAATTTTTAAATAACCTAGAGTGATCTCTCTCTTAAAAAATATTTAAAATTAAAAATAATAAAAATTAAAATTAATTTTACTAATTTATTCTTTTAATCCTGATAAGAAAAGTTCATATCTTTTTTCCTCATCAAGTTATGAAAATAATAATAATTTTTATTTTATTTTAGCCTTTAATTCAGGATTGAATTACTTATGGTATTTTTTTATTAATTTTTAAGTAAATGAGAATTTTTAGCCTATTCTTAAAATGATATCCTTGAATTATGTTAAATATCCTTTTACTACTCTTTAGATTATGACAGCAATAAACCAAATATTAACTAATATTATGGCTATAATTGAAGTAATTACAAAATAATTAAAAGGATTATTATTAATAAATAAACACAGAAGTACTGTGATAGCACATACGTTATTCTAATAAAAATCTACTAGATTATAGCCCTATTGGCTATAAGGCTGTAAGATACTTGAAAATATTCCATAGAGAGTTATTATCATAAACATTAGTACACCTTTAACATTTATGTTTTGTGAATAAAAGTTAAGAACTATTATTATCATTATTTTTTCAAACATTTTTATAAATTCCCAATAATACATTTCTTTTTTATATTCTCTAAATAAAAAACCATATTTTTTATTGATTGATATGCTTTATAATTCTTTTCTATTTTTATATAGAATGTAAAATAACACAATTGGTATGATGAATGCAAACACTAGTAAACTAGGAGTAACTAAAATAGTGCTGTATTTGATATGCTAATCAGAATTACACTCGTAATTAACATTGAAGAGAATGTAACTTGTATCACCAATTTATCTGCAAGAAAGAATGGCTATCATTTATGAAACTAAGTCTGGTTAGACTAAAATAAATATAAATATCATAGCAGTGCATATTGAATATAAATGAACTTTTGTTTTTGTAAATATCTTTTAGAAAACTAAACCTATTATAAAAGCAAATAAATATGCAATTGGTACTATTAGAGTAAAAAGGAGTCTAAGATAGATTATAGGAATATCTGTTTAAATATCTTTTAAAGTACAGTCAAGGGAATTCATTTATTACTTTACTGGTGTTCCTAAATACTGGGAAGTATCAAAAATATCTTTATAATTATAAATTTAGCTTAGATATATTAATTAAAATTGAAAAAGATTTTTTTTTGATATAATTTTAAATAATAGTTAATAATTTACTCGTAGTTAATTTTATGTTAAATGTCACTATTGATCCTATAATTTACAAATAATTAGTAAATACTTTTATATAAACACTAGCTTTCTCTTCACTTATAGAACTCTTATTTTTATGATATTTCTTCATAAATTTTTTTTTCTTTTTACGATATTTCTGCTCGTTAGTAGAGATCTTTTTATAATCTATTGTTGAATGTCTTTTCAAAGCTAACTAAACAGCTATTATTGTTTATTCCTCTAAATCTCCTCTTATAGCTAGCTGAATCGAAAACAATGTCCAAATTATTGTTAAAATAGCTTTCCACAAATAAGATCCTAAATCTTTGCACAATCCACATTGATAAGATCCTACTTTAGAATAGTTTTATCCCCAATAACTTCCATAAATCTTTTTAAATGTCTAAATTAAATTTGAAAGTTAAAAAAAATTATTTTACATCACATTCTTCACAAAGAGGTCCTATATAACCTTCAAAGCATACTTTATTACCATAAGTATCTCCAACACAGTTTTATGGCCTATTTATACATTCAATTACAAGAGGACTACTCTCATTTCTTCTCCAAAAACCTTAATTGACAAATATTAAACCATTTTTACATTTTGCTCCTTAAGGACATGAGTAACACTATTAATTATCTAAAGAATACTTATCTTAATCACAAACTATGCATTCCTTATAAGTATTATAGGAATTCTCAATTTCGCCATATTAGCACCTCCTGAAATAAACTTGTACTTCATACGAATAGTTAGATTCATATTAGTTAGTTTATTCATTTAATATTTTAATAGCATCAGATTTGAATTCTAAGATAGCATTTGAATTAGGTGTACCTACTAATTATAAATCTTAAAATAGAAATTACTTTTATTATAAATCCACAAATGCTTTGGTATTTCCTCTAACATAATAATTGGATATATTATAGGTTTTATTGCTGAATTGCACATAAACATTTATTTTATTAGCATCTTTAGGAAATATTGGTTTACTTGTCCCATCTCTTAATTCGAAATATAAAAATGGTATTTGTGATCCACTTTTAATATTTTTTAGAGATAATTTATTTGTAGATGAGTTATAGTATTAACTTAATTCTGGTGTTTCTATTAAATTTAAATGACTAGGATATGAATTATAGTCATCACCATATAACTCAGCTTAATTTTCTTATATTATACACTTTGAATCAAAGCTTGGGTTTATAACTTAATTGTCAATACATCCTCCTATAATAGCTTAATTTTTAGTTAATTTAGTGTTTTAAAAATTTATAATTTGTTATTTTGATGATTCACTATCAGAGCGTATAAACAAGGCACCACCATTTCCTGTTAAAGCTTTATTTTCTGTTATGCTACAATCAGATAAAGTTAAACTAAATACCTATTTATTTTATAATACTATCATGAGTGTAATAAAGTGTTGAAAACTTACATCTTTTATAAGTGCTTTAATATATAAAGCTCCTCCATTAATTAGTGCTGTATTTCGTATAAATTATGTATTATGAATTACACTTTATTGAGAAGATAATCCATTAAGTGTAATTGCTCCACCATTGTTTGCCTAATATAAAATATTCTTTTTTATATTTAATATTTAATTAAAATAATTACTTTAGAGTCTTAGAATATAGCATCTTAAATGTTAAATTAGGTACTTACTAACTATAAAGTTGAACCAAAGCACTAAATACAAGAAATTTATGAAAAAATAGATTATCCTTGCACAATTAATTTTGAAGATGTAAGTAAAATTAAAGAATTTCCTAAAAAATCTATTTGATTAGTTGCCTATAATATTCTTTTGTTATTGAATTATGTTATATTTATAAATTAAGAGTCTATAATAGAAATCTATCCTTAAAGTGAGCTTATTAGGCTTGTATAAAATGATGAGTTTTATATAATTACTTACTATAAAGTTATTTTTGATAATGTGGAATTTAGTAAGATAGGGATACTTTATTAATAACTTTTTACTGTAATGTTTTAGAATTTACAATTTGATAATTGAATTGTCGATGATTCAGTTTAAAGAAATAGTACAGATTAAAGATCTGTAATTTTAAATATAGTATTTAAATAATCAGGATAAATTCCATTAAATCCTATGTTTTCTATACCTTAAATTGTGATATTTGTATTTATAACATCTGAAAAAACTGAATTTATTGGTCCAATTATATTTTTATAAATTCCTTAGTCAAGTATTATTGAGTTTGTTCCAAGTGTTTTTTATGATTATCTATAAATGTTTAATGTTTAAAATAAAAATAATTTTTATCAAATTTATAAAATAAGTTGATTCTAGTGAATGGGAATAAACTAAAAATTAACTAAATATTAAATATGAAATATTTATTTACTTGATTGATATTGAAGCTGAGTTACTTTTAAAAATATAAATATCACTAAAATTTGATTTTTTACTAACAAAATTAAAATTAGAGTTCTAAGAATCTATATAAATTGCTCCACCATCTTCAGCATAACCTTCTTTAAATAAACAATCTTCGATTGTAATATTGATTTGATTACTTATATTCTCTATATAAAGAAAAGAACCTTTATTTGCAGTAGATTAACTAAAATTAGATGATTAAATATTTAAAAGTTATGTTTTAACTCTTAGACAACCTCCTAACTAAACAAATTTTGATTAGATGTCTTATAAATCAAAGGAGGATTACTAAAAGCTTATTTAATTTAAAGTAACATTCAAAGCTATTAAATATACGAAATTATAAATTGAATTTGATTTTGAATTATTAAATTAGTTATTAAGTAGATTTATTGTTCCTAATGGATTTTATATTTGTATCGCAGTGGTGGATTAAAGTTAAGGACCTTATAATCCATTTAATTTATTTGAATAAAATTATGATGAATCTATTTTTATATCTGAATAATTTATAGATGTTATTATAATTGGATTAGCTGATGAATTAATTTAGTTTTATTCAAAATAGCAATTAAATATTTAGATTTTTTAAAGAGTTATTAATGTATTTGTGTAAATCTAATTTTAGATAAAAAAGATAGAGTTATTAATACTTTTTATATAGCTTGATAAAAGATTAGATAAGGTGAGTTATTTCACTTCATTAAAAATTAAACATCCAGCATATTATTTTTAACCTAAACTGTTATAAAAATTTTTTTCATTTAAGCAATTAATATAGCTGATTTAAATAATTTATGATTTTGATATGGAGCAAAAGGCTATTTCTTGATGATTTTTCATGGTGATTTAAGATAAATTTACACTTTGAATTTTTTCTAACAGAACAAATTAAGTAATTTCCATATTTACTTCTGTTTACACTGTAGAAGAAGGCAGATAAGTATTATTATAAAACATTAAATCGTTCATTATTAGGGTGTGTTAAGGAGCAGGATTAATTGAATAGATTGCATCAAAAAATAAATATGAAGCCGTAGTATAAAAATTATTGTTTGATAAAGTTATTTTATTGAATGAAAAGATATAATTTTTCTATTCTATCGTGCTAACAGTTGAAAATATCTTTAAATTGCAAAAAGAATTACCAATAATAGTCATATCGGTGATATCATATTATCCAGCTTCGAATAACTCACCTGCAAATGACAATTAGTTTAAATTACTTACATCACAAATATTATTTTGAATTACTGCAGTGTTAATTATAACTTTTACATCAGTTTATTAGGTTAATATACTAAAATTCTAAGATAGAGTGCAACCATCTAAAATGAAATTATTAAAAGCAATCTAATTATAGTAAAATTAATTAAATAAACTTAACAGAGTTTAAATAAATGTTTAATAAATTACTTTTTAAGAATTTTAAATACTAATCAACTCATAATTCTTTGAAAGATCTACATTCTTTATTGTAATATTGTTTAAAGAAACATAAGAATTATCAATTATAATCTAATAGCATTCTGATAAATTATTAGAAGAAGATATATCAATATTGTCTATAATAACCCCTTACTATATATTACTGAAAAGTATTCCACATTACAATTAATCACTGGTTTGATTTATAAAGTTAAAATTTAAATTATTTAAGCTTAGCATATTTAAACTAGAAAATTAAATTTTTTATTTAGTATTTATTTATGCTTATTTGTCAGAAAACCAACTTTATAATGTCAAATTTGTTGATTTAAATGTTTAAAGATTAAATAGCTCATTATAGTAATTCATTTAATTATGACTATCAAATAAAACAAAAGCTTATAAGTTTTGAAAACCATTAATTAATTATATTTATTGCTAAACCTTTTTTTAAGTCAAAATAATTTTAGTATTAAAACATAAGGAAAAATAACTCTTACTTATAAAAATGCTGATATTATGCTATAAGATGAACTAAATGGATTATCTGCTGTGCCTATTCCATAAGAGTAATTATTTACAGCAGTCTCAGTATTATTAAAATAAAAGTTCATTTAGCAGCTTAAGCAACTTGTAAGGTTATTTAAACATGAACCAATAGGGAAAAACAAATTACTGTAATAGTACTAAATAAATAAAATTTAATTTTATGGTAAATACTACATATTATTAGATGTATCACTGTATAGAGGAGATTAGAAATGCATAAAAAGCTAAAATTACGAACTTGTAGTATTTAATTACCATATGTAAACATCACCACTATTTTAATCTCCTAAGCCAATAATATTTTAAGATTCAAAAGAGTTGATATGGTATGGACTTGAAGCCAAAGTAATCAAATATTATGTTTAACCTGTAATAAAATTGTAGCTGATTGTTTTATAATCACCACAAACCATTATAATAAATTTATAATTACTTGTTTGAAATAATTATCCAATGATTGAACCAGAGCAATTAAACTAACCTTTTGATAAAAAATTTAATTTTTAGAATTAAATATTTAAATATTTGTTTAAATCTATAAGAAATATCTAAATAAATTTGAAAAGGTATTTAAAAATTTTATTATTTTTTTTGTTGTTGAATAATTATAATTACCTATTTGCAGTTTATATTTAAATGATTAACTTACAGCATCCCAACCATATATACTTCCAAAAACGTCTACTCCAATAATTTCTTTATCAATAATAGAATAAAGAGCATAACTAGACAATAACTAATTATCTGTTAAATTGTTAGAAATGAGCTTGTAATACTATTTATTATTTATATCTATGTTATAAAATAAACAATTTTCTTAGTTGTCTTTGTATGGCAGACCTAAAATACACCAAATAGAGTTATTACTTCCAAAATAGCATTCTACATTATAATTAATCCTATCAAATTATAAATTTAAAGGAGGTTGCCCTATACTAAATCCCTAAATAATTTAATTAGAAAAGAAATATTTAAATTAATAGATAAAAAATACATACTTTTCTAGAAAATGAGGTAATTTAGATTTAAAAGCTCACTAAATAACTATCTACCATACTTACAAAACAATTTTCGCAACCCTTAACAGAGAGAAATGTGTTTTGTCTTAATTTTATTGTACCATTTATTGGAACAATTTATATTGGTTAGTTACTAGGAGAGTCTTATGTGATATATATGTTATTGACTTTAGCTACTGCAAAGTATTAATTTTAATTTAATGAGAAACTAAAAATTTTAGTAAATCCTCCAGATGTATAAGCTAAATTATTTATAAAGTTTTAATTATTGTAAAATTATTTTTAATAAATAAATTTAATATTTTATTAAGAATAATAATTGTTTTATTATTAATAAAAAATACTGTAAATCCTCAAATCAAAATAATGGCTGAAGAAGAAAAGCTGTTTTAGAAACATTTTATAACATCCAAAAATTGAGTAAAAAACAGACAAGGGGGTGGGTGTTAATTAATGAGAACCTACAGTATTTTATTTTATGTAAGACCATCTTAAAGATGAATATCCAGGAAAAGGTATAATAAACGGATTTTAGATATTTTAAAAGCTAAAATTGTCAACATTATTAGTGATTTTGTTGTAATTTATCTACAAATCTATCCTATAAGCTAGGTTATTATCGCCTAAAAATAAAGAATTTTATCCATTTTATAAAGCTATGAAATTTAAGCTTTAAAATACTGTATTTTAATTTGCATTTTAAAGACCTAATAATATTAATTTTGTAAAAATATAAAAATTTTATTAAATAATTCTAAAGATACTTTGTGTTAATAATAGTTTGATTTGTTTATTAGCTAAATCTACAATTTAAAAAGCGCTTATTTGATAATATGTACCAGCTAAAAATAAAATATCATAACTTGAATGAAGGTCAACTAGTTTATATCTTGAAGTTCCATCACTATTTTTTTCTTTAAAAAAGATTAACTTTTTAGTAAATGTTTTAATAAATTAAATACACTGCTCTTATATATATCCATTAAAGGTGAAACTTAGAGTTTTAAAATCTATAGACCAGGTATATGCTCCTTTCTAATCAATTACAGTGATAAACTTTTATCCATTTTAGAGTGAGAAAAATTTAGCCATATTTATAGTGTTGCTAGAACTAGAATTATATGGCGAAATATCTAAAGCTAATATCTGTTATCCAGCAACAACATCTACTACATATATGAAAAATAAGTATGTTTGAAGGACAGCATAATTAGATCCTTTGATAAAAGACATTCCTTTTAATCTGCTAAATGTAAGATCTTATATTGATTCAAGAGTGTATGGATCAGCATAGATTATTTTCTCTGCATTCATTACTAATATTTGATTTCTTTCCTAAATATACTCCATCTAAACAATAATGTAGTTCGCTAATAATTTCAAAAAACGAATACTATATAAATCATAAATAAAAGTAAGAATTGATACGTTTAACAACATTGATTATATTGTCTTTTATATCTGTAATATCATTATAAAAAACTATGCTAGAAGCCTCTGCACCATTTTAATAGACAATATTGTTCACCAAAAGTATGTTAGTATTTGGTATTTTTAAATAATTAGATACTAAATATCCATCAAAAAACTTAGCTTCTATTTAATAAATGGATGTTAAGTTAATAACATATGCAAATATTTTAAAGGTTACAGTGTTGTCTAGAAAATTTTGGACAAAGAGAAGCTTTATGCTATTAGAATATCAAAGATATTAGAGTAAAAATTTTGAAAAAATCACTCTTTTTCATTTTTTTGTATTAAATATGATATACCTCTTTACTTTTTTATTAAAATAAACAAATATCCTAATTTGAGATATACTAATTAGCTTTGTATTACTTGTATATATGATAAGTTATTTTAACTAAGTAAGCATTTCAATCACTCATTTTGATAAAGATATTTATTTTTACAATTACATTTCAATATTCATTTCTCAAAAATTTTTTTTTTGCAAACAAAATAGCGCAACACATAAATAGGTCACAAAATAAGTATTACCACTGATTCATTAAAAAGATTTATTATTTTTCTATTAAAAAAGTTTATATAACATCTTGGCTTTAAAAAACACAACAATTATTAATAATAATGATTGAAAGAATTATTTAAAGAAAATTAAAAAAAAAAAATCTTTGTTTAATGACTAAGGTATTAAAAAAAGGCATAAAACTAATAGGATTACTAAAAATGATTAAAATATAATAAATAATCAAATAAAAAAAAGTGTTTTGATAAGAATAAGAAATATAAAAATTAAATTAAATTAACACAGTAAAAAATATAAAATATATTCTACTTTTTTGATATTTTTGTTCATTCTTTCTTTTTCCTATTTATTATAAAAATGTTTTTATTTTGAAAATATTTTAAAGATATTTTACTATTTTAATCAGTTTTACTTTTCCAAGTTTGAGTTGATTGTATTTATGCTAAAAGACCTATCGAGAGATTTATTTTAAACCTATTACTCCTAAAAATTTTAAGGAAGCTATTATGATTTTATGTTTAGCTTTTTAGATTATTTTGAATACTTTTATAATTCTTTTTAGTTAACTATATTAATATTATAAAAAATTACATATCAATAATTTAAAATATTTTTTACATTATCTATGTAGAGATTTCAATTATAGATTATTTTACTCTTCAATGTGTATATCTGTTTCTTCTTAAATATTAAAATTATTACAATCTATCTTAAAATTATTCTAACCTATTATAAATAGTTTAAAAATATGAAAATTTAGGATATAAGATTTATAAATCCTACTTTGAGAATCTAATGGCTAAGTATTTTTATCATAAATTTAATCATCTTATTTTGTAAGTTAATCTAAGTTTTATATTATGGGCTATTAATTTGAGGATACTGGACTAAGAGTTAATAGGTGAGTCATAAATTTTTATGATTCCTCTTCTTACTACTTACTATCTTGTTTTAATAACTCATTAGGATTTTAAGATTTTAACTTTTTGAATTATTCTAATTATTATCATAAAAAAATGAAAATTTATTTTTTTTGAAAAGCTATTTTACTTTGATTTCTAAAATAATCTAATTATAAATCATTTTGCTCATCTAAATCGCTAATAGAAGCTTTTACACTTTTTGACTAAATAGAATTTAAAATTTTGGCATTACCCAAAAAATTTTTGCAATTATTTTCATTATTACTTTCCTGTAAAGTTTAGAGTTTGACATTATCTAATAAATATTTAAATTTAAATATATTAAAATATTATTTAATTAAATAAATACCAGTTTGGAGTTGATCTTTTAAGGAAATTAGGATTTATTTTTTGTCTTCTTTACTTTATTATAAGAAGGAGGCTAATGACTTTTAAATTTTTAATTTTAGCTATTTATTACTCAATTTTACTAACTTATTTGTTTGAACTTATTAATTGTTTTTTGTTAAGTATTTATTTATAAAGTATCCACAGTTCTTTATAATTTTCTCTATATTTTCTTTTAATATTTTCTATGTTATCATAAAAATAAATCTTAAATTAATTAAAACAATTATTGCATAAGATAGATAAATGTAATAATCATAAGTATCATCGCTACTACTAATGAAAACTCCTAAATAAATGGAAGCAGCAAGAGTAAGTATAGAATTTAATTCTATTTTCTAAATTTCTTCTTCATTGTATGGATTGAATTTTTTTAACAAATAAAAATAAATAGCAATAGCTATTAACATCAAATTGCCTTTGACTTGAGCAAATTTAGAATAAAAATTCTATAAAAATATTATCATTGCTTTGATAAAAAATTTTAAGAACTCCCAATAGTAAAATTTAGGCTTATATTCTTTATATAAAAATCCATATTTTAATTCCTATTTTATAGTATCGATCTTTTTCCTGTTGACAAATAGTAGGAAAAATAAAGTAAATGGTAAAATTAACATCCAGAGTATTAAGAAAGGCACAGTAAAATAATAAGTGTATACATAGTAGTTATCAACATTGCATTAGTAGGATAGATTTTCTAAGATATAACTCTCACTACCTATTTATATGCAAGTAGACAAAGAAAGCATTTAGGTAATTAAATCAGGTGAGTAATATAGAGTTATACAAATTATAGATGTAGTTATCTTATGGTAGGGAAACTGCTTTGTCTTTTGAGTAATTTTCAGGAAAGTAATAAATAGAATAAAAAGAATTAAAGGTATGCAAAGAGAAATTATCAACTTCAAATAAATTACAGGAATCTCAATTTTTAGGCTAACTAAATAACATTCAAGAGCACTTACTGATGTATAGAGTGGAAAAGCTAAAAAATTAGGAAGCAGCAATATTTCTTTAATATATTATAAAAGTAAATTAATTGAATGAATTAAATTTGTATTAGAAAATTACATTTAGGAATATTTAATTTTAGAGTACCTAGAGCACTGATAATAAAAATGTAGTTCATAAATATTTTAATATATACTTCTGTTTTATTTAAATTAAAATTATTTTTTTGGTTTACTTCTTAAATTGAACTTTGAGTGTTAGATTTCTTTTAAAAATATTTAGTGAGAATATTTTAAACCCTTTATTTTTGAGTATTTTCTTCATTCTTTTAAATAATAAAGGCTAGATAGATGATGACAAATAATTAAATTAATATTAATTTGTATAGATATTCATTAGCTTAAGAACATGGTATACAATTATCCTATTCATTTTATTTTGTATATTACTAGTCCCAGTATTTTCCATATATCTATTTATTAAAATTAATTTACCATTAATTAAGATAAATTTTTTTACATCACACTCTTAGCAAAGAGCCCCAATACTCCCTTTTCTGCAAACGTAATTTCCGTATGAACCACCCACACAATTATATTTTGAGTAAGTGCATTCTAATATTTAGTTATCCAATTCACTAGATCTCCAAAATCCCTCTTTACATTTTAAACCTTTGCCAGGTTCACACACTGCCCCACTTGGGCAATCCAAACAAACTTTAGGATCAAAAGAATATGTGTCTTAAGGACAATTTATACATTCTTAGTAATTAGAGTATTTGCTAATAAATTCTCCAGCAGTACAGTTCCTAAAGTTAATTTATATTTGGAAAACAGATCCTGGTTACAACTAATTCGTTTATGGGTCAACTCTAAATATTTAATCAGAATAAAATTCAATAATTCCTATTGATCCTGGTATTCCAATAACTTAAATTTAGTCAAACGAAATTAAGCTAAGCTATGGAATTGTGTTAATTATATATTTGGATTATTATTACCCTCTAATTTAATAATTAATTTAATTTGCAGTTTAATTGCTTATTCTAACTTAGACATAATATGATATTTCTTCAGTTTAAGGAACAACTAATTCGTTTTAATCGTTAGTCATTTAAAAATATATTGAAGATAGGTTTTAACCACTTCTAAAATTTTGTACAATTAATTTAGAATCATTTATCATCTTTGAGCCAGGGTTTTTAGTTAAAAAATCATTTTGATTAACAAAATGAAGGCGAGTTGGGTAAGAGAATGTATTTTATCCATACATTTTTGCCTTATTATTAAGTAAGTTATTACTATCATCAATTACTGGGTTATTATTTTAAAATTAAATTCCACCTCCTATCTCAGCTTTGTTATTTGATATATTAGAATTATTTACAAATATTTTTTAATTATTATCATTCAAGGTTTCAGAATAAATATAAATTGCACCTCCTTTTCCTTTTAAAGATTGATTTTCAGTAAAATTACAAGAATCAATATTTAATTGGAATTCCTATTTTAATATGTAGAATAATTAATTAGTTTGTAAATAAAATTAAAATTATTTACATTGTTAGACTACGAATTAATATTTAATGCTCCCCCATCGTAAATAGAAGTGTTATTTTTGAATTCACAATATTTTATAATATTATTTTATATAGCATTTTCTATATAAATAGCTCCCCCTTCAGTTGCCTAAATTAATAATTGAGATAAATTAATATAAATTTACTTATTCATAATAAATTTACTTGTAAATTTGAAAAGGATGTATTTTTTATATTAAAAGTTGATTCTTAAATGTTTAAAGAGGAACCTTAACAATTTTAAATACATAATATTCCATTAAATGTAGAATTGTTATTGATCTAAAGTATGGCATTGCTTATTTATATCAAAGAATTACTCTACGTAGACTAGCTTAAAGCTACTTACAATATCCTCCTTTTGTTATTCGGTTGATTGATTTAGTTTATATTTGTGAATGAAGAATTATTTATATTTAATTAGCCTTTATTTATTGAAATAAAAGTTGAACTAAATTCTGAATCGAGCAAGTAAGTCTACTAAAGAGTTATTTATGAAGAATATGAATTTATAAATAATGGATTTATTTGCCTCATAAAAAAGTTAGATAATGTACTATTCAAAAAATTAACAAATGATTTATAAGAGTATATTAGAGATTAATCCTAATGTAAAAAGCTTTATGTTTATTTTTCATTTTTAATTGTGTTAATATTTTAAAAACTTAGCTATTAATTATTTACTTTAATGAAATAACCATACTAATAACCTGTTATATTATAGATTAGCCCATAATTAAACTGAATTTATTGAGTTTTCTATACTTAGGTTTAATTGCTATTTAAAAAAATATTAATTACTTAGCTAGGTTATTTTAATAAATTTGATTTACCTAAATGCTATAACTGAAGAACCACTTTAAAAGTTGAAGAAATTTTTAAAATTGCAATTTGAACAAATCATTTAAAAATTTATATTTGATACATCAAAGTAGAATGCACTCCCATCAGAAACTGAATAACCTTCTGTAAAATTAGAATTAGAAATATTGATGCTTAAGCCTTAGCCATAGGATTCAGCATATAGGAAAGAGCCTTTGAAGCTAATAGAATTACTACATGAGATATTTTGAATTTACAAGTCATAGACATTTGCTCTGATAAAACCACCTTCTGTAATTATATTTGATGAATCCTAATTTAAAATCAGCTTTTATTTACTTTCTACTTAAAACGAATCAAAGATTGAGTTTTGTAAAGAAAGAGTTTAAGTTTAAATATATAAATTATTATACTTCGAATTACTCTAAGATTTATAAAACTATGATTACTATATGGTTATACTACCTAAAACATTTTGCACCCAAATTGAAGTAACTGAATAAGTTAAAGCAGACAAAGGTGAGTTTAATATAATATCTTAAAACACACAATTTTAAAATATTACTGTAGATTTTTACTAGGTTAGTATTTATATGGGATTTGCGTTAGAGCTGGGAAGCAATTACAGCATTTATAAATTAGTGAAATTGGATTTATTAATTTATATAATAGTATCATTATATATTTTATTTTCTAGTATGATAAGGGAAATATCCTGACTTATAATGCCAAACACTTATAACTAAACAAGTTGAATATTTTATATTTCTTAAATCTAAAAGCATCCAGCAATTGTTGTTAGCTTTTAGCTTTCACTTGGAGTACCAAAGCAATTAAATTAATTAATATTCATTTATTTAGAATATTGCGATTAAATAAATGATATTTCTTTATGATTAGAAAAATTAACATTCTAAATTTGAATATTTTTTATTTTTTCTGTTTAGATTAAAAAGCTTTTTTAGGATGAAGAATATGCAAATGTGTTTGAATTTAATTAATTCATTGAAATGTAATTGTTATTATAAAATGTTCCATTAGAAAGAAAGAAGTTATGATCTGGCTATGAGAGCTAAGTGTAAAGTACACTGAATAACAAATTTTAATTGTTTAATGTAAATTAATTTGAAAGCATTTTGATATTTTAAAATGAAAATGTGTAGCTAATTTAGGATTATTATGGCATAGAGTCAAAAATCTTAATGTTTCCAAATTAATTATAATTTATATTAATATTCGTTAGATTATACTGACCTGCTAAGAACAAAGAAGAAATCCTTTAATTTTGAATGCTGAAAGTAGTATTATTATTCAATATATTTATTTAAGAACCTTAAAAAATAATGTCGCTTTCACTATACATGATAGCAAAACCTGGATCGAATTAACAGCTTTCCAAGGTAAAATTTTAAATTAACACCTATTAAACAAAAATAGAATGAACAATTTTATTATAATTTGTTTATAAAAAAAATAATTTACTTAGTTAGAACTTTGTATATGAATCAATTAAGGTATTTATGATAGTATTTTATTCTTTAATTAGTAATTTAAAAGCTATAAAAAACCATTATAGACGCTAATCAAATAAAAGTTTTATTGGATAGTTAGATTTTAAGCTGTTGTTGAAATATTATCAAGGATTATATTTTACACATTCTGAAATACTAAACCGCAGGTAGAGGTTTGGAGGTTTTACAAGTCAAAGACAATATTAATATCCTTGAAAGTAATAAAGTTATAATTATAAAACTATAGTTAATTTAAACTAATAACTTTAGCTTAATCTCCATCTCTTAGACTTTTTATTTATAATGAAATTTTCTAATTGAAATCAAAGCTTAAAAACTAATTTTTAATTTCAAAGACGTTATCAGTGCTTACTATAATATTTGCATTTATATTAACTACCCCAATTATGTTATCTGTGTATAATTATGCCTTTATTTAATATTTATTTATTTATTTATTATTTAAAATTAATGTATTTTAATACTTGCAATATTCCTGTGAATAAATTGTTAGAACTCGAGAAAGGTTAGTCAGCTGTGCCTAATCCATAAAACTTGTTTGCTTATTGGTTTTCAGTTACTTAGTAATAATAATCTAAAGAACAATTTAAGCAATTGTTAATGTCTTACAAACAACTGTCAAGAGGTAAATAGAGATCTCGAAATGTATATTAAATCCAAAGAGTATTTTATGATACTAACTAAATAAAAAACACCTATTCTAACAGTTTTTATGACCCAATTTACATAAATGGTGTGAATTGCTTGTTTTAATGATCGTATTTAAATAGATAAGTGATTTCGAAATTACCTCCTATAGCAATTATTCCTATTGATTCAAATACACTAACTACTCTGCTCATAGCATGCATTTAAAAATCAATAATTTTAACTTACTCAGTTTATAAATCTAATATATTTGCTTGAAATGTTTCACATATTGCTATGAAATATTTATAGATTGACTAGTCGCTCTACACATAATGATACATGTTTCCTGATTCAGAATTATAGCAATTAGCTTAATTAATTAATATAAAATAAATAAAGCTAACATTATCATATTAGAAGTGTAATGTAATCAAAATTTGTGAATACTTAATTAAATTTATTATAAAAGAATTTATAAACAATTACGTATTAAAATCCTTCCAGTATTAACTTAATTTTACAAATTCCACTTAAAAACTATTCCGTTTCTGGCAATTCCTACTATTTCTTAACTATTTGTATCTTTTAAAGAAGCAATTGCAAACATAGATTGCAACTAATTATCATTTGGATTTATGGAGTTTAAGCAGAAATATTAACTCTAATCTTATATATTCAATAACTTGAAGATACACCCTAAATTATTTTGAGTATAGGAAACACCAATAGCTACCCATACTTAATTGTTATAAAAAAAGGGATCCAAATTGTAAGTCATTGTGTTGATTTGAATATTATGAGCGCTTAAAGATATGTACTATTTAATAAATTTTTGTTTTTTAGAAATATTTAAAAATTTTTAATTTATATTTAACCTAATAAGTAGAATTAATTGGAAAGGCTAAAGTTGTGGCAATATAAAGATTATTTGGATCAGCTTTATTACCAGATTCGTTACAAATGAGAACGTAGCATAATTCGCAACCTTTAACTGAAAAGAATGTACCGTGCTTGAGTTAGACATATGGTTTAGGAGGATTATTTTTATAGAAAGTTCTTCTGTTATTATAATCTCTATCTGTTACTATAAATCCATGCGGATTTATGTAAATATAGTACTGTGAATTTTAATATTCAAATATATATCTCCTGTTATTTCCATCCGATGCCTATTCTATTGAATATATAATTAAATAAAGAATTGAGAGTTTTCAAGATAAAATTAATTACATAACATCTAAGTAGAAGATTGTGTTTTCATATCAAATAAATAAGCGTAGAATTGATATCCTAATATTAAATAATTCTATTCAGATAAATAAAGCCAAGCACTTGAAGTTTAATTAATTTAGTTAATCTAAAAGAATGTGTTTATTATATTTTTTTGTTCATCTAAACTAAAGTCCATATCAATACTCAGAATACCTACAGAATAATTTACTAGCAATTTGTCTTTAGAATTTGGAATATTTTAATTTTTAGGGATTACAATCATGCCAATTACTTAAAAAGGAGATTATAAAGATTGATATTCTATTTATATAAATTAATATATATATGCCTGTCTTTTTAAGTTTTTAGAACTAAAATAGAGTTTCAATTCAAATAAAAAATTACATTATGTGTAAAATGAAGTGTATTAACTGTTAACAACACTCTAGATTTATATAAATTGTAATTATATATTATTCCCATTTACTATGCAAATAATAATCATATCATAATTAGGATGCTTAACAAATTACTTTTGCTAATTCTAAAAAGCTTTAAATATAAAAATATTTTTAAAATTAAATTCATAAATCTTAATTTTACTTGCTTAAATATAGCCATAATGTTCATGGTCGTATGATTTTAAATCAAAGGTCCATGCTTAAATTCCTATAGTTGTTTAAACAAGCAATACATTTTCTTGATTAGAGAGGATAAAAAAGCTTGAGTACAATCCCCAATAATTGTAAACATAATAAATTAAATAGGCATCAAATATCTTAATAATTTATAAATTATATTAATTTATTATGTATATTTCTAACCCCATTGTTATGACTGCAAAATCTGTATTTTCTATCAAATTTATTGTATTAATGTACTAAAATATAACTTAATTTTGTATATTTAATGTATAAGGATTAGCTAAAATAACTTATTCATTATTCCATGCAAGTATTTAATCAATTTTTTCAATATAATACATCTAATATATCAAGAAAGATGCTAATTAGAAATAATTGAATAATGTTTAAAAAATTTTTTAATTCAAAGTAAAATTTACATTTAATTGAGTTTAATACTTAAAATTCCGTTGATTGCAAGTCAATGTAATACAAAATAGTATTTTAAGAGTTCATTTAACTTATAGTGTTTACAATTAAAATGCTTGTTTTTGGAATTAAGACAAAATTTGCAGGGTAATAATACTCAAAATAATTGCAACCTAATAAGTAAAAATGTGATTTATATGTAAATATCTAAGATATCAAAATATACTTTAAAAGATAATTAGGTTAGGGCATTAGATGCAGCTTACTTAAAAAATATTTTGATAGAAAATCAACAAAAAATTAATGTATTTCAAAACTTATTTATAGCTCATTTATTGTTCCAAATTGCTTTACGTTTTGTTTCTTTTATCTATTTTTTTTTTTTTTTCGTTTATTAATCTATAAAAAATGTATTTAAGATATTTTTTAGATTACTTAGCAATTTATTCATCATAAAATCAATTAAATGCTCAGCTATAAAGTTCGAGTTTTAATTGTTTGTAATTAAAGCCTTATACATGAGTAAACACACTAAAAAGTGGTTATGTATAAAAGACTTTTCATATTTAAAAATATTAATTAAAATAATAGTCATTTTAATCAATAAAAAACTCAGTCCATAATAAATAACTAAAACCATTAAGTTTCACGAAAAAACAACAATTAATTACACATACATAAAGATTAATGAATCTATATTTATATCAATCACAATCAAAAACAAAAATAGCCAAAAAATTTAATTGTTTGTAAACTTTTTTTAGTTGCAGTGATAAATTTATTTTTATTAACTTTATTTTTTCATGAAAAGATATTTATTTATTCTTAAAAGCTATAATAAGATTAAAAATATTAATTTATTTCACTTTTTAAGATTTTAAATCTAATTTTTTAATATTTTTCCATTTTTAAATTCATTTATTTTATTAGAAGGTTGAATTTCATCATTAAATGACTTTTCCTAAGGTATGTTTGACATAGCTTTATAATTAAAAAAAATATTATTAATTTAAGTAATGTATCTATTTAATTATGTTTACATCTATCGCTTAATTTATCTAAGTTAACATCTTTTATTTCTGCTTAAAATAAATCAGATTTTAGTAAATCATTATCTTTAATTTACTATTTATCTATATATTAGAATTTAAAAATTATTGATTTTTTTTTCAAATTAAAAAAATTTATACCATTTTAATTTTATATTTTTGAGCTGGAAATTAAGAAGGGAGATTATTAGTTAATAGTCCTATTAGAATTTAAACCTAATGTATTTTGTAAGTTAACCTATGAGCTATTTATATTGATATCCTATCTTTATGAACTTAATTCTTTCTATTGAGAGAAAAATTAACCTAGTTTATAAAAAGAATATTTAACACCAATCAAATTCAATATTAAGAAATCAATTTTATAAATTTACTTTGGTTATTATTAAAATCCTATTTTACACCTGTTCTGTTATTTAAACCTTTTTAAAAAGATTTTTCAATTTAAAATTCCTAAGAAGTTTGATTTTTAGGAGTAATTATTAAACTCAAAGCATTTTCTTCATTAGAAATTTTAAAAATATCTTTGCTTATATACTTTTAAAACTTAGATTAATTTTTATCTTCCAAAAATTTTGATTAAATTTAGTCTTTGATAGATGCTAATCTGCTTTTTCTTATTTCAGCATTACTCTCCAAAAATGTTTAAAAATATTTTTTAAATCTTTATTTAGGAAAATTATTGATTTATTTTTATATTTTATCTTTCTATTCTGATTTTTTAAATATATTTTTAATTATTTTTAAGATTTTTTTTTAAACTATTAAAAATTTTTGTTCAAAAATTTTCCAAAAAACTAAACTGAAGAAGGCTGTATTAATAATTCCTATTAGTATATATCCTAAATATTAGTAGTAAATAAAATCGTTCTAAATTTCGCTAATGAAAAGTCCTAAATAGATTGAGACAGAGCATGATAAAGTAGACAAAAAGTCAATATGATTTACTTCTTCTTCTTTATAAGGTTTAATAGTTTTGAGCAAATAACCATAAAAAATAATTGATACTAAAATTAGATTTCCTTTTACTTATGTGCTCTATGAATAAAAATTCAAACAGAGTATGATTATTATTTTGATAAACATTTTTACAAACTCCCAGAAATAAGCATTAATTTTATATTCTTTATAGATAAACCCATACTTAAGTTCTAAATTTAATTTTTATAATCTTTTTTTATTTAAAAATAAAATTAAAAATAAAGCAACTGGAAATACTACAATCCATATTATCAAGCAAGGAAAAACTAGGTAATAAGTATATTTATAATATTCTTCATCTGCATAGCACTAATAAGAAAAATTAGCCAGAATATACTTGTTATCTCCAATCTATACACAAGAAGAAAGTGAAATCATCTAAGATATTAAGTCAGGTTAAGTGTAAAATACAATAAACACTATAGAAGTTGTTAGTTTATGCCATGAAAATTATTTTGATCTAAATATAATTTTTTCAAAAATTAAATATAAAGCAAATAAAATAAAATGTAAGAAAGGTAAGCCAAGAGAAAACAACAATTTCAGATAAATTATAGGGATTTATCTATTGCTCTCTACTAAAAAGCACTCAAGAGAACTAACTTATGTACTTATAGGCCTACCAAATAAACTTGGAAATACAATAAAAGCTGTTTATTAATTATTTAGAATTTTAATATTATTCGTTTGATAAATAAAATAATATATATGTACTGTTTGGTAGATCTAAGTTAAGCTATCCTAGAGAGCTTATAATAAAAATATAATTCATAAATATCTTAATATATATTCCAGTTTTATTTGAAATCATAGGATTCATCCTCTAAGATGGTTATGGTATTTCTTTCGTATCAGTTTTATATTTTTTTCTTTCCTTTGTAAAATACTTTGATAAAATAGTAGAAGTTCTCCTCATTAAAGAGTTTTCCTCATTTTTTTTAACTGTATATACTAGAGAAACTAAAGACCATAAGTTAATTAATATAAGCTTATAGATATAATCATTTGCCTAAGAACAATGTACACAATCTTTTTAGTTATTTGCTTTAGTGTATTATTCATTTTCCCAGTAGGAACCATAAATCTAATTAAAAAAATTATAGATAGAAAAATGATTATCAATTTTATATATTATCTGAAATATTTAAAATTCAAGAAAGAAATTTTTTAAAAATATTAATTTTGATAATTAAACTTTAGGCAAAATAAATTTTTTTAAAAATTATGCTTTTAGAAAATTTTAAATTAAAAATTTTTTTTTTTAAATTAATTAGTTTTCTTAAATTAAATTTTCATGGAATTAATAAAATAAACTCAAATTAAATAAGATAAATTTAAAAATATTTAATTTATAAATTTACATCACATTCTTAGCATAGAGCACCTATACTACCTTTTTTACAAATTTTATTTCCATAGCTACCACCTACACAATTCTGAGCAGATTACTTGCATTTCACTATATAATCATCATATTCTCCAGATCTCCAAAATCCTTCTTTGCAAATTATGCCTTTACCTTCTTAACAATATGCTCCATCAGGACAATTTAAGCACACTTTAGGGTTTATTGAATAAGTTCCTTATGGGCAATTTACACATTCCTAGTAGTTATTATACTAACTAATATATTCACCAGCAGTACAATTTCTAAAAAAAATTATTATTTCATATGTTTAGTTTTAAATAAATTTGTTTGTAGAAGGGTCAAGTTAAAATATTTAATTTGAGTAGAATTCTATGATTCCTAAAGAACCTGGTATTCCAATTATTTATAAAGAATCAAATTTAATGATGCTTTATTCTGGTACTTAATTAATTACATATTTCTACTAGACTTCACCTCTAATATAAAAATTGGAAGCATTGATCGTTTTATTACTAACTTTTGCCTCTACATAATAAGGATCAATATTATTTTAAGGTATAAATAATTCGTTTTATTCGTTATACATCTAGAATCTAAGTTCTTATAAACCCGAACCACTTTTAAAATTATTAATTACTATTTTGTTGTTTATTAACTCAGAATTTTATTGTTAAGATAAAAATTATTCTTGATTTACAAGGTAAAGTTTAGTTGGAAAAGAAAAAGTATCTTATCCACATTTTGTTGCTTGATTATTTTGAATATTTGTTTGTGGATCAATTTGAGGATAAATATTAAAAGAATAAAGAGCTCCTCCCTATTAAGCTTTATTTTAAGTTATTTATGTAGACTAAAGAAAAATAGATTAATTTGAATCATTTAAAGATTCAGAATAAATGTATAGAGCACCTCCGTATCCATTTAAAGATGTATTCTCTATGAATTATGTGCTTTGTATATAGATATTATATGTCTTTTTATAAAAATTGTTTAATAAATAATTAAAGATTTAATTTTATTTTACATTTCCTATTTATGAAAGAATGACTAAAGCCCCTCCGTTTTAATTAGAAGTATTATTATAAAAAAGGCAATTATCTATTTTATTTATTTATGTAGGGCTTTGAATATAGATTGCTCCTCCTTGGATACACTTATGAAAAAAATAAAATAAAAATAAGTAAAATGAAGTGATCCAATAAAAATTTACTTTTAAACCAGAAAAAACTGCCTTTTATATAGAAAAATTAGAATTTTAAATTTGGAAAGCTGAGCCGGAACACATGTAATTGCATTCAATATTTTAAAATAGTGAATCACTTCTTACAGTAAGAGTACTGGAGTTTATTTTAATTAAAGAATTTGGATTTTAGCTTTAGTTTTCAACTTAAAGCATTCTATTAAGATTCTATATTAAATATTAGTGCTGTTAAATATTCTTGAAAGTTGAGTTAATTATTTGAAGAGACCCTTAATCAACAGATATGAAACTTTAGGTAAAAAATGAATCTTAAAAGATAGTTTGTGAAATAATCACTGAAGATAGCTAAGAATCGATTAATGACGGATACAATTATTATTATTTTTAATTTGATACTTAGCAATCAACAAATTTTATTGTTGAATTGTAAGAAGACATAAAAGATTAGTATACATTAAAGCTATTTTAGAATGAGTTTTAATTACTAATTTTTTAGATGCTTTCAAAAATTACAGATAATCCTACAACTTTTATGAAATATCCAAACTATAAACCTGTAATATTTAATATACTGCCTTTACTAAATTTAACTAGATTCTTTTATTATGTTTACACATTATTGCTATATTATTTATTTTAAAATAAATTTAACTTTATAAAAATTAATTCACTTAGAAAATTAAAAATAAAAAAACTTGGGTCTTTAAAACTTATTTAAAAAAATTAACTCTACAAATTTAATATTTTAATCAAGAAAAAATAAATTTACTTAAAGGCAATCGCTGAAGATTATTATTAATAGTTGTATAGGTTTTAAAAGTTACATTCCTCACAAGTTAAGTAAAAATTTAAATTAGTAATATCAAAATACAAAGCACTCCCATCTATTACAGAATATCCGTTTGAAAAATTAGAATTTAAGATGGAAATATTTAGTGTTTACCCAAAAGATTCTGTATAGATGAAAGAACCTTTTAGACTTATAGAATTAGTACATGAAACATTTTAAATGATAAAATTAAGCACATTAGCTCTTATAAATCCACCTTGAGAATTAATATTGCTTGTATTTTTACTCTCAACAAGCTAGTCTTTAAGCTAAAAGGAAGATTGATCAAAGATACAATTTTAAATTATTAGGCTTGACGCTTGAGCATATATAAAGTTATAAAGGGAGTTGCTTGTTGAGTTTAAGAATTTAGAGTTATTTATATAGGTGCTTCCTAACACATTTTATATCCAAAGCGATGTTACTGAATTTATTAAAACTGAACTAGGAGATCTCAATTAGTTTTATTAAAATTCACAAAGCTGTATAGTAATGTTTGATTATTATTGGCTTATTATTTATAAAGGATTAAGCTATGAATTAGGGAGACTCTATAACAAATTTAAGTTGCTAAAAACACCTTTATAAATTTAAATAGTTGTATTTTAGTATTATGAATTAGTTATTTATAAAAGCGAATTGTCTTTACAAGTTTTATTATAAACTTGAATCTAATTTAAATTGGCATTTTAGATATCTTTTATTAATAAGCATCCAGCTGTAGTTTCTATTTAATTTGTTTAATCTATAACATCAAAGCAGTTAAATTGGGTAATATTTGCTATAAAAGCATTATATAATTTCATAAAAGAAATTTCATAATGATTTGAAAAATTTATGTTATTAAGCAAAGCATTTTTTATGTTTATATTTTGAATTAAGAAGCTAGTTGAATTTTACTAATTAGTTTATGGATTTAAAACTAGTTAATTTTAGTAAATGTATTAATTTCTAAAGAAATTTCCATTTTAAAGGATAAAAGTATGATCTGGATTTGATAATTAGGAGTATAATGCATTGAATAAAATATGATCACTGTTTAATTTAAAAATGTTTTGTGCCATATTAATGTTTTGAATTGAAAAACTGTAATTTTATTGTGATAAAGATGGCATTGCAGAAAAAATCTTGATATTAATTAAAATATTTTAATTTATGTTTATATCTGTAATATTGAATTAACCTGCTTAAAATAAAGAAGAAATGCTTTAATTTTAAATATTTTATGATGGTTGATTATTTGTTATATTTATGTGACTTCCTGTAAAGAAAACATCACTCTAGGAATTTAATATGCTAAAACCAGGATCTAATTAGCAGTTATCAATTACAAGATTCTAAATAATTATCTAAATAAAATTTTTAAAAATTATTTAAAATATATTTTTTATATTTTCAGGAAAAATAAAGAGAAAATTGATTAAATATTAATTAGATTAAACCAAAAAAAACATTTTTATTAATAAAATTTATTCAATTCTATTTAATTTAAATTGAGTTTAGAGCTTTCAAAAATAAAAATTTGATAGTCTAGATATTTTATAGTTTCATTTAAAATAGAGTTAAAAATTTATTTCTTCTATCAAAATCTTATTATTATTTTTAACCTTTTGAAATTAATTTAATTGTTTGTTACTTATTGAAAATTTAAGACTCATTAATCTCAAAGAAACTTATTTTTTGAAAAATTATTTTTTTCTAAAATAATACAAATAAATAGCTCTAAGTAATTAAGTAAAGTATTTTGATTTTAAATCTTTCTTAAAATTAATTTAAAAATTACTTATTTTGAATTATAAATACTGATGAGATTTGTTATATATGCTAAATTCTTATTTTGAAGCGTATAGTTATAAAGCTAAAGATTACTATTCATCACAGTAAAAAGATAACAATTTAGAGTATTTGGCATATTTTATCCTGTAGAGGATATATTATCTATCACTATTGAAGTAAGATTATTAAAAGAAAAACCACAGGTAGCCTATTAATAATTTTTCAAATCAAAAATAAAATCAATATCTTTCATGCTGACTGAATTATAGTTTGTAAAGCTAAGTTCGTTATAAGTAAAAACTTAAGCCATTTAGCCTTAAGTAGTACTTTTTATTGATAATGAAATCTGTTGATTAAAATTGAAATTTAAGAACTCTTCTTTCAACTAGAAGGGATTGCTTGTTGATATATTGATATTGGTTTCAATATTTACAACTCCTTTAACCGTATTTATGTATTATTATGCCTTTTTTTAGTTTTTATAGTAAAAATAAAAATAAATTTTACATTATATAGATAATATTAATTAACTTTAAAGTTTTTATTTTCATAAATTAAAATTTAGTGAAAAAAATAATTTATTTACTTTTAATATAGCTGTAAGTAAATGATTAGAACTAGTAAAAGAAACGTCTTGTGTTCCCGCTCCATAATAATTAGTTCCTTGCAAGGTTTCTGTTGTTTGAAAGTAAAAATCAAAGGAGCAATTTAGGCAATCATTGACATTTTGTAAACATTAGTCAATGCTGTAGTATAAATCTCTAAATTAGTATTAAATCCATAATATATTTTTGGGAATTAGTGTGACAAATAAAACTTGCTCTAATAGTTTATTTGCTCCTAATTCCATAAATAAATAAAATTTCTAATTTTTAGTGTCATATCTATATAAGTATGTCAAGCCATTATTAGATCCAATCGCAACTAACCCTATTGATTCAAACATTGACATTGTTTTACTCAAAGATCTCATAGGATTATCAAGTATGATTGATTATTTTGTTTATAAATTTAACACGACTGTATAAAAAGTTTCACAGACTGCAAAAAAGTACTTTTAAATAGATTTGTCATCTTATACGTGATGATATATGTTACCCATTTAAGAATCTAAGCAACGGTCTTTTTTTAAATTAAAAATATTAATATTACATTAGATTTGTCTTATTTTAATTAAAATTTTAGTAAATCATTCTATTATTTAATCTATAATTTTCAAAAAAAGAAGATAAATAAATAGTTTTACCTATCAAAATTTATTCTTTATATTCTTTTGTTTTAATATTCCATCTAAACACTATACCTTTTCTCGTTATTCCCACTATTTCCTAATTAGAAATATCTTCAAGAGAAGAAATAGCATATACTGATTCAAGTGAGTTATCGCTAGGATTAGGGGATTTTAAACAGAAATATGTATTTTAGTCATATACATTTAATAGTAAAAAAATACAACCTGAGTTATTTGAAGTATAATAAATCCCAACAGTGACCCATACAGCATTTTCATAATAAAAAGGATCTAAATTAAGTGGCATTGTGTTTCTTGAAATGTTATATTATTTTAAGGAAATATACTTTTTAAATAATAAAAAATATTTAATAAGATTGCTCTGAAATTCTTATCTTTACCTAGTAAGTAGAGCTAATTGGGAAAGCTGTTGTTACAGCGAAGTATAAGTTTGCTGCATCATATAAGTTACCTGATTAATTACAAATTATGAAAAAGCACAATGGACAATATTTTACAGATAAGAAACTTCCCATATTTTATAAATATGGAAATGGTGGGTTATTTTTTTACATTACTTTTCTCCCAATATAATTTCTATCTGCCACATAAAAACCATTTGGATTTATATATACTTGATAATCTTAGCTTTAATATGTTATCATGAATCTTTTATTGTTTCCATCACCTGCTTATTCTTTGTTTTATTTTTTTGAATAAAAATAAACTTAAACATCATTTATTTTAATTAATTTACAAAGCATTTAAGTAACTGTTTGCTGTGATATATTATATAAGTAGGCACTATAATAATATCCACTTGCAATAAGCTAATATTAAGGAATATAAAACCAGCCTAGCCCAGAATAATTTATGAATTAGGTGTGTATATTTGCTATTTAGATAAGATTGTTTGAATTGATTGAAAAATCAGCTGAAAACTAAAATATCCCATATTAAAAATTGTAAAGAATTAAATCTTAAGAGTTTTTATTATTAGAATCTTTAGGAATAAATATAATGTCCTTTACACTTATCCAAGAATATTAACTAGGCAAAAATCCTACATTTTAATATTTATAAATATTAATTACAAATGAAATATTTTATGATAAATATTTAAATATATTTACTATTAGCAAATACCTAATAGAAACTTAACTGCTGAGCATTTAAAATTTAAATAAACTATATTCCAACATACTAACCGCCACAAATAATTATATCATAATTTGGATGCTTGATAAATTATTTTATTTAATTTTGAGAGGGATCCATCAAGGCTAGTTGATTATTTATAAAGAGTTTGATTGAGTTTATAATATCAAAATAAGCAATTACTTGATGGTATATATCCATAATACTCATGATCAAATGTATTTAAATTTAATGTCCACACCTATATTCCTTTAGTAGTAGAAACTAGCAAAGAATTTTATTGATTTGAAAATGCTATATATTTTGAAAATGCATTGATATAACCTTATATATAACCAAATACATCTATATCTATTATTTTTTGTATTTATAAAGTACTTTAGTTAATAATGAATAGCTCTATTATGCAAGTAACAATTGCAAAATCAGTGTTTTCTATCAAATTTATTTTTTAAATGTATTTAAGTTTTATTTAGTTTTCTATATCTAGATTATAAGGATTAGCTAAAATAACTTATTCTATATTCCAAACGAGTATTTAATCTGTCTTTGAAATATATACCATTTCAGACACTAGAAATTGTGCTAATTATTTATTCATAATTATTTTAACATTGATGATCAAAAAATTAATTGTTTACACTTTATCGCATTTAAAACTTAGTATTCTACTGATTGCAAGTCTACGTAATAGATTATACTATCTTACGAACTAGCATAACTCACAGTATTGATTAAAAGAATACTGGTATTCGGGATAAGCAAAAAATTTTATGGAAAAAAACTCATAAAATAATTGCAACCTATTTGTTGATTAACGAAATAAATGTTGAATAATAAAATAGGGCTAATGATTACTTTGATAGCTTATCAAGCTAGGGCATTATACACCTGATATATGAACTATATTTTAAAGTAGATTCAGAAGAAAAAATGAAAAGTGAAATTTTAGGACATTCATTTTTCTATGGTCTGTGTTTTATAATTTTAATCCTTGAGATATTAAGATTTAGATTAGTGTTTTATTTGTAAATGAAGAAATAAACAAATTACACAAAATTAAACAAAACCAATTTTTTTGTTAAAGTAAGTAAAATTTTAATGAAAAAATAAACTAAAGATACACAATAAAATTAAACTTTAAGTTTTTTCATAATACAAAACAATATTTGGTTTATATTAAGCATCTTTTATTCATTATTTTTTAAATATTTAACAAACAAACTTATTATTTTATGATTAATTTCAATAAAAATATTATATTATAAAAAAAATATATAAATTTATATTTATTTTATTTATTTTGCTTGCTGAAACAACACAAATCTATTGCGATCAATTTAGATTTATTTATTTTAATGAATCTTAATCTTCGATTTTAGGATAAAAATTTTATAATGGTGAAGGATTATAATTCGCAGGAGTTGATTCAGTTTGATGTCTTAGAAGCAAATTTTAAACACCTGTAATTTAAAATGTAATGAATGTTTTTATAATAAAATTAGAAGTATTTTACTTGTTAAATTTTTTGTATCTTAATGTTTAATTTAAATGCCTTATTGGTCCTTCTCATTAGGAACTATATAATCTTCATTTTCTTCAATATGAATTTTTGAATCAGAACTTTTTGCTGAATCAGATAATTGTTGAGAAATAAGGTTATTTTTTGTGTTTTACTTAGACTTAGGGTTTCCATGATATCTATCATCTATTTATTTTTTTAATATTTTAAGAATTTAAATAAAAAAATGAAAATAAATAATTACTTATGTTTCTCTCAAATACATTGACAAAAAGCTTCTTTCTTTGTTAATCATCCATATCAAGATATAATTAAAAATAAAATAAAAAATTTCAATTTATACAATTTGAAAAACTGAATTTCCTACTGTGATTAAATTAAATTTTTCTTAAAAAATCTAAACATTATTTTTTAAATATTTTGGTATAAATTTAATTTTCAAGATGATAATTTAGAGCCAAAAAAAATTAGCAAATTGGATTTAATAAAATAAAATGATGCATTTCTTAAAGAAATCTCTGAATAGGGAATAATTAAGTCTAATTAAATATTTAAAGGCATATAATTACAGTAATGTAAGAATATATTTAAAATTTTATTATATAGCATTAAAAAGCTACATTAAAAGCCTTTAATTTTGAAAAAATGGTGAAATAATAAAAATAAATGAAATCACTTTAGATAAAATTATAAGAAAGAAAGGAAACTCTTTTCAAACTGATATATTGTTGATATGATTTAAAGAGACAATTCTTCTGAAAAATCTGTTTTTATATAAGTTGATAATAGAGGCTATTGACAAAAATCATTGAGTGAAATATATCTAAGAACTATTTAATATTATGCTCTTGCAAATGGAAAGCATTTAAGCCACTATAATAGCTGATTTATAAAAACTGAACAATAAATGCAGGAAAACATCTTGCTCATAAAAATTACTTACTTATTATAAGGACTTGAAATGATAGATAAGATTTTAAAAATTATTTTAATTAATCATTATTTAAATTACTAAATATTATGTAAATTTAAATATTAAAAAGCTTAAATTAGTCTACTTGCTAAAAGATAGAAGGTTTATTATTAAATAAAAATTAAAATTTTATGAAGAGGGATTTTTTGGAGGAAAAATAATAATTTATATTAGTTAAAATTAAATTTGGCTTATAGAATTTAAAATAAAAGAAAATAATTTTTTTTGAGATAAATAAATAATTTGAGGAAAAAAGATAGATTTACATCACATTCTTCACAAAGAGCTCCAATATGACCTTCGAAACAAATGTTATTTCCATAAGTACCTCCAGGACAATTAGCAGGCAAATTATAGCAACTCTCTACAAGAACACTATCAAATTTTTTTCTCCAGTAGCCTTCATTTACAGTAACATTGTTTCCTCCTTAGCATGTAGCCCCTTCAGGACAGCTAGCACAAGGTTCAATATGAAAAGAATATGATCCTTTTGGACAAACTGCACATTCTACTAATTCATTGTAATCTTTAATTTCTTCTCCGCTTTCGCATGCCCTAAAGTTGATTAAGATATTAAAGGTATAATTATTACTAAAAGTATTTGTATCTTTATCAAGAATTTAAATTTGATCAGATTTGAATTATATATTTGCTGATGTTCCTGGTGTTCCTACAAATAGAAGTTAGTTAAATGTAAAAGACTGAGTTTTTAAGCTGTAAAATATTGTATCATCACCTCTTATAGTATATTTTGAAAAATTTGGGTTGTTTGGGTCTATTTAGACGTAAATACTATAACTTTAAATGTCTAAAAGACTTACAGGTAAAATTTTTTCATTCTTATCATTTTAAAATTCAAATGTTAAATTATTTAATGCTCCACCACTCCTAAATTAATCAATAATAACTTAATTATTTGTTTAAGTGTAATTTTAAAGATAAAGATGGCTAGGATATGAGAATGAATCACTTCCAAAATAAAAGGCTTTATTTCCTTGGAAAACTGTAGTTCCTTTTATTTTAGGAGAAATATTGTTATATAATATTCCACCTCCTACTTTAGCATTATTTTTTAAGATTTTAGAGTCATTTATAACTATTGACTAAACTAGTGAATTAGATATTTAAGATGTAATATACATACCACCACCTCTGCCATTTTTTGATACATTATTTGAGATCGTACACTAGTTTAAAGTAAGCTTAAATTTCTAAAAAAATTATATTTAATATTTAATTATGAATTTAAAAAGAATTACATCACTAGTTAAAGCGCTAAAATAAAGTGCGCCACCATCATAAGAAGCTGAGTTTTAGTCTAAAATCAAAGAATTCCATTAGTTATTACCTGTAAAGCTTTTCACAAAGATTGCACCACCAAAATTAGACTAAATTAAAAGAAAAAAAAATAGTTATTAATTAATTTTTGATTACTTTAAAAGAATTTAATTTACTTATGAAAGACTGATAGTGGAAGAATCAGCATTCATTGAACTATTAGTTATTTAAATAATTCCATTACAATTAGAAGTACATATTATTTAAGATATTAAACTATTGTTGCTTATATTAAGAGTTGAACCATCTACTTCAATTAGAGAGAAAGATTGTTGGCTTGGAGTATAGGTAGGTACTAATGATTAAATAAATCTAGAGCCTGAAACATACTGCTTAACATTTATAATTTAAGTGTTTATCAAATTTAAAGTAGATCCCTTAGATATTTAGAAAGCGTTTTAATAAAATACACTATTTTATATAACAACTGTATCTAATGTTATTTAAGAGTTTACTGCAGTCACAAATAAGGAGTAAGTTGAATCTGAACTTTTAATTGTGAAGTTAGAAATTCCACAATTTTTAATAGTAGCCACTCCGTTTAGAATATTTAGAAGAGAAGTTTATTACATTTGCATTGATTAATAAAGAGTATAAGCTGCTGAACTACTTGGAGCAACACTATCTAATCCTATACTTTTTATGTTTTATAGCTGAATGTTGGCATAATATGTTTCAATAAAAGAATTATCTTAGACTCCATACATGTTTAAAATAGATCCACCATCAAATGTTATTTAATTTAAATTTGTTATTTAAATGTTTCCTTGCTACCTATAAATAAAGATAAAAAAATAAATATTAATATGTGCTTTAATCTAATAATTAAATAAAATCAAAAATTTAAAAGATAAAATAATTAATATCTTTTTTGATTTTATGTACTAGTTTAATGTTTTAAATTTTTTAAAAAATTTTATTTAAATCATTTTGATAGTTTTTATAAAATAATAATAATAATTTTACTCAAAACCTATAATTGCGGCACCCATATATAGTGTAAAGATATTTTTAAATATGCAATTATTGCAAGAAAAGATGAGTTAGACTCCGACATTATCAATATAAAAAGCACCACCATCTAAAAACGCATAACCTTCAGTAAAATTAGTGGATTATATATTTACATTAGTTGGATTTCCTACAGATTTTAAATACATGAAGGAACCTTTAAAAGCTGTTGCCTATGTAAAGTTTGATTATTATATATTCAAGTTAGAAGTCTTAATATGAATCATTCCACCTTTTTAAAGAAATAAGTTTCCTTTAGGTTAAGCTACAAATGATGAATTCTAAAAGGAGGAGGCATTTATAGTTACATTATTTCCAAAACAGTTGATAAAGTTGTAATGAGAATTACTATACGTGTTTAGAAATTTAGAATTTTATATTGTATTATTACCTAATTAGTTTTCTATCCATAGAGCAGATGCTGAATAGACTGATGGAAAAGAGTTAATATATAAATTATTATTTGAAAATACAATATTATCAAATATTAAATTCAGATAAAGCACTGATGTTACTTGAATTGGGCTTGCATTAGTATTAAATGAAGGTTGGTTAAGATTAAGATTTTAAAATTGACCTGCTTTAAAAGATATTTATGAATTTTAAGTTTAAGTGTTTTTAATTAATATTAATGGCTAATCGAGAGAATTTTTGTACGAAACTTAGATCTAATTTATATTAGCATTTGAAACTTCATATAATTAGAAGCACGATGGAATATTATTAGATTAAGGTATTGTAGGTTGAAATGTTACATCATTTACAAAATTAATAGTTGTAAAAGAAAGAGAATTTATTGAAGTCACATTTGCAAATTAAAATGAATATTCATTGTTAATATCAACTTAAGTTGCAGTCACAGTATCAACATTAAATAAAGAGATATATGTTGCTTACTGTAATTTAGAAATTTATTGAATAGTATTTTTTTAAAAATTTAATCCATTTAACTAAATGGCGTTAATCGGTTGCTATTAAAATGTGTAATAAAAAACAGTAGGTTAAATATTTGCAAATTAATTATTAGTAATTGTTATTGTATTTAAATCTCCTACTTTAACATTAGTATCAACAACTTACAAACTCTAAAAAATTAATTTGTTACAAAAAGTATTGCCTAATATTTGTAAAGAATTCACAGTAATTTTGCTTCCCTAGAACAAGGCTGAAGTTATTATTCCTGAAGACCAATTTAAAGCACATTTATTATTTTAAATAATTGAATTAGTTAGAGAAATAGAAGAACCTTATGTTTGTGTTATAATAGAAAAGTTATCTCCTAATGTACATCCTGATAAAGTCAAACTGTCCATAGAAATCTAAAATTTAATAAAAAAAAGTTGAATTATAATTTTAAAATATGAAATTGATTACTTAATATCCATTTGATAAAATAATTTGGTTGTTATTAGTAAAATCTAAGTTTTGAATACTCATTGTTTTAATCGTAAAAGGTAAAGGAGAAGCAGCTGTGTTATTTGCAATTATATTATAACAATTTTAATTTTTTGATACTGAGTTTGTGTCAGTCGCTATTTAAATTGAGTTTAATGATATACTCTACGTATTTTAAAATACTAAACCACAATTAGGGTATTATTAAGTTATTAAAAAATTAAATTCGGTGTTAGAGATTTATATACTCTAATATTAATTAAATACTATTTAACTTTAGTATGATATAACACTTGTTTAACTGGATGAACTTTAGAATTTTAAAGATGTGATAGAACTCATATCGAAGTTAAAGTAGTTAGTTGGTATTGTTGCTGCTGTAATATCGATTTCTAATGAAATTTGTGTTAAAAGAGGTTAAATAACTTAATAATATTTTGCCTATTTAATTTAAAAAGTATGATTTTTAATAAATAGAATATTTATTTTAAGTATTTTAATAGATAAATATAAAAGTTTTTAAAGAGATATAAAAAAAACAAAAAATGTAAAAAAATAAAAAATAAATAAATCTTTTTCATTGATTTATGTATTTCCTAAAAAAATTAAAATTAAAACCTTGCTTATTTTTTATCAATAAATTTAACTTCAAAGATAAATTATAGCAATTCGCATTATCAATTTAGCAAATATTTATGTACAAAAGATAAATTAAAGTAAAATTAATTATATTTTTAAAATTAAAATTTATAAGGTTAAAAAGTGAATTTACTTATAATAAGGAAACCATTATACTAGAACCTGTTTAGTAAGAATTGTTTGCTCCTCCATAACTAAGAGTGTATTAGTTAGATTAGGTTTACTCAGAAATAGATACTTTAAAGGAGCAGTTTTAGCAATTACTTGGAGATGATAAGCAGTTTTATAAAGGGTAAAACATATTACTATACTTATATTAAATCCATAAAGTTTAGTCAGTAAGTAAATCAACATAAAGTGGAGCATCTTAGAATTAACCACTTGATATGGTTAAAATTAATTCAATTATTTTATTATTTTAATTGAATTAAAAGATATAGACATTATTGCTTTATTTACCTCCTACTACTAAAATATTTTAACTCTATGAATTTAACATAAAACTAAAAGATTTAATAAAAAGTGTTGCTTCTTTATTTAATTAGATAGCTTAAGTAGTATAAGTTTATAAATCATAATAAACTAAACTTTGATCTTAACAGCTTAAAATAAGAACATATTCTGTTTAAGTTAGTTAAAATTCCTCAGCCATTTGAGGTTAACTGCAGTTATCTATTTTAAAAATAAGTTATTAAATAGTTGAATTTATAAATAGTTTACTTATTTATGAAGGAGTAGAAGAATTTTTATTTGCTAAAATAATGTCAGCTATTTTCCAAATTACAAGTTACCCTTATGAATTAATAGCATAGATATTATTTTAAGCAGATACAATCAATATGCTATTTTAATCTAAAGCAGTGTCTGAGCTAAAAGAATATGAAGTATCTCCATCCTAAATTAGCAAAAATGAATTTGGTTTAGTTGTATCATATATAATTATATAATAATGAGAATTATAATAGAAGGGATCCAATTTTATGCCATTCCAACTTTAAACTTCTTATATTTTAGAGAGCTATTTTAATTAAAGAATAAGTTAATCAACCAATTTTTATTGAGCAAACATACTTAAGTAGATAAATTGTTTTGATTTATAATAACAATATATGGATTATTGCTGCTGTCTTGCGCTTTGACTAGTATGACTTACTATTAATTTTTGACTTGATATAAACTACTGTTGTTATCGTATATAGTTAACTATGAAGGTAAATATATTTGCTTAGATTGGCTTTAAATATTACTTGATCTAATGTATAATTTAAATTAATTTTGCTCAGAAAATAATCCATAGTAGACAATAGAATTGGATTCATAAATAAACTGCCTATAACCTATTTTTGTATCAAAGACTAATTTTTAAAAATAATTTTAATATTTTATTAAGTGAGACTCTTTAAAATTACACATATTATTTGAGATTAAAGCAGGGTTTGACTACTGAATCAAAGATATTCTATTATACTAACTCGAAGTATCTTAGCTAACTACAATAAAATGATAGCTATCATAATATGCTTATGTAATTTTTTATTTGTTATCTTGAAAAAGTTAAGTCTAAGCTTAATTTGCAGCAAAGTACAAAGATGATTGAGTAATTGAAAGTGAGACAGTAAATAATTGACTATTACTTACAATATATATTTAAGTGTCATCCAAAGAAAATATCTAAGTAATTAATCCTTATTATACTATTGGTAAATACCAAAATTAATTTAAATCCAATTATTTTAAAGGTCATTTTTAACAAGAAATAAATAATTAATCAAATACAAAATTTGGAATTTACTTTGATAGGTTCCTTACGCAATAATATCTAATTAAGAGTCTTTAATTAAAAATGAGGATATTAAGTTTGTCCCAATAGTTGAATAAAAAATGAAATCCTGAGAAAACTCTTTTGCAAAAACTTAATATTATTGAGTAGATGAAGAGGTAAATGAAGCTTTTTTAAATTATTAAATATAAGTTATTTATTACTTTTTAAAAAAATAATGGTAACTTACTTTCTGATATTATTTTCTATGAGATCGGTTTATAGTTATTTTATGGATCTACTATCCATCCATAGAGATACTTATTAGTTGACGTAACAATTACTTGAGCTCCAAGTTAAAGCACATACAATTAAGATTGATATTATACTAAATTTAAATCTGCTTAGCTGCTTTGCAAAGTGTTAATAACTTTCATATTTACTAAATCAAAAATGTAAAGAAATTATTATCTTGCAGTTAGTATTGCTAAATTGGTTTTTGGAATGAGAGATATGTTCTGAATGTTTTCATACAGAAATACGTTTACTGCCTTAAAAGTGTATATATCAGCCACAATTATGTTATTTTAGTTTGTGATCAGAAATTAGTTTGTCTATTAAACATAAATTAATTGCAAAATGACGTAAGATGCTTTTTTTAAATAAAAATAATGTAGCGTTAGTTTATTCATTTAGATAATTGCTTTTTAATTGAATTCATCAAAAAGAGCTTTCTAATTTTAATTTGGATTTTTACGCTAAGTTATCTAGATGATTGAACCAGAAGGGGTAGTCATGTCGATAAAATAAACTATGCTATTATCTTGACTTTGTTATTATAGAGTGTTTACTACCATGATATTAGTATTAGGAATCTTCACTATGTTTTGAACATACTATCCCTAATCTAATCTGGGAACTATAGTATAATAGAAAGAAATAAAATAGGTGATATAGAAGTATATAATTTACTGTGCTGAGATAAAAGAGTCGGACATTACATATCCGCGAGAGCTATCTATAGTAAAATAGATATGAATACTAACTTTTATAAATATTTCAATCCTTTGCTTTATTTATGGATTATTTGAAAAGAAAGCTCTATCATTTTTCAATTTACTTACCTAAAATTTTAATTTCTTAATATTGTTTAAATTTTTTGGCTTTTTAAATTATCATAAAGTAATTTAAAATCAATTATATAATTATTTTGATTCCTAATTTCTATTGAAGATTCTATTTTTTTTATGTTTTCTTTTACCCAACTTTTTAATTACAATAAGTGGAAAGAAAGACCTAAATAAAAATTTATTGTGAAAAAAAAGGTCTATTGAATTGAAAATCCTTCTTTTGTATTTTAATTATCAAAACAAAAAGTGATAACTTTATTTATTAATTAACTTAAGATTTGCTTTTTTATGAAGATTGCTTCTATCTTTTAGAAAATAAATATTCAATTTTTTGTCTTTTTTACAGATTTATTTTTATTCAATTCAATTATTTCTTGGATATTTTTCACACATAAATTTTGGTGGTGTATGCTTTCTAATATTAGATGAAATCAAAATTATAAAGAAATATTTAAATAACTTATAAAAAAACGTATATTCTTTTTGTTTTTATTAAATTATTTTTTTTTCTAAATTAAATTACCAAAAAACCATCAAAATTTATTGTAGATTTAAGATATAATTTAGTTATTATATTAAATTTATAAAATTTATAATCAAAAAAGTGTTAAGAATTAAAGTCTATATTTAAAGATAACAAATTATATTTATTATCCTTCTTCTAAATATTATCAAACAAAAAATGAAAGAATATTCAATAATGAATCTAATATAAATTAATAATTAATTTATGATTGGTATAAACATTTCATATTTTTTATTTAGATCAATTAAGAAAATTGAATATGATGCTTTATAATTTATTTTGAATTTAGTGTTTTTACTTGATTATGATAATTTGTAAATAATTTGGGGATTTTACCTTTTTTTAACAAATACTATCCCTACCACAAATATTAACTCAACTTTGTATATCAATTCATAATATTTTAATTCGAACTAAGTTTTTTTTTATAATCCAATCAGAATGTGACATACTTTAACTAGTGTTAAGAAAAACAAAACACATTATTTCTCTTAATTATTATATAAATTATTTTAATAAATTAATTTTACAAAAAATTCTGACTTTTTAGAATAATTATCAATAAAAATTTAGAAATAAATATTTTCAAGTAGTTTGATTTTTAATAATAATTTATTGAATATTTTAAATAATTCATTTGCTTAATTTAGTAAAGTTGAAAAATAATTTTTTCTTGATTAATTTTTCTTATTTGAATTTTTATATTAACAAATTAATATTTATATTATGCTTTTGAATATTGGAATATTATTTTGGCATAAAATGTAAATTAAATTCTAAATATATTACTTTTTGAAGATATTTTATCAAAATTATAAATCATTTTTGTGTAATTAATAATTTTATTTATATAAGTAAAATAAAAGTTTAATATGTATTTTTTTAGATTGTCATTAATTAACTTTTTATATTGAAAAACCATCTATTTCAAAAATACTAAGACAAGGAGAGTTGGGTACCTCATTATTCTAAAAAATATTTCTGTTCTATTAATTTGGTGTAACTTTTGCGAAGTGTTCTTTTATTTAATAACATATTTAAAATTAAAAAAATTAAAATTATTTACATTCTAAAGTTTAAAAGTTGTTTGTTTTCACACTATTCAAAGCTTAATCTACATCTTGCTCAAGTATAAAAGAATTTTTTTCAGATTCTTAATCTTATTTTCTTAATTCAGGAATTTAGTAAGGAGTTTAAATTTTAGCTTAGCTTTTATCAACAAAAATATCTTTATGACATAGCACTTTATTAAAGATGAAAAAAATAAATAGTAATTCAATATAGAAAACTTTACTTAATCTTTATTCTAGTAGATTTAAAAAAAACTGCTTTTTCTCGTTTTAATTCATTTATAAGTATCTTTAAAATGCCATTTAAACTTTAGCTTTTATTTCAGGATTACAAGTATTCTATTTTGGATTGGTTTTTTGTTCATATTTTTTCAAAATATGAATTTTGCTAGCAAGAAAGCTTAATATGTTTTTAAAGGATTATTTCAACAATTGATAGTAGTTATTAATAATTTATTTCAGCATATTAAAAATAAAGATAGAGTTTATTAAAATAATTATTCCTAAAGCAGTGTAGTAAAAATAAGGGAATGGATTTTGATAAATAAAAATTCCAAATAAAACTGTTATAGCACAGACATTCGTTGAGTTTATATCAACTTAGTTTATATCTTCTTCTTTGTACGGTTTAATAATCATTGAAGAAATCCCATACAATGATATTGCTAAAAATACTAGTATGCCTTTTATGACTATCTATTATGAATAAAAGTTTAATGATAATATTATAGCAAGTTTTTCTGCCATCTTAATAAATTCCCAATAGTATGCATGATCTTAATATTCGTTGTAAAGAAATCCATATTTAAGCTTTATATTAGGATTAGATAACTAATTTTAATTCCTTTTAATTGAAATGAATAAAACAAAAGGAAGCAAGAAAATCCAAATTAACATTAGAGGTAAAATTACTAAAAGGATATATTTAATATGCTAGTCTGTATAACATTCATAGGATACATTAGAGAGAATGTAACTTGTATCTCCTATTCTTCGGCATGACAATAATGCAATTATTTAAGCTACTAAATCAGGCTAAACATAAATAATTAAAAATATAGAAGCTGTTGAAAGTACATAATATGGGAATTTTTCATTTTTGCTCTTAACTATATGATAAATGAATAAACCTAAGCAGAAAATAAGTAAATAAATAATAGGTATGATCTAAGAAAAAATCATTCTATAGTAAATAATCGGAATCTCAGTATTAATTTTAACAAGCATACAGTCTACTGAGCTCATAGTTTACTTGATAGGTTATCCTACAGATTATGGAAACTCAAATATACCTTTATACATTAAAATAATTAGTGATCAAATTAATAAAAATTTTTATAATTTACCTGATGGAATCGTTAAATTAAAAGTAGCAATAGAACTAACAATCTAAAAGTAATTAGTAAACATTTTAATATAAATACTTTATTTCATTTAGTCATTCAAATTAGTAAGGTTTAATCTCCTATTTTGACTTTTTGATTTGGGTCTATTTTTAAAAAAAGTATGTAATCCTTTTGAAAAAGATATTGATTTCAATCTTTATGAGTTTTCAATTTCACTTTTTTTTCTATTTTACATTTTCTTAATTGTATTCTTCATTATATTATTTTAAATAGCTTCTATTTTTAAATAGTTGATATTGCCTCTAATTGCAATCATCATAGAAAATAATGTCCAAGAAGTTAAACCTAAAATAATCCATGTATTATTTTGCATCTTTTCACATTCTGCACAAGAATACTTAGCTGATTTTGCGAATACTTTTTACCAAATTTTACCATAAATCTTTTAATAAATTTCAAATAAATAAAAAATTTTCATACAAATTGATTTAAAAATAATCTAAAATGATTACATCACATTCTTCACATAGTGCACCTATATGGCCTTAATAGCATACAGAATTCCCAAAAGACCCACCAACACAATTCGATTCTTAATTTTCGCAATCTATTATAATTACACTATCTTCTGATTTTCTCCAATACCCATACTAAACTTCTATCTTATCTCCACCTAAACATATACCTCCTGTTGGGCAATTTTGGCAAGGTTAAACATCAAAAGAATAAGTATTGTTTTAGCAAATATCGCACTGTACCAGACTATTATATTCTTTTATTTATTCTCCTGATATGCATTTTCTAAAATTTATTACAAAATCAAATGTATAATTTTATTCAAATTAGTTTGTCAATTCATTTAAAATAAATATTTAATCGCTAAAGAATTGAATTTTAAAAGATGATCCAGGAGTACCAACAATATTTAATTAAGAAAAAGTAAAGGTTTATGATGAAATATTATAATAAGCTTATTAGTCTCCGCTTATTTCATAGCTGTCTTTGTTTTATGTGTTTGGATTTATTTTTACTTAAACACTGTAAGTCTAATATTCTTGCTTATTTATTGGAAATATAACTTCATTATCAGAATTCATCATCTTAAAGCTTATGTTATTTATTACATCTCCACTCCTAAAATCATTAATTTCTAAATGATCATCATATTATTTTGCATTATATTTAGAAATTAATTATTCAATATTAGCAAGGTCTAGCTTACTTGCGTAAGAAATTTTGTCACTGCCAAATATTTTAGCAAAATTATTTTTAAATATTGAGCTATTTACTTACAAAGATATATTTTATTCATATATCGCTGCTCCAATTTAAGCTATATTATTTATAAAATTGGAGTTATTAATATTAAAATTTATAAACTGGGGATTTATATTCTAAGAAATAGCATATATTGCTCCTCCTCTACCATTTAATGAAGTGTTATTGAAAAATTATGCTGAATCAATATTTAAGCTAAGTTACTGTTTAAATAATTAAAAAATAAATAATTAGGTTTGTATAATAACTCTTAATAATTTTACATTTTCATCATTAAATTATATGTAAGCAACTCCTCCATTATACTAAGATTAACAATTTTAAAATTTAGAATTTATAATTTAATTTGTTCCAAATAATCCAGTAATGAAAAATGCTCCACCATATTAGCTCTTTATTAAATATTTTTAAAAATGAATAAAAGTTAATAATAAATAATTACTGTTATTTAATAAAATGAGGAGTTTGAGATTTTGATATTGCCATTTAACATTTAAAGTAAACCACCATTACAACTAGTGCAACTTAACATAGAAAAACTAGAATTATTTTAGATTTAAATAAAAGCACCAGAAGCAACTAAAATAGAATATTAGTTTAAGTTTGGTATTAATTATAAATCATTTGATAGCATTTATGTTTGTTGATATTATTAAATTTTTTAAAATAAAATATTATCTAGAATAAGCTTTCCTCCATTTAACTGAACCATATTTTTTGTATATTCACAATTAGATATATATGTTGAAGATATTGTTATTGTTGAGTTTTCAGATTAAATAATTAATGGAATCGATGATTATTAATTGGTAATACTTAAATTACTGATATTACAGTTATTAATATAAAGGACTGAAAATGAAGAATAAATAATAGTAGACTATTATTAATTCTATTTTGCTTAGTAAATAAGGAAAGGTAGTTCGCTTGACTAAAATTGTTAATATGTTACTTAACTTATATCAATCATTTAAATTTAGCTATTAGCTGCTTAAATAAAGTAATTATCTAAAATACCTTATATTGTTTATATGATTCCACCATTGAATGTAATATTATTTGTACCATTTTTCTAATTTTACTACCTATATCAATAATGTAAATAATTTATTAAAAAAATTTTTAAATATTTAAGTAAATAAGTTACAATATTTTTATTGAAGAAGACAATTAGCTTAAAGAAAAAATATTTCTAAATTCGCAATCAATACATGAAAAATTTAGTAAATTATTTATTGGATTTAAGTACATTGCTCCTCCATCAATTTAGCTATATCCCTCTGTAAATTTTGTAGAATTGATAAGTATATTAAGATTCTATCCAAATGACTAAAAGTAAAGAAAAGAACCCATTATTGCTGTTGATTATTTGAATTAAGTATTAGTTATTATGACAGAGTTAATAATCGCGTTGATCATTCCTCCCAATTAAGTAAATAATTTGTTATACTAGTTATCATATAAGTTTATTTCTGAGAAAGTTGAATTCTAAAATTTGCATTATTATATAATTAAACTATCAGTTTAAATATGAATATTATTATAGATAGAGTTACTGTAATTATTTTCAAATGTACCATTAAATATGATTGATTAACCTACAAAATTTTCAAACCACAAACCTGTAGTTGAGTAAGTTAATGAATATTATAAGCTTATTAAAGAATTGTTAACAAAATAACTATTTTAAATGTCTAAATTTATTTAATAACTACCAATAATCTAAAGTGGGTTTACAAATGTATTCATTTAAGTTTAATTTAAAATTAAGTTTGTAAATTATGCGTTTGATATATTAACTTATGATTATTTATAATTATAATTGCTTATTAAAAACAATGAATTATCTTATGCTTTTTTATAGTTAACTTAAACTGTATCAAATAGAACAATAGCAGCTTCATTTATTTATAAGCATCCTTATGTTTATTAATTATTAAGTTAATTTAAAAAGAACTGGTTATTAGTACAATTAAAATTATTAACACTTATTAATTATGACTCATCAAAAGCTCCTAGTTAAATATCAAAGTGATCTAAAAAATTAACATTTTCTATTGAAATATTTTAGATTTTATTTGTCTGAATAAGCGAAGCTCCTTTTAAATCTCTTTACGATTAAGTGAAAAGAGAATTATTATAAAAACTGGAATTTTTAAGTATCAATTAATGAGATGGATCTGATAGAATAGAGTAAAAGGAATTAAATAAAAGATAGGTAGTCCTTGTAAGAAATTTATTGTTTATTAAAGAAATATTTAAAAAAGAAAAGGTTTGACTTAAGTGCTTGATAGAGGTTATTGCTTAAAAAATATTTTTATTGCAAAAAGTATTATTTTATATAAAAACAGATGAAACTGTGTAATGACCAGCACTAAACAAAGCAGTAGGGTTCTAAAAAATAGAATTAGCTTGTGAACAATAGTTATTTTCCAAAACAATATTTTAGATAATCGCTTAAACATCAGTGTTCTGTTATAAAATACTAAACTAATCTCCGAATTAGCAATTTAATAATGAAAAATTAGCAATACTAATCTAATAAAAAAGATGTATAATTAATAATGATTAAAATAAAATTAATTTTACTTAATTCGTATTTAGTGTAGAAAAAATGAAATAATTATTTGCAAAGTTTTCTGAAGTTATTGTATAATTTTGTACTTAAACATAAGTATTGCTTATTTCAATACTTTAACAAGAAATTAAAGGATTTTTGTAGGCTCTTAGCTAAATGTTATTTATTTGGACTACATTTTTAATATTAGAAAACTCTAACCCACATGTATTTTTATCAGTATCTAAAAACATTATTTGAATATTTAGTAAGTTTACTGAATTGTAATCTTCAAAGATAAGAGAGTTTGAATATACAATTGTTGCTAGTTATTAATCAGAAACACTTGATATAGTTAATGAGATTAAGGACTTAAAGCTAAAATTTGTGAGTTAAGATATTAAATAAAATGAATTATTAGGATTAATTTGAATAAATACTTAAATATTATTGACAGCTTTTATTATACTTTTGTAAAATTATGCCTTTTAATTAAAAAATTGAATGAATATGAAAAATTAAAAATACTAAATAAAGAAAATTTACATTTAAGATAGTCTAAAAATAATTTTATGAAGTTGTATAGGAACTTAAAGAGCTACCTTATCCATAGCTACCATATTTATCTAATTAATTTGTTATATTGAAATAATAATTCTATGAACATTAAGTACATACTGTAGGATCATCTATACAACCATCAATCGGATAAAATGTAAAACTGTACTTATACTGTATCCAAAGAATATTATTTTTTAATAATTCTACATGAAATAAATAATCAGTCAGTTAACCTTAATAAATTGATAAATGGTAGACAAAAGTATTTGAATTGCTATTATATTTATATAAGTATACAATACTGCCAATATAATCTGGAAGAACAACCATTTAAATACTGTTAAAGGCTCTTATAGATATAGGAACAGAAGTTAAAGTAGTTAATAATTATTAATCTTATGTTTTTAAGTCAAAGCTATAAACTGAGTAATCATCGCAAGCAACTATCAATTTTCTAGTTATGTTGTATTAAAATATTTCTCCTATCTAACTGTTAAAGCAGTTTTCTATTTATATGTTAAAATAAAAATTTTACTACTTCATTATAAATTCAAAAATTATGTTTTAATACAAGGATATTAATGAAATTTAAAAAAAATCAAAAATGTCATAAAAGTTAACAATTAAAAATAAGATATACAGAATAATATTATATAAGTGCTTTTACTTAATTAAAAAATGCAAATAAAAATATTTTATATTTTTTTTCGCTTAAACAATTTACATTTCTTTAATAGATTGATGAAATTATTTTATTTAAAAATTTTTTTTAGTATTCAACAATTTATTATTAAAATAAATTTATTCAGAAGATAATTTGTTTAATTTAAAAAAAATTATGATCATTTTATTGAAGTTATATATATTTTTGTAAAAAACCTAATTTAATCTTATAAATTGTTTTTATTACTCAACTGAAGAGAGAACTTGAAATTTAAAGTTGGAGATAGTAAGTCCCATGAATAAACACTGCCTTATTAGTCTACTCCTACTATTTCTGGATTAATTAAATCGTAGATAGAAGCAACAGCAAACGATGTATTATAATTATTTTAAGTTTAATTAGGTGAGGTAAGGACAAAAAATTAAGTAGTGTTTTAGGCATTAACTAATTAAAACAACCCATTTACTTTAGAATTTAAAATATTTTTGTTAGGAAAAGCTAAAACTATCCATATTTGATTGTTGTAATAAAATGGATCTAAACTTCTTCCAACTTAATCCCAGCTAAACGGTATAGGTTAAGGCTAATATAAATAAAATGTATTAATTTAAATATTTCTGAATAATTTTACATAATCTTTTTCATCCATCGGATAAATCTTAGTAGTAGATACATAGTCTTTATTTTAGTTTGCATTATCTCTTAGTTTTACTAAAAGACAAACATCACAGTTTTTAACTTTTAAAAAACTATTGTAATTGGAATACATTTAATAAGAAAGTTTATCATAAGATGTATGATAAAAATCTTGCAAACTATTTGTTTAAGAATAATAAATATCTTAGCCAAATATAATTGTAAGCAAACTTTAACCTTCTCCTTCAAAAATAAATCTTCTAGAAAGTTTGTCATTCCTAAAATCTTTTTTATATTATTTAATAAATAAAACCTAATTTTATAATGTTACATAGTTGATTATCAAAATCGCCAGTTTAAAAGTTAAATATAGTTGCACTATCTTTGTAGGACATATAAATTAGAGTAGTACCTTAGACATAATACCATTCATAATATGAGACAATATTATAATAAAAAGGATTGTAATCATATGGTGCTGTTATTATATTGTTTGGAAGATCGACAATTAAATTAACATAATTAATGTAGTTATTATCAGCTACAAGTAAAACAGCTTAATTATATGTATTATAATTGATATATTAAAACATTATCTAATTAATACTTGTATTAATTGATCCTGAAAATAAATCTATTTAATTTAAAAAAAAATTAGTCATTTTATAAACTTAATATAAGTACATGTGTGCATCATTTTAATATATTATCCTTTATTAAACTGTTAGATTTTTATTGCAATCAATTCATAATATTAACCTCCTACAAAAATTATGTCTTAGCCAGGAAATTTATCAAAACGGTAATAGTAACTACTATAATTAGTCTTAGCTTTAATTTTATAAAATTTAAAAAACCATACTTTAGAAAATAAATTTACTATAGTCAATGAGTCCATGATAAGTTCCAACCATAGTATTAAGATTTATACTCCATGCAATAATCCCTCCTTCATTTGAGGAAATAATAACTTAATCGGTTGAGCAAGTGAAATTGTATATTTTAGAAATATATTGATATTTAAAATAAACATCAGGATCACTTGAGTGATCTAGCGTTTTTACTATTTAAAAAGATAGTATATCTAAAATTAACAATTAATTTCTCCATCTAGTAATGATAGCATATTTTGTATTTGGAATCACAAAAAGATGAGAAGTAAATTATAAATCTAATGACATAACTGATTAAAAAGAGTATGGATCTGCTAATATTAACTTATTAGAGTTGCTTATTAAGATTTAATTAGTTAAATCTACATAATCCATAACATTTATTGTAAAATCAGCTTTTAATTTTTTAATTAACGTATAAATGTAGAATTAATATTAATTGAAATTAAATACGTCTGACAACATTGATAATTTATCTTGAAGGTGAGCTTAAATCTGTATAGTAAACAACATTTTAAGAGAAGCTAGTTTAATCAATAGTATTGATTAGTAGAGTATTTGTCATAGGAACTCTTAAAAAGCTATAAACTCCAAAATTATAATCAAATATTGGATCTTAAATATAAAAAAATGTATAAAAATATATGGCTAAAAATGATATAAATATTTACTATGATAGGATATAATATCAGGGCATTGGTTGTTTGTAGCTAATATTAATTATAGCTTCATCATTAAAATAAAGAGCATCTTTCTTTGCCAATAATTTTTGTAAATTTTCATCAAATAGTTCATTAATTTAAACTTTAAGGAGTTTTTGCTAGGTTTTTAGTGATTAGATTATTCAATCAATATGCAAAATTTATTATTTTTATAAAAAAAACAAAAATAACTCTTTTAGATTTATGTAAATTGATAAATTTTATGTATTCCTTGACATGAAAATTATAAATGAGAGCTAAAAAAATTATAAAAATTTATTTCCACATAATTGAATTAACTAAACTCATACTGTAACATAAAATCTAATTTGGTCTTGTTTTTATTAAATACTAATCTTAATAAGTTATTTGAAATATTTAGTTTTTAATTAAAATACAATTTTTATCCCTTAAATATGAAAATTATAATGAAATAAAAATTAAAATCAATTTTTTTTTTTTTCAGAAATTTTCCACTATATCTTTTTAATCTTATTAATTCTACTAGAAGTTAATTTCATTTTAAGAAAATTATATCAAATCTTTATTTACTATATCATCCTCAAATTAGCTTTAACATTCTTAAAATAAATAAATAAATAAATTTTTTTCAAGTTTAAAAATAAAATAAATTACTTTTATACTCAAGATCACAGTTCCCATTATTTTATATATTGATTTTATCTTCTATTTCTTTTTATGATTATTTGCTATTATTTTAAATCTACTCATCATATTAATCTTAATTATAGATTGAATCTTCTTCTGAAAATTAAATAACCTCTTAAATATTTTATGTTATTTTATTCTCTATTATGGAAACTATATTAAATATTTTATAATTTTAATAAATTTTAGTTAAATAATATTTACTTTAGGAATTTTTTTATTTATTTTCTAAATTGTTTATGGTTTCTAGTTAATTTATTGCAATTTCTTAATAATTAACTGTGCTACTAGCAATTTATTATATACTATTAGGATCTTAATACAAAGACTCTTCATTACTTTATTTTTCTAAGTTTGATTATTTGCTTGAAATTTATTTTTTATTTTCATTTTATTGTTCTGAGAAAAACTCACTTTAAAAATTATTTTAAGCATCTAAATCATCTAAAGAAAATATAATTATATCTTTATTTTATTTAAAAAATTAATTTAAACTAATATTAAATTTTTTTTATTTTATTCTCTATTAAAAAATAATTTAAACAAGAGCAAATATACCTTATTCGTTTTTTTCATAATTTGTAGGATTGTTTGATTCTATTTGAACGTTTTTATGCATCTTTTGTTATTTAGTCATTTTTGTTTTGTTTTATTGGCTATAATTTGTTAATTATATTGAGGTGTTTCCATTATTTAGATTTTAATTATTTGAGCTCTTTTAATTTTAAATAGAAGTGCTTGAATGAAATTAAATAAGCTACTAATTGGATTATTGCTATCTTAGTCTACTTGTTCCAACATCTTTTGTTTCTAAATATTTTGATTTTATTTTTTTAAAATTCAAAAATAGTTTGTAAAAATGTAATTTTTACCATATTAAATAGCAGTTTCTGTGTTAAAATTATTGAAATTTTGTAGCGTATCTAATTGAATTGTAGGAATATATTTTTAATTGTTTTAATCATCATTTTAATTATTTATGAAATCTTCTTCATTTTAACTTCTCATTTATTTTTCAGAATATCTTTGAATCTTATTTCCTTAATATTATTCTAGCAGCTAGAATTCTTCACTTGATCTTAGATAGTGTCCGAATTAATTTTCTATAGTCAAAAAAGATTAAATATATTTAGTAATCAATAAAAAGAAATTTACCTAATTAAAATTAAATTGTACTCAACAAAATTCTTTTTTTTTCATTTGAAGGAAGAGATAAATATTTTTTTAAAAGTTATTAGAATTTATTTTTAATCACAGGATTTACTTTTTTCTAATTATTTTGCTTTATAAATTTTTTTATGCATGGTATTTTTTTAGATAATATAATGAAGATTTCTTAAATGCTTTATTTAATTATAGGTAAGTAGCCTTTGATAATTTTGCCTAAAATTTTAAAAATAAACCATAAATTAACAATGGCTATTATAGCAAATGAAGAGTAAACAAAGTAGTCAAAAGGATTGTTATAAATAAATATTCCTAGTAAAACTGTTAAAGCACAAACATTAGTCGAATTAACATCTATTTCATTTATGTCTGACTCTTAGTACGGATGTATTATGAGAGAGAGAATACCATAAGCAGTAATCACTATGAAGACTAGCACACCTTTAGTAACAATGCTTTATGAGTAAAAATTTAAGGCCAGTATAATTACTAATTTCACTGCCATTTTAACAAATTCCCAGTAATATGCATAGTTTTAATATTCTTTGTAAAGAAATCCATACTTTAATTTTATTTAGATTGATTCTAAATTCTTTTTATTTCTTTTCAATGCTAAAAACAAAATTAAAGGTAAAATAACAACCCACATAAGCAGTAATGGAAGTAACAATACAAAAGCATAGTAAAAGTGTTATTCTGTGTAGCATACGAACGAAACATTAGATAAGATATATTTAGTATCTCCTATTTATCTACATGATAATAATGCAATAATTTATGCAACCAAGTCAGGCTATACATAAATAATTAAGAAAATTATTGCTGTAGTCATAATATACCAAGGAAAATAATAGTTTTTGATTTCTTTTTTTTAGCAAATAGTCATTAACTTTTTCAAAAAGTGGTAAATAGCCATGCAAAATAGAAATAAAAACATGTAAATTATTGGTATGAGCAGAGAAAATAGCAATCTCATATAAATTATAGGTATCTGAGTACTGAATCCTTCTAAAGCACAGTCTAGAGAATTCATGGTTTATTTCAAAGGCTAACCCACAGATTATGGGAATTCAAAAATTCCTAATTAATTTAACATTTATTATTATAAATATTTTTTAATGATTAAAAATTTACCTGATGGAATTGATAAATTAAATGTTGCGATTGATCCAACAATTTATATGTAGTTTGTTAACATTTTTATAAAGACTCCAGATTTCTCTTAATCTGAAGTAGGTTATGATTAATACTGCATTTAATTCTTGTTCTTTAAAGTGGATGATAAATAAATATTGGTAGATTTATTTTTGTCATTTCGCTACAAATTCTAATATAGCTTTTTTCTTCCTCTTAGATTTTTTTGTAATACCAAAGCAGCTGCTTTTTCTTATAGAATTTCTATATTACCTTTTATTGCTAAAACCATAGAAATTAAAGTCCAAATTGTCATTAAACTAACTATCCATATATTTCCTTAAATTTAGTCACATCTAGTACAAGAGAATTTAGAAGATTTGGAATAAGTTTGTGACCAATATTCTCCATAAATCTAGTAAAAAATGTTGTTTATTAAATAAAAATTACTAAAAAAATTATACATCGCATTCTTCACAAAGGGCTCCTATATGACCCTCATAGCAAATGTTATCTCCATAACTACCTCCATTACAATTTTTAAGTAAATTAGAGCATTTTAAAATGATATCACTATCATTTGATCTCCTCCAATATCCTAATTTAGTAATTAAATTTGTACTACCATGACATTCAGCCCCATCAGGACAGGCTTTGCAGTTTTCTACATTAAATGAATAAAAATTCTCAGGACATATCTAGCATTCTTTGACTTATCCTACTTTATTAATTTACTCTCCAGGTCCACAATTTCTGAAATTAATCAAGATATTAAAGGAATAATTTTAGATAAACTATCCACTTTAAGGATCAACGCTATAGATTTATGGAGAAGAGAATTATAAAAAAGCAGTAGTACCAGGTAATCCTACTAGATTAATATAATTAAAAGCAAAGCTCTATAATTTTGGATCATATTTAGTGAATGTTTAACCACTTGCAATATACGATTAAAGGTTTTGGCTTTTGATATCAAATTAAACATTTATCTAAAATTATTCTTCCTCTTCTGGAGTAATAGGTATAATAATTTCATTTTTTTAATTTAGAAATTAAAATTCTATACTTGTTAAATTTGCACCGCTTCTAAAATTATGAACCTCTAATTATTCTTTGTTCACTTTCCCATTATTTTCCTGCAAAAATTAATTAATATTACTAATTCTAAGCTTTGTAGGATATGAAGATTAATCACTTCCATACGTTGTAGCAGTATTGCTCGATATTATATTTTGTTATTAAACATCTGCAGAAAGATTTTATAAAAATATGCCACCTCCTACAGATGCTTTGTTACGAATAATTTATGAGTTTTATAATTTTATTTACTGATTTGGAGAGTTTAGGGTTTCTGAATAAATAAAAATTCCGCCTCCTCTTTAACCACATGAATTATTTTCAAGTAGACTTTCAGAAATATTTAATTTAAATTTCTTGTAAGTTATAAAAAAAATGTTAACTTTAAACATAATAAATAAGAATTGAATAAAAAATATTTACGTCATTTTACAAAGCAAATAAATAAATTCCTCCTCCATCATTTTGGGCTTAACAATATTAGAATTAAGTATTTTAGATAATATTGGTGTTATTAATTCCATAAATAAACACAGCACCTCCAAAAGTAGACTATTATAGTGATTTAAATTTAAGTAAAAACTATTATTATAATAGGAAAATAAAATTACCTTTATTTATTTAAATAAGGTGTTTTGAATATTTAGAGTGCTTTGTACAGCTTAAATAGCTCCGCCATTACAGTTTGTATTACAATTTATTGAAGTAAAATTACTATTTTAGTTAATATTTAATCTAGATTGGTAAGATATAATTAAAGAATGACTATATAAGCTTGGATTGATTTACTCTTCCATAACTCTCTTTTATAATATTGTTTAATTAGTATTTATAAAAGAAATTTAGCTTTCTGCTTATTAAATAATTCTTCTATTTGAAATTTCTTAATTGACATTTGTAAAAGTGACTTAGCTGAGTAATACATTACTTTAAATCAAAGATAAAGCACTAGTTACAAAACTTGAGTCAAAGATTTGTGTATTTTAGATCTAAACACTTGAATTAGTAGAACTTAATAATAGTGGGAAATTTGATAAACTAGATGTTATGTAAATGTTTTAAAAATAACAATCTTGCATAGATAAATTTGAATCTTTTATATTTAATAAAGTAGCATATTAATAATTATTATTATTTTAAGCTTTGAAAAATAAATGTGCTAGCGAAGTAGAGGAGAAATCTTCTGATAGAATTCTTTATTTCCCACTAAATTAGATATTATAATTTATTACATCCAAAAAGTAATTATCTATATCGCCATAAGTATTTACAATTTATCCTCCATAAAATGATACGATACTTTGGTTTTTGCTTTTTGTCTTGATGTACTTCCTATTTGAAATAGTTTTTAAATCAAATTAATTAATTAAAAACAAATTTATTCTTACTCTATTCCAATAGTCGATGCTTAACTTTAGAATGTATATAAATTATTAAATTCACAATTTTAGCAGTTAAAATTAAGCTATTAACCGAAAGTATCTATGAAAAAAGCACTTCCATCATTTAAGGCATATCCTTCACTAAAGCTAGTGCTTATTATATTTATATTTAATACTTAACTAAATGATTCAAAGTATATAAAGGCTCCATATGAAGAAGTTGATTTACTAAAGTTACAATTAGAAATATTGACTACTTAAGCTTTTACATTAATCATTCCTCCTTCTGAATTGAACATTGACAAGGATTTATCTATAGGAAATGTAGAATTATTAAATTATACTGTATCAAGGATAAAAGTGTTTGCTTATATGAATATAAAACCATAATTCGAATTGCTATAAGAGTTATAAAATTGAGTATTTTTAATTAAAACTGATCCAACATAATTTTAAACAAATAAAGCAGTTGATGAAATAGTAATCGTGAAAGGTACACTGTTTAAAAAGATATTTTGGAACACACAAGAATCTAAGGTAATTTCTATTTAATAATCGCTAACTATATAAATTGGAGTCGATTCAGTGTTAACACCAGTTTAACTAAGAAAAACATTTGTAAAATTACCTTTAGTCATGTTAAATTTAGCTGATTGAGTAAATTTATTTTTTATTACAATTATACTAGAATCTTAAACTTTTTTATTTATAGTTTATAAATTAAAAAAGGTGATGTTCTAGACTTCATTCATTTCTAAGCATCCTATCGCTAATTAATTAGGAATCTATGATAGATATAATTAATCATTAAAACACTAAAAGTTATTTATATAAACACTATTTACAAACTCAATCAAAGCTAATTATATATCAAAGTGATTCTAAATAGTTGTTTATTCAATTTATATAGAACCTATTTTATTTGTTTAAAAATACTATGAAGAACTTAGGTCATTTAAATTTAGCTTAAATAGCGTGTTGTTGTAAAAGTTTATGTTATACAGATTTAATTCATGATATGGAACAACTATCATTGAATAAATAGCACTAAAAAAGATATATTATGTCCTAGCCTAGAATTTATTATTTTTCATGTCAATATTTTGAAGAGAAAAACTTTTAAATTCTTAATTTTGAAAACTTTCTACTTAAAAAATAACTTTTTTGCAAAATATATTATTTGTTATGTTTACATTTTTCACTACAAAATACCCAGCTTAGAATAACTAAGATATACTTTGATCATCTGATGAATCTTAAGAGCATGTGTTTCCAGATATTTCAAGATTGCTTATGTATGCATTCAAGTTTGATAATTATTTCAAGACGCTAAAATTTAACCCAAGCTTACTATTAGCTATAGTCATATTTTATATTATTATCTATTTGTTTTTAAAATTTTATAAATATAAATAACTAAAATAAGTTAACATTACCTAAGTGGCATTAAAAGAGCTAATAATAGATTAGTGATTTGTGAAATCTTCGTTTTAAATTTCATATTTTAAAATACTAATTTAAGTTGAATCTGCTTAAATTACTTAGCAACTTTTTATATCAGAAACTTAGAATTATAGATACAATTAAATATTATCAAAAGTTACACCTTATTTAATGTTTTAAACAGATATACCACATTAATTTTGTGGACTACTTTATCCAAAATAAATTATAATATCTTAAAATCCTATTTAATTATAGTTTTGAAGGACTAAAGTATTTACATTTAGCAAACTAGCTGGATTCCCTTAAATGGTACTTTTAAAATTCAAAGAAATTATTGAATTAAAATCAAAGTTCATAAAATTGCTGTTCAAATCTAATATTGATCCAGGTTGTATTAAAATATCTACTCCCATATTAGATACTCCATTTATCATTTATTAATAGTATTAAGCCTTTTAATTTAATTTATAAGTTTTATATTAAAAGATAAAATAGGGAGTTAAAAACTTGTATAATTTATTTAAAATTTTTTTTAAATTATAAAATTTATTTATCAAAATTTTTTTCATAAAATATCCATAAATTATTAAATGATAAATTCATTAAAAAAATAAACAAAAGATCATAATTATTTTGCATTTTTTTAGATTTATTTCATTCCTCAAGTGTAATATTAAACCTTTTTATATCATTTTATTCATCAAAATTATTAATCTATGAATTTAAAATACGTGTAGACTAATAATCACTCTGCTACTCCTTTTCTTTTACACAAAAGCTTTAATATATCAATTTTACTACCATATAAACTACTTATTAACCCTTATGTTCCATTTTTAACTTTTTTAGTATATTTATAATATATCTTTCTAACTATTGCTAATCCAGGTATTAAAATATGATGAACTGGATAGCATTATATTTTAATACCTGGATTATGCTTAATTTATTATTTAAAAAATAAATAAAAGAATTTATGAAAAAGTATGTAAAGGCAAGATTCAATAAAATTCATAAATTGTATTTAATATATAAATATATAGTATAAAAAGCGTTCAAATACAATATTCAATATTTTTTCAAAATTTTGGTGGTTTTCATTAAGTTAAATTTTTGGTTTTATGGTTCTTTATATTGGTTGACCGGCAATAATTCCCCTTATCTATTATATATCACAAGATAATATTAATCTTTTTTAAGTATCATAATGAAATATATCACCTATAACAGAGTTCTTGCATAAACCTATTTAAATAAATGAACATGATAAGTTTATTGAATTATTTAAGCTAATATTTACTAAAATTTATAAAGAACTTAAAAGGAAATCCTTGTTAACTCAAATCCCATGAATAAACAGTTCCTAAATTATCAACTCCAATAAGCTCTAAGTTATTTTTATTTTCTAAAGAAGCTACTGCAAAAGCTGTCTTTACTTAATTGTCTGTAGTAAGATTGGATTTAAGATAAATTCTCTGATTTGTTGAGTTACAATTTATCAATTAAAATAAATAATTTTCTGTAGAAGCTTTAGAAGGAAAAGCAAACGCAACCCATATATTATTATTCAAAAAGAATGGATCTAAATTTTAATTGATACTGGGCCATTATAGATTGTAAATACTAGTTATGTCAATTATCTATTTTAAATATAATTTGTGAAAATATATTTTTTAAATTTATTTTTTACTGTATCTCCTTATGAAAATGGAAATATTGGAAACATTCCTATATAACTATTTCCCTTATCTGAACCATCATTTGTCCCCTTGTAAAAGCATGTACCATTTAGCATTTTGATTGTATAAAAGCTACCATATTTGAACCTAATAAACTTTTAAAGATATGGCTTAGTTGAGTATTATGAAGTATATCCGAAATTTCCTCTGTCATATAAATTTAATTAGTTTTCGCTAAGAAGAGCAAATATATCATTATAACCATCATTTTGCCATATGAATCTTCTCGCATATATATTATGATAAAAATCTTAATTTGATATTTATTAAATAAGAAATATTTTACTTAGAAATTAAATTGTAGTGAATTAAAAATTAAAAAAGAAATATAATAATAAATCATTTTAAAATAGTTAAATTTAAAATTAAAATTAAATTACACAAAAAGTAAGTTTGCTTGTATGAGGTAAAGTTAAAAGTTGTTAAGTAAAACTTTGAACATATAATTATTGATTAACTTTCTTATACTAAATACCAATCATAGAAAGTATCAGCTTAGTAATAATAAAATTTATTTATTGTATAGCTACTTCCCTTCAAATATACTTAGTAAATATTAACTCCATCTCCTGCCCATAATTAGTATTTGTTTTTCGAAAGATTAACAAATAATAAATTTGTTATCACAGAATTTACATTCATCAAGGCTATTTTATTTATATTAGTTTAAAACAAATATTTGTTAGTTTTATCATTTTAACGTTAAATAAGTGCTTACATGTATTATATAGAAGTTAATATTTGCTATTTTTGATATCTAGAATTTTTACAGCTATGATTTAAGTAGAGTTACCTCCAATAAAAATTACATCATCTATTGGATGCTTAGTGAATGATCTATGTATTGCATCTAAATTTACTTAAGCTAATTATTTTTTAAATATTACATTTATTATATATTTGTCTATAAATTTACAATTCGGTATAAATCCATAAAATTAGTATGTTAAATTTTAAAGATCTATTCCCCAAGAAATTAAACCGGCATCATTTGAAGTAATAATAATTTTATCTCCTGTAGAAAGTTAGTACAGAATCGATTTAAATTGATAAAGCTATGTACTACCATATTGAGCTGTCAATTATTTTGTATTATCCATATTAAGTAAAACTTTCTGCTACAAAAAATCAAATATTTGTAGATGATTGTAAAAATTAGTCAATAATATGTAATTTGTCTGTTCTAAAATCATAATTGCAGAGAGCTTTGGAATAGAATAAGAAACTAAAGCCTTTAATGTATAGGGATCAGCAAAAATAAGAGTTTCAAAATTAGATACTACTAATTAATCTGTTTGAGAGTTATATTTCATATCAATTATTACATAATCAGCTAATTTATGAAATAAATTGATTCTAAAAATGAAAATATGAGTTAAGAAAGAAATACGCTTGATGACATTAATAGTTTCGCCAGATATTGATGATAAATCATAGTAATAAACTATACTTGAGTCCTAATATTGTTCATATAATGTGTTGATAATCAAAATATTAGTTTTTGGAATTCTGATGACATTTCTAGCAGCATATCCACTTGCTGCCATAGGATCTAATTTCAATAATTAAAGCATAAAAAATATGATAAAAATTTAAAAAGAAAATTCCTTACTATGGAAAGTTTGCAACTAAGGACATTTTTAACTACTTGCAATCCTTAAAGCTAAGTAAATGCTAATTAATATTTTTGAAAACTTAATACCTTTAAAATTAACTTTAGACATTACCTTTTAATTAATTTATTAGAGTTAATCTTATTATTAATTTCACACTTACAATTAATGATATCTTTCTTCTTTATAATTGAGTTCTTTCAATTCTTTTTTTCTACAACATCAAATTAAATGATTTACATATTAATGGTATTTATATAAATTAAAATATTTACTGAAAAAAAAGTATAGATACATAAATTATGAATTTTAGAGTAAATAGAATATTTATTTATTATGCCATGAAAGTAATGAAAATGAAATTAAAAAAAAAATAGTTTTAATTAATTATTAAGTTAATTTTTTATTTTACAAAAAATATTATCAGGTTTTTATTTTAGAAAATAAATTTTTTTAGTCAATTATTTTCTTTCAAGAACTCTTAACACATTAAAATTAAATATTTCTAATTACTTATTCCTTAAAAAATTTAAATGCAAATTAATTTAAAAAAAGATGGATTATCAAAATAAAATTTTAAAGTAGCTATAATTATTATTTTAATTATATAAACATAATTTTATATCAAATTTTTTTTTCTCAATATTGATTGAAGATTTTGTTTTTAAAAATAGATTTCAATAATCTGTTTAACTTAAAATATATATTTTTTGATATTTGCTAAAATATAATTTGAATGGTATTAACTAATTTCAGAAATAATATATATATAATAAACATCAACAAATATTTTATTGTTAAAAATATTGAACCTTTGAGTTTTTAGAGCATTAGTCTAATTCAATATTTATTTATACTTCATTAATGGTTTAATTTTGTAAGTTTTTATTAGGAGTTTATTTATTTTCAGAACTAATAAATTACTTTTGAAGATTAAACAATCTTAAATTAGAATCAAAGTTTGAATTTCTATTTGAAAATTCATCTTTATTCCCTTTATTAAAATAAAATAAAATATTTAATAGATGAACAAATAAAAATATTTTGTACCTTGCTAATTAAATTGACTTTCTAATTTAACCATTTCCATTGACTTTATTTCTTTGACTTTTGGTTAATTAATACCCATATCTTAATATAAGGGAGGTGAAGAAATTATGGATATTTCTTTTAATTAGTTTTGTTATTAAATACTATTTTCTATTTATTTTTGTTTATCTTGCTAATCTTCAAAAGAGATTTTTCCATTTGACTCAGGTTTTATTTAAAGGTTATTTTATTCTTCATCGTCTTTCTAAAATAAGTGTCCATATGATTAAACTGTTGATAAATATAAATTTAAAAAATTTGTTTATTTTTATTTATAAAAAATCTACCTAATTACTGCTCCAATATCTTTAGGAAAAGATTCTTCTTTTCTTAAGGTTTCAAAGTTAAAATTTTTTTAAATAATATTTTATATTTTTCTTTAACTTCAGGTTTTATTTACTTTTTTGGCTTCTCTTCTTTGACGAATCTCATAAAATAATCCATTTTTTTAGATAAAGAGACGAGTACTGACTAAATAACTACCTATATTTTAGGTAAATATCCTCCTATAATTTTGTTCAAAATTTTAGCAATAAACCACACATTGATAATTACTATCAAAGTGAGTGAAATATAGACAAGTATGCATATTAATTATTGTACATAAATAAACCTAAGAGTACAGTCAATGCAAAAATATTAGTGGAATTCATATCTATTTCATTTATATCTGGCTCTTGATAAGGGTGTATTATCATAGATAGAATGCCATATGAAGTAATAACAATAAAAACAAGAATTGTTTTAGTTATAATACTCTATGAATAAAAGTTCAAAGCTAAGATAATTGCCAATTTCTCAGCCATTTTTATGAACTCCCAGTAAAAAGGATAATTTTGATACTCTTTATAAAGAAAACCATACTTTAACTTTATATCTATATCTTCTAAATTATATTTATTCTTCCTTAGTAATAAAAATAAATTAACAGGAAGTACTATCACCAATAGTATTAGCATTGGTAAAATTAATACTAGGGCATAAAAATAATGCTAGCTTGTATAGCAAACAAAAGAGACGTTTGATAATATATATTAAGTATCACCTATTTACCTGCATGAAAGTAAAGCTATAATCTAAGCAACTAAATCTGGCTAAATATATATTATCAGGAACATAATTGCTGTTGTCAAAATATACCAAGGGAATTATTTTTAATGATAATCTTATTTTTTAGCTTTACTGAGTTGCTTAATAAGGTAATATATTAGCATGCACAATAAAAATAATATCATATATATAACAGGGATAGTAAGAGAAAATATCAATCTAAGGTATACTATTGGAACTGAAGAATTTAATTCTCGTAAGGCACAATCAAGTGAGTTCATTATTTACTTTAATGGTTGTTCTACTTACTGAGGGAGTTCAAATATACCTTAAATATTTAAATACATAAATCTTATTATATTTCACTGTTGTATTACCACTAATAGAATATACTTATATATTTTTAGTATTAAGATCAAAACTTGCACTAACAGCAAATGTTTAATAGCCATCTTAAGAAATAGGAAAAATTATTTCATTTTTGTTATTTAAGAGGTAAAAGAAAATATATTCATTTATTTTAAATAAAGATTGGGTAATTTATCTGAATATCAAAAAATTTAGAATAATAAAAATTTGCAAAAAATAAAAATTAGAAAGAAAACCTAATTTTTTAATTGACTAATTTGATGTAATTAATTAATTGCTTTATAAATTTATGAATTGAACTTAAAAAATAAAATGTTTTTTAATTAATTATCAAGTTTTTTTGTAAATATTTAGAAAAATAATTTTGAAAACATGAATAAATAATGTAAATAATTTAATATAACATAATAATGATATTAATAAGATTTTAGTTTAGTTTTCAAGAATTTTCACCTTAACTTTTTATTTCTATATTCACCTAGTCTTCTTTTAAAGTTTTTTGTTAACTTTCAATATAAAACTTACTATTAGGATTCTCTTCATCAGATTTTGGAGACTCTTAAGAATCAAATTTAATGAGACTTTTATTAGAGTCTTCCTTTTTGTGTATGACTTTTAATTAGTTGATGAAAAATAAATTTAATAATAATTTAATTTATCATATTTATTACTTATATTATTTAATATTTCTTGATTGCTATTTTATTTTCCGCTTTCGATATTCTTGTCTTCTTCTTATTAGGTTATGAATTTTAATGTACCACAGAATTGGGATGATGACTTTAATTAATTGAAATTTTCTTCATCTTTTCCTTTTTATTCTTCATTTTCTTCATTTTTATCAAAAAGGTAGGCATATTACTTAACTAAATAATTATAAAATACATTAAATTTAACTTTTCTTAATTAATAATTTAATTTTACCTAGTCTTTACTCATACACTTCCATCACTATCTTTTTCTTTTACTCGCTATTCAAATTTTAAAATTTTTAAAACAAGAATAAGAACTTTTTCTTGATTTCAGGATCCATTTTTTTCTTAGCATTTTCTTCCTATTTTACAAACCTCTTAAAGTATGATATTTTAGAAGAGAGAATTTGCACTAGCTGCTGCAAGATATCTTTAATTTTTGGCATATAGCCTCCAATAATTTTATTTAGAATTTTAACAATAAACCAAAGATTGATCATAACAATTAGACCTAAAGAACTATAAACAAAGTATACATATTGATTTTTATACATAAATAGACCAAGTAAAACTGTTAAAGCACAAACATGAGTAGAATTAACATCAATTTCGTTTACATCAGATTCTTAATAAGGTTTGATTATAATTGATAGTATACCATAAACAGTAATAACTACAAAGACTAATATAGCTTTTATGTTTATGCTCTGTGAATAAAAGTTTAATGCAAGAATAATAGCTAATTTCTCAGTCATTTTCACAAATTCCCAATAAAATGCATAGTTTTCATATTCTTTGTATAGGAAGCCATATTTAAGCTTAATATCAATTTCCTCTAAACGATTTTTATTTTTTCTTAAGGACATAAAAAGAATACCAGGTAAAATTAAAACCCAAACTAATAACATAGGAATCACCATGACAAGGGCATAAAAATAATGTTCTTTATCATAGCACACAAAGGAAACATTAGACAAAATATATTATGTGTCACCAATTTATCTACATGACAATAAAGCAATGATTTAAGCAACTAAATCTGGCTAGACATAAATAATTAAAAACATGATAGCTGTAGCCAAAATATACCAAGGGAATTAATTCTCATTGTTATTCTTTTTAGCTTTTATTTTCTTAAGTAAGTAATACAGACCCATACAAATTAAAAATAAAGCCATGTATAAAAATGGTATTAAAATAGAAAATAAAAGTCTCATATAAATTATTGGCATAGAGGAATTCATCTCTTATAAGGCACAATCTAAAGAATTCATAGTTTATTTAAGTGGTTAGCCTACTGATTAAGGGAACTCAAAAATACCTTTTGATTAACATATAAAATAAATTAAAAATATATAAATGAAAAAATATACAAAGAAAGAAAGAAAAAAAAAACAGTGGAAATATTTACCTGAAGGAATGCTGAGATTAAAAGTAGCTATAGATCCAACAATTTATACGTAATTTGTTAACATCTTAATATAAATTCCTGATTTTTCTTCATCAGTCCTTATTATTTACACTTTTTATGGTTTTTCTTTAACTTCATAGATAGAACTTCTAGTAGTTGTTTTTTGGTTAGTTATTGTATTAAAAGACTGTTAATTTACTTAATGCACTGAAGTTTATCTTCTTGATTAACTTTTAATCATTTATTTTCTTTTTAAACTTTTTTAAATTGTAAGAATAGCTACTCGCTCCTTTAAGATTTCCACATCACCCTTAATTGCAAGGCACATAGATATTAAAGTCCACACAGTCATCAAAACAACAATCCATATATTTCCTTTAATTTAATCACATCTAGTGCATGAATATTTAGCTGATTTTGCATAAGATGTTCCCCAATGTTAGCCATATATCTTAAATTATTAAAAAAAATTAATAAATATTTTTTAGATTTACTGAAAATAATTTTAAGAATTTACATCGCATTCTTCACAGAGTGCACCTATATGTCCTTCATGGCAAATATCGTCTCCATAATTTCCTCCATCACAGTTATCAGGTAGATTTGAGCAACTTATTATTAAATCACTAATATTTGATTTGCGCCAATAACCTTGATTAGTAACTATGTCTGTTCCTCCATTACAAGTAGCTCCTTTAGGACATTCTTAACAATTCTCTACATTAAAGGAGTAATAGTTAGCTGGGCATATTTAACATTCAGTAACTTATCCAAGTTAGGCTATCTATTCTCCAGAGTCACACAACCTGAAATGAACAAGAATATTAAAAGTATAGTTTTACACAAAGTTAGCTTGCTAACTATCAACACCATAAATTTATTTAGAGCTAAATTATATTTGAACAGAAGATCCTGGTTTTCCTAATAATGTTATATTCTCAAAACTAAACGATTTAATATTTGGATTAAAACTTGCTTAAGTGCTTCCATCTATTTAATATTGAACTAGATTAGCAGTTTTAGGATCAAAAGCTACGCTAATTTTGTATGTATCGAATTCATCTTATGTAATGGGATAAATAATTTCATTTTTATCATTCAAAAACAAAAATTAAATATTAGTCAAGTTAGCACCGCTTCTAAAGTTGTTAATAACAATTTAATCTTTATCTACTTTTCCATTATTCACTTATAAGAATTCATCAATATTGCTTATTCTTAATTTTGTAGGATAAGAAATATTATCGTTTCCAAAGACAGTTCCTTTGTTACTTGAAATAACATTATTTTTTTCAGTATTAACAGAGATATTTTGTTAAAAAATACCACCTCCAATACTTGCTACATTTTAAATTATTTTAGAGTCAGCAATAGATATACTTTGTAATGGAGAATTCATAACATCTGAGTCAATATAAATTGCTCCACCTCTAGTTTTACATGAATTAGATTCAAAAATACTATTTGTGATAGAAAGGCCGAATTTCTATTTCATACATTTAAAAATATATTTAAGTGTAAAATATTTAGAAAATTTACATCTTTTTACAAAGCTTTTAAATAGAGAGCTCCACCATCATTTTATGATCTGCAGTTTATAAACCTGGTGTTAGTAATAGTATTCGAATTATTCATTCCTTAAACAAAGAGAGCTCCTCCAAAAGAAGACTTTTATAAAATAAAATTTAAGAAAGTATTACTAAAAATAAACTATTTTACATCAATATTTTAGAATGTAGTATCTTCTAAAGTTAATGTACTTTGAAAAAGTTGAATAGCTCCACCATTACAATTAAACTTGCAGCTTGAGTCTGTAAAGGAACTCTTTGATTTTATACTGACTGTAGATTGATAAGAAATTATTAAGGAAGCTCCGTAAGGGTCAGGATTCTAATAAATATTCTATTGTAAAACTCTACTACCAAATAAGGCTTATGATACATTTTTAAATGAAATGTTCTCAAATTAGACATTACTTTAAAGAGCATAAATCGCACTGCCACTAAATAAGCTATCTTCGAATTAAGTGTTTGTAATAGTAATATTTGATAAAGTTGAGCTTATGAGAAGTGGTAAAAGTGAAGTTTAGGATTATATTTTAATGTTAGAAAATTTACATCCTTAAATTTATAAAGACGATTTTAACAAGTTAACTAAAGTAGCTTATTATTGAAGCCCTTTAAATTTAGTCAAGTAGAGTTATTATGGTAAAGAATTTGAGTTAAACTATTCTGAGATGATAGTAGGAATTTGATTAAACTATAGATTAGAATTAGAGATATCAATAAAGTAGTTGTCTGTAACTCCAAATACATTTTTTATAAAGCCTCCTTAGAATTGTATTTTATTTAACTGATTAGTTTTAGTCTTTGAGTATTTCCTAAGTATTATTTTTAAAATATTTATCAATTTTTGATATTTAAAAAAAAATAAAAAAATAAAATTACTCTTAACCTATAGTAGATGCTGATATTTATTATGTATAGATGTTACTAAATTAACAATTTTAGCAATTAAATTAGAGTTATTAACCTCCTGAATCAATATAAATTGCACCACCATCATCTTCAGCATAACCTTCACTAAAAATAGTATCAGAAATGCTAACTTAAAAGATTTAACCAAATGATATCATGTAAAGAAATGCTCCTTTTATGGCTGTTGCTTAATTAAAACCAGACTTTAAAATATTGACAGTTTATGCTTTGACATTCAACATAGCTCCATATGAATTGAATAAAGGCAAAGGCTAATTTAAAGAAAATGTAGCATTACTAAATTAAACTGTATCAAGAGTTAATTAATTGGCCTGAACGAAAATTAAGCCATACTAGGAATTGCTATAAGAATCATAGAATTATGAATTTTTTATAAGTACTTTGCCTACATAGTTTTAAATCCAAAGAGCTGAAGTAGAGTAAGTCAAAGTAAATTGAATGCTTTTCAAGGTGATATTCTAAAATAAACAAGTATCAATTGTTATTTCAATTTAATAGTTGCTGGCTACTTGAATAGGTATTGCTTCAGTGTTTACTCCATTTTAATATAATTATAAATTTTAAAACACACCTTTTGTAATTATTAAATTAGCAGATTAAATACTATTATTTTCCATCTATAATAAATTTGTGTCTTATGCTTTTTTATTAATTATTTTAATTTAAGTAATATTTGCAGAAGCAAATTCATTCAATTAAAGACAACTATATGTTTATTGGTTAGGTATTTTGACTAAATAGTCATCATCGTTTACACAATTAAAATTAATAACATTAATATTGTCTAAATATTAAAAAAATCCAAATGAAATATCAAAGTGATTGATTAGCATGATGCTTTGAGCTTAAATTTTTGATATTTTACTTGTTTGAAAATATGATGCACTTATTTAATCAAAATCATTATATTTTGTAAGAGAATTATTCTTGAATTAAATATTATTTAAGTCTAATTCATGACTTGGACTAGCCATCATTGAATATAAAGCATCGAAAAACAAGTATGTAGTTCTAGCTTGAAAGAGATTATCATAAATTTGTATATCTTAAAAGGAAAAAACTTAATTATCTTAATCTAGACTAGAAACAACAGAAAAAACTATTTTTTTGCAAAAAATATTATCATTAACTGTCATATTCTTTACATTAAATCCTCCTGCAGAAAATAGTGCCGATATTTTTTAATTATTTTATGTTCCACTATCATCAGTTGGGCAAACATTGCTTGCTAGAGTTACATTAGATACAGCAACTTTTAGATTAGACTCCTAGGTTAATATGCTAAAGCTATTTCCAAGTGTGCAGCCAGTTAAAGAGAAGTTGTTAAAGAAAATCTAATAATTTATTTAATATTAAAATATTTTAAAAAATTGTTTTATTTGTAAATGAAACTTACATCAGTTACATTAAAGTACTATAGTACAGACCCATGGTTGGTAAAATCTTCTCCAGATATTTGATAGTTTTAAACGTTTAATACACTACTGTCAGAGTAAATAGACTAACAGCTTAAAGGTTTAGAAGTTGCAGAATAGAGGTAGAGCTATATATTGTTAATTAACACATTATTCTCTATATTAGAAAAATAAAGACCACATTTATTATTTTCATCATCTAATCCAAAATAGATTATAATATCTTAGAATCCAACATAATTGTAGTTTATAAATTCTAAGCGATTTTGATATTATAGCGAAGCATATGATCCTATCTGTGTACTTTTGAAATTCAAAGAAATTATACTATTAAAATCGAAATTCATAAGCTTAGAATTTAGATTTAAAATTCTATTTGGAACTACTAAGATATCAACAAACATATTTGAAACTCCACTAACTATTTATTTGTAATATTATGCCTAATTTAATAAAAATAAATATTATATGTTTTTATTTAATTTCTGTGAGCAAAATTTTAGCTTCAAAATTAAAAAATTTTTTTTTAAATTATTTAAATTATTAATTAATTTTATGAAAAATGAAGCTATTAAAAATAATCTAACAAGATACCTTAATCATTGCTGTCAAAAAGTTATTTGAAGTTGTAAATGGTTAATCTTTAGTTCCAACACCATAAACACCAGACGAATCATACTAATCAGTAGAATAAAAACTATATTACTGAGTACATTAAATACATAAATTAGAATCCTATAAACAATCATTTAAGGAATAGAATAAGTTGCTATAAGTAAATTGAACCCAAATAGTATTATCTTGAAGCATTTCTATGTTAATAATTTAATCTTGTATCTTAGAAGACTATAGGTTCAATAATAAATCAAACTATTATGAGATTATGTTGAATTTGAAGATGTATGCTATGCCAGTATTAAAATCTCCTATTGCAACTAACTTTGGTTTCGAAAAAGCTCTAAGAGCAAAAGGCTATTAACTTAATTAAACTAAAAGCTAATAATCTCCTGAAGTATAATTAAATGAGTAGACTTTATTATTGTCACATGATATAATTAGTCTCTTTATATCATTGTAGTGGAATATGTCTCCGATCAAAGAATTTTAGCAAAAGCCTAGTTAGTAAAAAAAATAATTAATTATTATCTTACTTAAATAAGAATATTTAATATATAAAGCATCAGTCTTTTCATAATAAATCAAATAAATATTTTACTGAAATCTTTTCTAAACTTAAATGGAAAGCCATTTTTGCTTAAATCCCATGAATAAACTGTTCCTAAATTATCGACTCCTATCAACTCGAGATTATTTTAGTTTTCTAAGGATGCGATAGCAAATGCTGTTTATATTAAATTGTCATTTGGCAGATCTGATTTGAGCAGATACTATTTTTTCTATTATGAAGTGCAGTCTATCAGCATAAATAAATAGTTTTCTGTTTTTGCTTTTTTAGGAAAAGCGAAAGCTACTAAATAAGAATTATTTAGATAAAAAGGATCTAGGTTTTAGTTAATGTCTTTCCAATACAAGTTATAAAGTGAGGTAATATTAACAATCTTTAATTTAAATGAAAATAAGTTATATATCTTTTAAATAATTAATTAATATATTATTACTGAACCATTGTCTGTGAGAGGATATATTGGCAGTAGAAAAATTTAGCTATTTGTACCATCTTGTCCATTTTTGACAAAATAATAATCAAATGTATTTTTTACTTTGTAGAAGCTTCCATAAATCCATCTCACATTTCCAGCTAGTGCATTCTTCTAATATTTAGAAGAAATGCCAAAATTTCCTCTATCATAAAGCTTTATTTAATTATAAGATAAGAGAATAAACTAATCTATTTATCCTTACTGCTATCTTATAAATCTTCTACAATAAAGATCACTATAAAAATCTAATAAAAATGTAAGTTTAGTCAATATAAAAAACAAAATAATTAAATAATTACAAAGGTTGTAGCTAAATATCTATGTTTAATAATTAAATATTGTGACATATTCCTCAGATGAAATATAAAAGACTGGATTTTCTTGTATCATATACCATCTACCGTATGTGGTGATAAACTAGTAATAAAAGTTTCCTGTAGTAATTGACGAGCTATCAGGACTTTCTGACAAAGTTACATTATAAATATAATTCTTAGCGCCTAACCAAAGTATAGGTTAATAACCATTATTTGTTTATACTTATATATATCTTAAATTAGATATAGGGTCACTATATTAATAGTTGTACAAACCTTATTTTTAAAATATTAAATATTATTATTTTAATATGTCTTTACCAAAGTTAATTAGGATTTATTTGCTGAATTTTGAATGAAATTACTTATTTTGTAGATTTACTTAAACTGGTTTTTTGTTATATCAATAACTTTAACTATAATTATTTCAAGCCACTATCCGCCTATAAAGAATATGTCTTATGTAGGATGTTTTGTGTAGGATCTGTAATTATCACCTTAATTTTTTACTATTGCTAATAATAGGAAAATAAAATATATCAAATTATATGTTTTAAAAAATAGAAATAAATAAATACATTATTTGATATATCCATTAAATTTATAGACTAAATTCTTTAGATCTATAGTCCATGTAATAATACCCATATCATTTGTTGTCAAAATTATAGTTTGGCCTGTTGAAAGGGTATAAAAATCAGAATAATATTAATACAGGTATGTGTTATTGGCAAATGTTTGCAGTGTCTTTGAGTTATCCATAGTAAGCATTAGTTTTTATTGGATGTAATCGTATATTTGCAAAGTATTGAAAAAATTTGTTAAGATTATGTAATTTGTCTAATCAACCAGCGAAATTGCATATAAATTGGGAACTGGAAAGGAAGTTATAGCTTTTAGAGTATAAGGATCTGCGAAAATTAAATTATCATAGTTTGTGACCATTATTTATTCTGATTGGATATTATACTGCATATCAATTATCACAAAATTAGCTATTAATTGAGAAGTAAATTAGTAAATATATTTTGAAATAAGAAGGATTACGCTTGATAACATTGATGATTTCTCCTGAAGGCGATGATAAATCATTGTAGTAAACTATACTTGAATCATAATTGTCTTTAAAAATAGTGTTAATTATCAAGATATTTGTTTTAGGTATTCTCAGGAAGTTTTTAACAATGTAGTTTTGAATGAGCATAGGATCTTTTTAGTTTGAAAATGAAAATCAGCTTCTCGTTAAGTATTTATAATATTTGCATTAAATAAATTACTATGATAAGTTTGAAGCTAAGGACATTATCCGCTAAATACTATCTTAAAAAGATTTATTGCCCAAAGCAAGGTAAATATTGCTTACTTCAATTACATTTGCTTGATTAAAATAGTGTGTTTGCTTATTTTTTAATAGAAATTTAATTATTATCTATAATTTGGTACTACCAACCTTTCTATTTGAGATATATCAATTAGCTAATATATATCACGTCTTTCTTTCCTTAAAATTTAAATGAAGAATTTTACCTCAATTATTTAGTATTTACATCCTACAATTATTTAAAACACTGATTAAATTAAATATTTTTCTACAATTCATATTTAACCAACTCAGCTAAGTTTATCTTTTTATTATTTTGTGCTAAGTAAATTCATGGATTTTTCTCTTGTAAGTATTAAGCGTTTATTAAGCTTTTTAACTCTTAAAAAAAGAGATTTGAAATATAAAAATATGCAAAAATATGTTTTTTTACATTTCCTAAAAATAAAGTAAAATTTCTTAATAGTTTAAATATTATATTTTAAGTAAAATACTAATTTACAATCACTTTAAAAATCTTACTGATACGAAATCTATTCATTTTAATTAATATTTTTCGATAACAATCAAATTGTTATCAGAATTCAAATTAATATCTAAAAAATAAATAACAATAATTAATTATCTTTGCATCTTCCAAGTACAATCTATTTCAGAAAACAAACTTAAATTACAATTTTTTTAAATTACTTTTTGTTATATGGGAAAAATGCTTAATGCAAGAAATTTGATTATTCTTAAAATTATGTCTTTATATTTTAGTAGGTAAACAAGTGTTTTATACATATCAAAAAAGTGTAAAAATAGACTTTTTTTTTAAGCAACCTTAATTCGCTTATGTTTAAAATAAGATAGAAGCTTTTATTAAGCATAAGATCTTTATAATTAATAACTAAATTTCAATAAGACTATTATCAAAGATACTTTCTTCATATAATCAGAATATTTAATAAATATCAATTTTCCAAAAATAAATTAAGACATACTAATTACCGTATTTATTCTCAACCTAACTTCTTGATATTTTTCAATGAATTGTAAAGAAATTTATGTTTATATCTAATGATAGCAATTAGTAAAATGGTGTTAATCAAATAATGGCATGAATAAATACGGTATTTTTGAATTAAATTACTAAAAAAAATTATAATGAAACAAAACATAAAATAAATTTCATAAAAAATAGAAGAAAAAAATTTAAAAATTGATTAAATTAAAAAATTATGGGAAATAAAAACTAATTAATGAATAGACTTAATAAAAATATACTTGATATTTTGAATGTTTGTAAATTACTTAACTTATGTCATCAAAAAAGAAGTGAATTAAATTATCCTCTTAAATCCATTTAATTTTTCTAAACTAATAATTCTTATACAAAAAATATATGATACCTCAATTATAAAAAGTAAATTTTAAAGCAAAATTTTGAAAAAGTTAAAGCGATATCTTTGTTGAAAAAGCATATTAAAATACTGTTTTGGAAGATAATTTGTAAATTTATATTCTACAAAGACACTATTCAACTGATAGTATTTTTAATAAAGATTTTATTTTAATTAATACTTTAGATATGTTATAGAATTTTGTTATTTATTTATTAAATCCATGTATTTATCTACATTATTTTTTAAATTTTTTTTTCTTTTCAAAATTTTAATTTACAATCATCCAAAATAAATATTTCACGAAAGTAATCTTTGGAATTTAAGAATCCTATCTAACCAGTAAATTAAGTAATATAATTAATAATTTGATAAATCAATTTTTCAATCAGTAAATTTTTCTCTTTGTAGACTGATAAAATTCAGAGTAAATTTAAAATATATTTTTTAATAATAAATTAAATATTTTCATAATTTCTGAATAATGTATTACTCTAAAAATATGATAATAATTACTCCAACTCAATCATTAAATTTATAACCCTAATTTTAATACAAATATTTTTTTTGCTCATTTGCATTTATAAAATAAATTTAATAGATTTTTAAACATCAACTCTTTTTCATTTATATAGATTAAGTATTATTAGATTAATGATTTTAGTAAAATAAAAACAATCTGAAAATATATGCTTTTTTTATATCATTATTTAAAACTAATGTACTTTATATTTTTTTAAAAGACTTAAAGCGAAATTTACTTTAAGAAAAATTATTTCTGAATTATAAGAGAAATTTAAATAAAAATTTATCAGATGAGATAATAATTTTATAATTATTATTTGATTAATTCTTTTAATCATAATTAATTAAGATATGTTTAAAAAAGTTAACTTATTCAAAGATGTAAACTGAAATATTATTTATTTTTTATTTATCTTTTATAAAAAATATAACATAATTTTTAAAAAGTCTTAATTTAAAATAAATGATTAAGTAAAATATTTTTTCTATATTATTTTAAATTCATTTTCTTTATATTTTTAAACATGTAAAAATATTATAAAAATGAAAGAAAGACTTATAATTAATTATATTATTTCAATCGCGAGGAAGAGCAACATCAGCATCAGCCAAAAGGTAGAATAATGAAGCAATACCAACAACATTTTCATCCATTTAGTCAGGATCCATGACACTCATAGAGTCACCAGCTGAGTGATGGAATGTGAAGTAGTAGTCATTTGAAGGTGTATCTTATCCAATATTTCTAACCATAGGAACTCCATAGCTTCCGATATATCCACTATCAACCATTTCACCCTCACCATCAAGAACTTCAGTAATATTGTAAATTGGCTATTTTATATTAATTGATTAAATTTGATTTATATTAATAGTAGTATAATTATTTACTTTAAAATATGTAGAAACTAAGTCCTAGAAATAATTTAATCCATTCTAACCTCCAGAGAAACCCCATGCAACTGGTGTCCTTGATCCAAGATCGCTTTCGAAGGCAACAATGTGGTTGTCCATTTCGTCCTTATGGTCATTTGCATACTAACTTGCACCACTTAGAGATCCACCATATTCCTCACCACTCCAAGCAATAAAACGAATAGTTCTTTTAGGAGTAAGCCCACTCTTAGCAATTAATCTAAGAGCTTCATAACAAGTAACAAAACCACCACCATCATCATTAGCACCAGTTTAGCTGCCTACATCCCAACTATCAGTATGACCACCTATTGTTATTAAAATTTAATAAAATTATTTCTTAGTTATTAAAATAATTAACAATTTAAAATACCTAAAACGAGAATCTTTTCAGGATAAACGGAACCTCTAAGTTCTGCAACAACATTGAAAGAGTTAGCGTTAGGAACATTCCAACTTTCCATGTAAAGATTTAATCTGATTCTTTAACCTCTTTCAAACATTCTTAAGAACATTTCAGCATCTTCAACAGCAATAGCAGCAGCAGGAATTTAGGTGACATTAGCAGCATAGCTCATACTACCTGTGTGAGGAGATTCAATACTGAAAGGAGTGATACTTCTAACCAAGGCAGCAACGGCACCTAATTTAGCAGCTTCAATAGCTCCACTTCCTCTGTAAGCAACAGTTGTTTCATAGTTTACCCTATAAATTAATAAATATTTGTAAATATTAAAATAAATACCACTAAATTTAAATATGTTGTTAATTACCAAGGAACAGCATAGATAACTATTTTTCCTGGTACTAAGTGTGCTTTAGCTTATAAATCATCAAAAGAAGTAACTACAACAGCATCAGCAGTGACATTTCCACCAACACTTCTACCAAGACCTATCATTTTAAGCTTTTAGGGGAAAGGACGAGGTTCAAAGAGAGTAAGAGATTCTTGTCCTCTAACCCACTTGGTGAAGTTTCTAACAGGTTCAAGTCTTACATCGATACCATCTTCTTTAATCTGATTAGCTAAATCTTAAATGGCGAGTTCAAGAGATTAAGAGCCCTTGTATTTTAAAAGTGTAAATAGTAAATTATTAATGAAAGAGCAAACTATTTAATAATAATTGATAAAATTTTAGAATACAATATTGTATTAAATTTTTGATTTAAATGAAATTTCTTTTGTATTGTCTAATTTATGTTTTTTAAAATAATTTATTCATTATTTTGAGATATTTATTACTAATTTTAAATAAGCATAAAATTATTTTAATATCTTATGTGAATTTATATTTATATTTATAATGATACCCATAAACGAGGTCCATAAGTATCAACTAGATAAGCCAATCTTCTATATGCTGAATGATGGAATTAACTAGCTGGATCTTCTACAACATCCTTTAAATTTTTTAAGATTTGCTGATTTCTTTAAATATCAGAATATTTCTTTCTTATATCTGAGAACCTTGCTAAAGACCCAGTAATAGCTAAAGCCAAAAGACAAAAAACTAAGATTTAGTTTGCCATTTTATATGCAACAAATACAACTTCTCTTAATCTTTTGCGAAATAAGATATCTTCTTTTTTTTAATTCTTTGATAATTGATTAAGAGTAATTAACCCTTCAATATCAAGTGAGAAAAGAAAAAGAATATCTACAGAAAAAATAAATACAAAGATAGAATGATAAATAATTTAATGTTTCTGTAAGTCTTTAGAAAGGAATGATAAAATAAGTGTTCAGAATTCAAATTAATCTTAACCAAATATTTCTTTTATAAACAGAAAAAGCTTTCCTTAAAACCTATCTAAACGAAGAGATTTTTTGCTTAAGTTAAAGCTATTAAATTAGTCAGTCAGTCAACCAATTGGTATTCATTAAATTTCATGATATAATTTAAAACATTATTAAAAAAATTACTTTAAATCTTAAAAACATTATTTAATTTTTTAGACTCCATTTTATTTAATGGATAAATATGTTTTATTTTTAATTATCCTCATATTTGAAATTTAAATAATAAAATTAATTTTAATTTATTTTAATAAATTTCAAAAAAAAATAATCTTAAAACAATTTAATAGGAATCAATCAAAATAAAATAATTCATATTTTTTTTAAATCCAAAAAAAAAAACTAAAATTAAAATCAAAAAATTGTAAAACTGAAAAATAAAGGCATTTATATCAAGAAAATATTTTTAATAAAAAGATAAAGATATTTATTTATTTATTATTTTTTAAAAAGTTTATATAATTCGAACATGAAATTATGTAATAAATAATGTTTAATTGAGTAACTTTGATATTTCTAGATTTATTTATTTGTTTATTTGTTTAGGATTTTATATTTCAGTCAACTTAATCTGGATTGTTTGGGGTATTTGTTTACATTTAAATACTTAGCTATTTTTAACTTTAAAAGTACTTTATTGCTTTTAGAGTGTTGACTGAAAAAAAACCACTTGATTCTTCAGAATGTCTTGATTTCATTTCAGCTTCGTTTAGTGTTTTTTGGTCTTTTTGGAATAAATGTAAATAATAAGAATATTTATTTATTAGTTATTTAATAAATTAGTTTTTATTACCATAGTCTTACTTGTTCTATTGTTAACTTTGACTTTTATTTGAACAATCTAGCTTCTAGCTCGTAATCAGCTAGATTCTTGTTGTTGTATTTGGTACCATATTTTCGTGATTTAAATGATGATTATGAGATAATTCTTAGCTAATGTATTAAGATTCATGCTTAAATATGTGTCCATGTTTTTAAACTTATATTTATTTTTTAAATATTATTTATTTAATAATTAATTAAATTTTACCTAATTCAGATTCCATGATTTTTAGGAAGAATTGCTTTTTTTATTATGAACTCATATTCAAATATTTGCGAAACAAAAGTTATATTTTTTTTTTGAGTTAATCATTTATTTATTTCTTTTCTTTCTAAATAATTTGAAGCTTTTTAAAAACAGGAAACTTTTCAGATAATTTTTGGATGTAATGCTTTAGCTTAATTTTAATTTTGGTCAAATAAATTTTAATGATCCTGTTTAAGATCTTACAAATAAGCCAGATATTTATTATCAAAATCAGACTAAATGAGAAATATACAAAATAATCAAAGGGATTTTTATAAAGAAATATGCCTATTAAAACTGTAATAGCACAGACGTTAGTAGAATTCACATCTATTTCATTTATCTAGCTTTCCTTGTAAGGATGTATTCTCATTGAAATAATACCATAAATCACTATAATTATGTAAACGAGTACACCTTTTACTACAATTTCTTGTGAGTAAAAGTTAAGTGCAAGTATGATAGCTATCTTTTAGAACATTTTTACAAACTCCCAATAAAAAGCTTAATTTTTGTACTCCTTATACAAAAAACCTAATTTTAGCTGAGCATCAATCGAATCTAATTTTTGTTTATTTCTTACCAAAATAACGAAAAGCGTTATTGGCAATATAAGTACCCATAATAGAAGCAGTGGAAACATGAGTATTAAAGTATAATACTTGTGTTCTTCAGTGTAGCATTCAAAAGAAACATTAGATAAAATATAATCAGTATCTCCAATAGTTCTACAGGACATTAAAGCTATTATTTAAGCTACTAAATCAGGTTGCATATAAATAATTAAAAATATTGCAGAGGTGGATACAACAAACCAGTCAAATTTCTTCTCTTTTCTGATACAATGTAACAAAAAGATTCCCAAAAGGAAAATAATCATGTAAAATATTGGAAAAAGCATAGAAAAAATTAGTCTTGTATAAATAATAGGGATATCAATATCTGTTTTTCTTATTATGCAATCAAATTGCACTTAAATTTGTTTTGTTGGAGATCCCACTGTTTGAGGAAATTCAAAAATTCCTAATTTTAATAAGAATTGAATTATGTTTTTATGATTGATAAATTTTACCTTATGGAATGGATAAATTAAAGGTGGCAATCGAGCTGACAATTTAAATATAATTAGTAAATAATTTGATATACACACCAGATTTATCGTTGGTTTGGTTCTATTGATTTAAATTTGACGATAAATTTAAAGATGACTAGTTTCTTTAATAGGACTTATATCTAATCTGCCTTTGTATAGCAAGTGCAGCTACACTCTATTTAAGCTAGTCCATGTTTCCTTTGATTGCTAAAGACATAGATATTAAAGTCCAAATTATTGATATTAAAGACAACCATATGTTATACTTTATTTCAGAACATCTTATACATTAGTATTTTCCTGATTTTGCAAAATAATCACCCCATTAATCTCCTTATAACTTTTTGGATAATATTTTACTAATTAACAATTGAAAATTAAAATTTTAAATTTGAAAAAAACATCAAAAATAAATAAATAAATTTATTTGATATTGTCATAGAATGTTAAAAATCATATATGCTCTTAAATAAAAGCAAGCTATGAGATAAATATTATTAGAATATATTTATTAATTTACATCACATTCCTCGCAAAGAGCGCCAATATGTCCTTCGTAACATGATTAATTCCCATAAGATCCACCAATACAATTGGCAGGAAGATTATAGCATTTCAAGACATTTTCACTATCAAGTGACTTTCTCCAATAGCCTTATTTTGTAATAAGATTGCTTCCACCTTAACAGAGAGCTCCTTCAAGACATTCCTAGCACCCTTTAGATACTGATAATGAGTAGGTCCCTGGTTCGCAAATATTGCATTAAATAATGTTGTTAAAAGTATTTTTTTCCTCTCCTTATATACATTCTCTAAAACTAATTTAAATATTATAAGAGTAGTCCTGAATGTAAGTGTTTGTTGTTTAGCTTAACGTGTAAATATTATTCGATCTAAACTATAGTGAAGCAAGTTGACCAGGTTTTCCAAATATTTTAAGTTCTTTAAATTTAAAAGATTTAGTATCTTAGTCATAAAATACTTATTGTTCTCCCTGTAAATTTAAACTATTTTCGCTTGAATTCAATGCCTTAATTTTTACCTCAATATTCCAATTATCTATTTCATCCTAGGAAACAGGAATCATCTTTTCTTATCTTTAATTCTAAAACTCAAAAATAATATCTTAAATTGATGCTCCACTTCTAAAACTTTCAATGAAAATAATTCCTTTTTCAAGCTTAGCAGAAGGAAAATTTTAAAGAAAGGACTATTCTTCTACAAATTTTAAATTTGTTGGATATGAAATAATGTCTTTTCCATAGTAAACATATTAGTTATCTGAAAATATATTTTATCCAAGCAATTTAGGATTCATGTTAATTTAATAGATAGCTCCACCTACTAATGCTTTATTTCTTATAAATTAAGAATCAGTAATTTATAGTATTTAATCCTATGGATTTTGCTTTAAAGATTAAACAAATACAGCTCCTCCTCTACCTTCTTCAGATTCATTTGATATAAATTAAACTTACTTAATGGTAAGATTGAATAAAAACTGTTTTAAATTAGAAATTTACCTTTAAAATTAACTTTTTAAAAAGATATTTTACATCATCTTATTAGAAAAGCAAATATAATGAACCTCCATTGTATAAAGCTTTGCAATTTTTAAATATAACTTATTGCATATTATTTCGATCATTTATAATCCCTGACACAAATATACTTCCACCAAAGCTTGCCTAATTTCAATAATCATTATTTAATTTTTTATCAAATTAACAAAAAACTTTTTGCAGATTTAATTTTGGAGTATTTTGTTAATATTTTTATAGAAATTAATTCTCATCTATAAAATTAATTTATGATATTTAAAATTAATTAATTGATAATTTATGAATTCAGAAATTTTGGATTTAAATTTTAAAAATAATATTTTTAAACAATTTAAATTCTAGGTTAAAGTTTACTTTTTATTAAAAAAATAATATTTTTTTATACCTTAACAGAGTCAAATATAGAGTCTTAGATATCAAATTTGGATTTGATCAACTAAAATGCACCACCGTTGCAGTTATTAGTGCATTTTATATCTTTAAATAGACTATTTTTTGTTATTTTAAGAGATCCATTATTTAGATGTATCATTGAACTAGATTAGTTAGAAGGTTTTTAATCTGTAATTAGATTTTAAATCAATCTTAAATCATCTTTATGTTAATGTATAGATTCAAACGAGGTATTTTCCAATATTATATTTGATGCTGCTCCAGCAAATATTAAATAGCTACTAAATATGCAGTCTTTTATTATTCCATTTTAAAAATAAATTTGAGATGAAATAGATGATACAAGCATCGGAGTTTCGCTCTTTAGCATTTATAAATTGGTAAAGTTACTACCTTTTATTTTCAAAACACTTTAAGTAATATTAAAAAACCCAGATAATTAATGTTTATCATATGACTTAAATTTTTTGAGAGCTTTTGAGTTTGAAATTGCTTGATCTTATTGTTTATATTAAATATTTTATAATCCTAAACTTGATGACTTTATTTTCAAAAAATAGCTATCTTCCATTCCATAAATATTCTAAATTTTTCCATCTTAAAATGCTAATATGTCATGTTGTTAACTTGAATTTTCAGATTATTTCCTAATTAATTTTTTGAATAAATTTGAAATAAAATAGAATTAAATATAAATTACTCAAAATCTATTGAATTTCCATTTGGTGACAGCGTGTAAATATCAGAGAAAGAACAGTTTTTGAAATCTAAGACAAGAAAAGCTCCACTTGTATCGATAAAAATGGCTCCTCCATCTATTAAGCTGAATCCTTCAGAAAATTCTGTATTTTCAAAATTTATGTTGAGTGTATTTGAAAAAGAGTTTATGTAGAAAAAAGATCCTTTGGAAGAAGTCGATTGAATAAAAGAAGAATTTAAAACCTTTAAATTTTATACATTTAAATTTAGCATTCCTCCTTATTATTAATATTCTTCAAAGTTTTTAGGCAACGTATCACTTTCCATAAAAAATGAGGATTTCTAGAAGTGAACATTTTACAAATAGACCTCCTTACTTTATAAATATACAAAATTATATTTAGAGTTACTATAGGAATTCTAAAAGTAACAATCAGTTATGTTTGAGTTTCCTTTATAACTCTATAGATAAAGTGCACTTGCAGAATACACCAAAATAAATTTATCAGAGTTTAAACTATTTTAAGTAAAATTGCATTTATTTAAAAATATATCGACCATAAAATAGCTATTAATTTAAATCATGCTGGCATACTGGTTAGCTTCTGTTTAAATAAGGGAAGTTGTATTGAAATTCCCAATAGTTATATTAGCCATCAAATACTCCTATTTGAAATTTTGAATACTGATAACGGGTTAATTTTTTACAATCAAATTATTAACATTGATATTTTTTATAAAAATCTAGGATGCTTCGTTTATTTAAAAACAACCTGTCAACATCTAATTTTATGGAATTTCTTATTTAAATTCATCTGAGTTTTCACAAAAAATTCCATCAATAAAGATTTAGTATGTATTCTAGTTAAGCATGAGTTTAATATTATAGTGATTTTTAAATCGGATGTTCTTCATATCTATGAGTTTAATTTTATCAGTTTCGATAAAAGAAGCTATTGGAAGGTCCTAATTATCCTATTAAACAATAATATTTTCTTCAAATGTGATGTCTTCAAAGTATAAATTATGATCTGGATTGTACAGCATTGAGTAAAGCGAATTAAAGAAGATGTAAGGCATTCTTGAATAAAATTCATTTTTAGTTATGTTAACTGCCTTGAAAGTAAAAGTTTGGTTTTATTGTTTTATAGATGAAACAATAGTAAACATAATTTTATTTTTGAAGACATTATTATAAAAATCTAATTTATCTGCATATATCTAAGCAGCAGAAAATAAAGAAGATAAAACATTGCTATTTTGCTATGTATTTAAAACCTTATTGTTTGATATCTAGACTTTAGTTAAATTTGCACTTATATCCGTTAGTTAAGACAAAACACTGAAATCTTATCCAAGAGTACAATTATTAATCACTAAATTTTCTATATTTATCTTTAATAACAAAAAATTAAAAAAATAAATATTGAAAATAAATAAATAAATCTATTTTTTTGTAATGTTTGTTTTCAAAATTTTTTAAAAATTAAAAAAAAAAATCTCAATCGAATTTAAATTGATCAAAATAAACTTTAAATTTCTAATTTTTAGCTTTAACTGAAAAGAAAAAATATCTTAGCTTTTAAAAGCAAAAAAGATTTGTGAAATAATATAGTTTCATACCTTATCAGTATTTGATGCTTGTATAACTGGTCTATTTTCTTTAAAATATAGACTATCTAAATATAAATCTTTTATATTTAACTAAGATGAGTCTACTATAAAGTAGTAGCAATTAATCATATTTGAGACAATTTTTAGATTAAGCAAGTAAGCTTAATTTGTAATATTTTAGAATCTTATGCCACACTATTTTCCATCTTATATACTAAAATTTAGATTGATATTTTCAAGACTGAACGATTAGTAGTTTGATAATAATAACTAATCATTGTATTAAATGACAGCATTTTTATCTGTTTAATTACTTTTAAACTATAGAGATATAATAGAAGTAAAATCAAAGTTCATGAATTCTTTTTTGATTTCAAACTACGAGCTACTATCCAAAATATTATCTACTATAATATTAGATACTCCCTTAATTAAATCTTTGTAGTATTAAATCTAAATATTTTAATAAGAAAGTTAATCTAGTCTAAAAAAGAAGTAAATTCATTAGAATTAATTCATAGCAAAAGAAGAATATCTTTGCAAAAAAATTACTTTCATTAAGCAATTTTTTAGGCAAAAAATAAATAAAAAAGTAATAAATACCTAAACTATTTTCTAAAAAAACATTGAAGAAGAAGAATAAGGATTATTCTTAATTCCTGAACCATAAAAGCCTTCGTAAATTGGTTTTTCTGTTACGTTGAAATAAAATTATTTTGAGCACTATTAGCAGTTTTTAGGGTCATTAAAACAGCTATCCAATTAAAAAAATATATTGATGTATTAATATTAAATCCAAAGTTAGTTATTCTTAAGTAAATCTATCCAAATTAAAGTATTTTTAATAACACCTGACTAAAATTACAAAAATAACTAAAAATCTTTTTTAGATTCGTCATATTTAAATATAAAAATGTCTCCTATATCTTTTTCACCAAAAAAAAGTAAATTTGCTTAAACTTTCATAGTAAGTGGTTGTGAAGTTAATTTCCAAATTACTTGCTAGTCAGTACCTTTGTCAAAGTTATAACTAAAAATATTTCCATCTTTACAATATACAATAACTCTCCTTGAACCATCTTACAAACTCATGAGTTCTGCAATAGAAGGATTCAAGCAATCATCTAATTTAATTATTTATAAAAAATAAGAATTTTATTGAATTAAATATGATTTAGAATATTTTTAACTAACAATAAAAATATTTAGTTCAAATAATTATTTCACTTATTCTAATTTAAAAAAAATTTTTTTAAATTGAAGATTTATAAAGCTAAATTACTTGATCTAAAGTATAAAAAATATAAAATGAATGAACGATGTTAAATACAATTGAAATAAATTTACTCATTTTGTAAAAATATTTAATCTTATTGTCTGGGAAACTCCAAGTATAAACATATCCTAAATTGTCTAAACCAATAATTTCATATTTGTCATTAGTGATTTGTTAGATTACTGAACATAATCCGCTATTTTTTGAGTCATTATCGCTTTCAGAAAAGAGCTAATAAAAGCTTTGAGATGATAAATTGATTATTACAAATAAATATCCAGCTTCCTACTAGGAAACTATTGCAAAAACAGTATTGTCATGAAAGAAAAAGTCAATATAACTGAATTAATTCCAATTATCTATCCCAAAATTGCTAAAATCAAAAATCTAAATTTTTAGAAATTAATAAAATATTAATTTTTAAAACACTAAAATAAATTCTTAAAAATTTAAATTTTTTGAAATTAATCTGAATTAATTTATTATTAATATTTTTCAATTTCTAAATTCAAATAAATATGCTGAAACATGCATTCTATTAAATGGATTAATGAATAAATTTAAATGATTTTATTGAGATTAAAAAAGATTTTATAACATTTAAAAATTCCTTTGATTATTTATTTCATTTCAGCTTTTAAATTAATATTAACTCATCGAAAAGTTGTTTATAAATTATACCATTTACTAAAATAAATAAGATAGGTAAGTAAATAAAATCTATTAAATTATTAAAATAATGTTATATTCAAATTAATTTTGCTTCGCAATAAAAAGAATATAACTTAAATTTTAATATTTTTAATAAAATAAAATTTTACTTATTCTTCAAATTCTTTAGAAAGGTCAATCTATGTTAAAAATGCTCCTTCTTGATTATCATTAACTGTTTTTATTGCCAGGCAATGTTAGCAAAACTTAACTTGAAAAGCACTGTTGTAGTTTTTCAAAAGTGAATTTGATAAAGAATAAGTCATTTTTGCTTTTCCAAAATTTCCTTTTTCTGCAATAACTAACTATTTTTGCTAAAGAAAGACATATAGTTATTACTCTTAGCTATTCGTAAAAGAAATAGCCTTATTGTATGAATCAGATAAATACCCTTATTAAATGAATATTTTCTCAAATAAAATATCATTATTAGCAAATGAAAATTTACATAAATTATAGTATGACTACTTCTATTAGTAATCATAGACTATTGCTTATTTTGAGTTTCCAATTACTAACTTTCTTTCATCTTATAAGTCATACCACCTCAACACTTAGTCTTCTCTTTTAACTTCTACTAACTATTATTAACCCTTTTTAGCTACTTTGAAAGTTTTTTTTGTTAAATCAACAGCTAGTTATGCAGTATAGATGTATTAATCATCGCCTGCTATAAGAAAAAGCACTTTTTAGCCATTAAGTTCAATGTATTTTAAAGCTACATTGAATAGCTGCTACAAAGAATCAGATTACCCATTTAATTCTAAATAATTTTTAGTAAGTTAACCAACCAATAACATAAAAAATATTTAAATTTTACTGATATCTGCTAGAGAATTTACTTCATTAGTTTCTATATCTATTATTTCAATAACTTGGATTGCGTATTCTAAATCACAAAAAAAAAATATATCTGTGTTTGGTAATCTTGTTATACTCTTATTTTCTTTCCTAACATCACCATTCGCTGTTTTAAAATAATTAATGAAGAAATCATATTTATTTTAGTAATTAGCCTCAAAATTATTTTACTATTAAGTAAGTCTTCTAAGAATTTCCACTTATGTGTAGATGGATCGTAACTCCAAGAGATAAACACTTATTTATAGTGAGTCATAATGAACTTTTATTATTTTTTATTGAATAATTGATAAAACTTTGACTAATATTGAACTTCATCCTTAGATATAAAATTGCTAGAACTATCCAAAGTTGCTACCACTTCAAAACTCTTTAGATCTAGAATTAAAAGCAAGTAATATTTTTTAGTTATGATGACTAGATTAGTATCTTAAATCAATTCAATTGACTGAATCTGCAATAATTGTATTGATTTTTCTGGTTTTAAATTATAAACATCTACTAAAACAACTTTTTCTTAGTTAGATGCAAGAATTTTATTGTATTATTCCAAATAGATCATGTTAATTATTGGATAGTCAGCTATTAATTAAGTCAATTAAATAATTTCTACTTTAATGATTGTGAGTAAAAGGAAAATTTACGTTTAATAACGTTAATAATCTCGCCAGATTGAACTGATAAATCATTGTAATAAACTATGCTAGAATCTTATTTAGTTTGCTGGATTGTATTAATCATCAGAATGTTAGTTTTTGCTATTTTAACAAAGCTCTAAATAACATATCCTTCAGCAATTCTAACATCTATTAATAGAAATAAAATGAAATGATCTGTTTAACAAAATATATTTATTTAGTCTACTTTAATACGTTTATAGTTCAGGACACTGCTGTACTTAAATGCTCTAGCATATATTTGGTAATGCTAAGAAAAGGAATTTAATTTTAAAAACTAAGTAAATCAAATTCATCTTACAAAATAAATAAAGTGTTTTTTAATACAAAAAATTGCTTAAATTCTTAATTATTTAAGAAAATAGATGTAAATGCTATCGATTTGTTTTACTTGATTTTTATATGAAATTAATTTTATTTATCAAAGAAAAGCCAATGTTTATTCAACCCGTGCATATAATTAATATTTTTACACTGACCATCATCATTAAATTAATAGCAGAATTATATCTTATTATTAAAGATTACTAAATTTTTATTTTAAATATCATAAATATCTTAGAACGCTTAAAGGTGTATTTCATTCGGTAGCACATTACTCAGTCTTAGATTCTTTTTTTCTATAACTCACATTTAATATTTAGAGTTCATAATTTTATAATTTGCTTTTCATCCATAAAAAAGCTAATAAATATAATTCATGATATTTAAAAATTGAAAGCAATTGTTTATCTCTTTTGAGTTTTCTTTTAATAAGATTATAAATAATAAAAATATTCACAATAATTTATTCATCTACATATATCTGTACTTAATATAATATTATTTAATCAATTTAATTTAACTGTTTTTAATTAATTTTTCTTATTTGTTAATTTTTAATTAAATATGCAGCATTTATATTTCATTAATTTTCTAAAAAAATAAAGTATCAAAACCACCTAGAATTCAATTTATATATATAAATTAATTGAAATTCAGCTGACATAGTATATCAAGTCAGTAGAATTTCAATACCAGGATTTGCTATATAGATTTATTTTTTTATAAATTATGATTTTGCAAGTTAAAGACCAAATTTAATGTAATTAAATAACATTTTTTTTCTTATTCTAACTCATTTTTAATAAATATTAAAAATTTAAAAATTAGCAAATTTAAGTTTTTAGAATCCATAAAATATAATTTATCTACAAATAAGCAAATAAATTAAAAATTAATAATGAAATTTATATTAACCCACAATTCTCTTATATACAATTTGCTAATAAATTAAAAAATATCCATTCAAAAATTAATAGCCATAAAATATAATTTATGGTCAAATAAACCTTTAAATTAGTAGTTAATAATGAAATCTATATTAATTAATAATTCTATTTTATTCAATTTGCTAATAAATTAAAAAAATATCTATTGAAAAAGAAAATTTTTTTACTTTTTTATTAACAAATTTTGATTTTGTAAATTTTATAATAAAAGAACTGTAATTTGAAAGTTGATTTTGAAAAAATAAATAAAAGAATTACCTTAACATTAAATTTTATTGTAAGATATTATTAATTAACAAATTTTCTAATTATTTGAATTTAAAATTAATATTTATTGACTAACAGACAAAAATTGATTAAGTTTTATAATAATTGATGTTTTAATGATATTTTGTAAAAAATTAACTTCAAATAAGCAATAATAAACAGAAAAGCAATGAAGCTATCGGTAAAATGAGTGTGGAAGTTGCTATAGCAGATTTGCAAATATTAGTAACAGAACCAGCAGGAGCTGTTTATCCCAATGGACATATAGTGCATCCGCTAGCACCAGAAGATGTAGGGATACCATAGAAGTTAGGATTACATTAGCAAACAGGAGGAATAGCAGAGTTGAGCGAAGCGTTAGTATCTGTGCAAGTGCATGAATTAATAGTAGTAGAACCAGCTGCAGAGTTTGTTCCAGTTGGGCATGTAATACATCCACCACCAGAAGTAGTAGGAGTACCATAGAAGTTAGCCTTACATTAGCAAGTAGGAGTTAAGAGAAGCGTTAACATCTGTGCAAGCTCTGCATGAAGTAACAGTAGTTGAACCAGCAACAGAAACTGTTCCAGCTGGGCATTCAATACATTTACTGCCATAAGAATTAGGGGTACCATAGAAGTTAGCCTTACATTAGCAAACAGGTGGAGTTTAGGAGTTGAGGAAAGCGTTAACATCTGAGCAATTGTTACATGAAAGAATAGAAGTTGAACCAGCAGCAGAAACTGTTCCAGCTGGGCATGGACTACACCCACTAGGTCCACCAGCAATTGGGTTAGGTGTACCATAGTAGTTAGGATTGCATTTTTAGCAATCAAATTAACCACTATTAAGGTAAGCGTTAGTATCATTGCAAAAGCAAGAGGTGACAGGAGTTCCTACAGTAGTGGCAAGAGCAGAAATAGTTCCATTTGGGCATTATTGGCAAGCTCCAATAGGATCAGAATCAGTAGAAGTACCATAATAACCAGCATTACAGAAACAAACACCTCCGGCACCAGCAGTAGCGTGAACATCAATACAAGCAGCGTTTACTGAAGCAATTACTGATAAATAAATCAGTATCAAAGAATTTGCTTTCATTTTTTTTTTGAAAGATTAGTTTTTATTTAATTGTAAATTTTTATTTTTATTAAATCTTTTTTTATTTAAATTTTACTAATTAATAGATCTGAGCTGAGATAATTTGAAGATTGTTTCTTTTCACTTATCAATTTTCCCTCTTTATATTAATTATGTTGAATTTAAAATAAATGATCAATTAGGTAGGTAAATCTATTAATTAATTCATGAGAAAAAACAAATATTTTTAAAATTAACTTATCTGAAAGATCTACCTAAATTTATCAAATTTTTTATTATGTAATTTCCTAAACAAAAAAAAACATATTTAAAAATATAAAATTATTATAAATTTTTATTTTTTTTCATAATCACTAAATTTTCTATATTTATTTTGATTACAATAAATTTAAAAAAATTTTGAAAATAAATAAATATGTTTATTTGTTATGTTTTTTTTCAAAATTTTATAAAAATTTATAAAATAAAAATTCTCAATCAATTTTAAAATAATATTTTTTTTATAAGTTAAAGTTACATCGATCAAAACAAGCATTAAATTCAAATTTTTTAGTTTTAACTGAAAAGAAAAAGCTTATCAGGATTTGATACTTTTGTAACTGGTCTATTTTCTATAAATGTAAGCTATCTAAATATAAATCTCTTATATTTAACTAAGATGAGTCTGCTATAAAATAGTAGCAATTAATTAATCATATTTGAAATAATTTTAAATTTAGCAAGCGATTAAGTTTAATTTGTAATGTTTTAGAATTTTATGTCATACACTTTTCCTTCTTATATTCTAAAAAAGTTAACATTAATGATTTTAAAGCTGAAATATTTATAGTTTGACAGTAGTAACTAATTACTGTATTAAATGGCAGCATTTTTATCTATTTGATTACTTTTAAATTAGAGAAAAATAATAGAAGTAAAATCAAAGTTCATGAATTCTTTTTTGATTTCAAACTACGAGCTACTATCCAAAATATTATCTACTATAATATTATATACTCCCTTATTTAAGCCTTTCTAGTATTAAATCTAAATATTTTAATAAGAAATTTAATCTATTATAAAAATTTAGAAATTCATTCATTAATATTAAGTTAAAACAAAAGAATAGTTTTTTAAAATGAGCAATATTCTCTCTTTAATATAATCTACTTATTCAAAAACTTTGCTAATATTTTAAAAAAAATAAATTTACAATTATATTAAATATCTTAAAAGCAGGGATTCTAACAAAGAGCATAATAATTCGAAAAATTTACTACAATCAGTAATAAAATTAATAAATTAATTAAATTTAGCTCTGTGTTTCTGTAAGTTAATCAACTCTACATCAAATTTATGTAAATAAAAAAATAATTATATTACAAAAAAAATATTATTTATTGTTTATATTAGTAAGATTAATTACTTAATATTTATTATTTTTTTAAAAAATAAGACTCTTTTTTTTAACATAATTTTTAGACATTTTTACTTGAGTAAATTGCCATAAATTTATTCTATTTATTTATTTAAAATAAACTTCATTTTTTGTTTTCTAATTCAGTTTTTTAATAAATACTTAGCGATTACATTAGCTTTTTTTTAAATAATAAAATTAAGAGTTTAGCAAAAAATGAATTTGATTTTTTGAGTAAAAAGTAAAAATAAATTTAAAAATTGGAAACAAATTACTTACTTTTGAAGTATTTTGTAGAAAAATTTATTTATTATAAGTAAATTTTTTGTTTTACTTAATATAAATGTGCTAAAATATCTAATAATTAAAACTTTATCTATCTCTCTAATGTAAATTTATTGATTTTTTGATCTAAAAATAGTTAAACCAAGAAAATATACTTCCCATTTATTTTTCTTTAAATTAAAAAAATAAAAAATTTTTTAGTTAATTTCCCCAAAATTAAGTTTTTAATATTAATTAAATGATTTCAGGTTTTAATTAACTTTATTTTCATATGAAAATTCAACTTAGATTTATATATAGAGGGCTTATATTCTTTGATTTTTTTTACTTTCAAGGCTCATATTTAATATTAAAATGGAAAACTGTCATTTTTTTATTAATTATGAATATGACATGAAGGCATTATAATATTCCTAAACATTTTTTTAAAAACTAAATTTACATTTAGATTTTTTGAGAAACATTCATATTTAAAACCCCCTTTTTCCTCTTTTATAGATGCTTTGAAATGCCTTTTTATTGAAATTTATTAATTGTATAATTTGTCTTTTATTTTATAATAATTAAAAGAATTTTCTCTTTATGATTTTAGTAAACAAATAATTATCTTATTGCTAACCAAAGGTTGAATGAATGAATAAAAATTATAAATATATCAAATAAAGTCAATCACTTATTCATCATCTTTCTATTACGCTTTAAAAAATCTATCAATACAAAAAAAAACCAAGCAATTAAATAAATTTCTCATGTTTTTTATATGATAACCCAAAATAGAATAAAAATTTAAAATATGTATTTTGTTAATTCGATTTTTTTATTAGTTAAAAATGTTATCAAAAAGATAAAATAAATTTAATTCTTCGATTGAAGTATGAAAAAACTTTTTACTATTTTCACAACCTACTCTTAGACTTAGATTTATACATAATTATTATTTAAATAAAAGTATTTTTATATTTTTGAAATACAATTATTATTTTTTGCTTAAGTTTTTTCTCTACCTAATTAAACAAATAATTCACTTATTTATAAATAACACAATCTGAAACAATTTTTGAATTTTTTAGAAAATATTTCACTAAAATATTTGAAATTTCCCTATTTATGTAAAAACTAAAAAGATGGAGTTCTATGTTTTTTGTGTATTTCTTGCTTGCTTGATTGATTGATTAATTTATTTATATAGATCCTGGTGAGTTAATTAAACCCTGAATTTTTAAATTATTAATTAATAAATTTCACGATTTTAGATGAAAGAAATTTTAAGGATGTTAGATTAAGTAAATTTCAGGTTTCAAATTAAATAAATAAATTTTCAAAATTTAAATAGTTTTGATCAGATATATATAATGTATAAATAATTTTTGCAATTATTTAAATTATTATATTATAATCAATTCAATATTTTGACTTATTGTATGTAAGAGTATAGACGTTAATCTAACTTTAGTCTGTATACTTCAATTCTCAGTTTAGTTCAATATTTCCATTTAAAATATTTAATTTTAGTAAGAAAAAACAAATAATTTGTTTTTAATTGAAAATTTGATTGATGGTTCCTTGTTGTTACTATTTGTAAAACTATATAAAATGAAAAAAACCTAAAAAATAAAAATTAAATAATTGTTAACATACATTTGAGATTTTGTTTTGAAATAGATTCATTTCTTTAAACTAACTAACTAACTATTAGAAAAATAAAATACTAACTAAAAAAAAAATAGGAAATTATATCAATATTTTTTCACGTTTAATCACATGAGAATCTACTCTATATTTGTGTTATTTTGAATAAATAAATTTATAATTAATTCAATTCAGTTAAAAAATGTTTAATTTTTTAAATTAACATAAAAGAAGAAAATTTGTTAACCTCATATATAATTTACAATTAATAAATCCATAAAATAATAATAAAAATCTGTAAAGCTAGTTATATAGTGTTACTATTTAGAGAGAGAGGAAGGGCTTTTATCTAAGGCTTAAAAAAACTATAACTAATGATTTGTACAATCAGAATAAATATAATTATGTTTGTGTTATTGCATTTGAATACACAAGCAGACATATATATTTTTTTGAATATATTTTGTTTCTAAATATAGTTTTTTAATTTAAAAACAAGCTGAAATAAATATATCAATAATTTTTATTAAATCAAAAAAATTAAAATAACCAAAAAATTTAACAAAAAAATGAGAATTTAATATTTATTAATTGCTTTAGCAATAACTGCTTCAGTTTATGGTCAATTTACTTGCAGTGATGCTCATGCTAGTGGCTCTTCTGCAGCTACATGTTACTGTATGGCAGGCTACTATGGAACTTCAACAGATGCTAGTGGCTCTGGATGTGCAGCATGCCCACCAGGAAGTAACTCTTAAGCCGCAACTGCTACTGGTACTCTTGTCAGTAGTTGTACCTGTTATGATTCCAATGCTTAACTCAAATCTGATAATTCAGCTTGTTAATGCATGGCAAATTTCTATGGTACTCCCAATAGTACTTCCGGTGGTACTTCTGGATGTACTGCATGTTCTAATGGTCAAACTGCCCCTGCAGGGTCATCAACAAATGTTTGTGCCGCTGCAACTACTTCTACAAAAATTTTATCATTAATAGCATTATTTTTATTATTAGCAATTCTTATTTGAAATAGCTAAAAAGAACTTAAGCTTTTCAAAAAGTATTAATCAATTTAACATGTAAGTATATTGTTTGTTTACGTATTCTTATTTTGATTAATTAGTTGCATAAATTTTAGATTCTTTTAATATTTTATTCAGCCATTTATTTTTTATTTTTAATCAATTTTTTTAACTTATTGAGCAAAATTAATTTTAGAATTGAATTTTTTATTTAAAAAAAAAAATAGTTTTTTCATTTACCATCAACTTTCAAATTTATTTAATTTACCAAAATATGTATTAAATAATTAATCTAAAATTAGACGTGTATATATGATAGATTTAAAATAATCTTAATATGTTATCAATTATCACGAAAATTTATTATTATACAATCCTTCTTTTTAAAATTTTAATGTACTATTTTCAAGCTAATATTTTAAATTTATTTACTAATATAAAAAAAATCAGAATAAAAAGAAGTAAATAACAAATAAAAAAATAAATGAACATTTTTACTTACTAAATTTTATCTATCCTATAATTTATTTATTAGTTACAAACTAGAAAATATTATAAAGGTGAAAATATTTTTATGTATAACTATAATATATTTTTTAGATAGCCTTAAATATGTCTTAATGTCAATCTTTGTGGTTATAAATCCTCTTAACATAAAATTATTTAATAAACTAATGAATAGTCATTTATTTATTTAAGAATGCAAATATAAAATCAAAATAAATAAATTTAATTTAATTTTTGTTATAAATTTTATTTTATTAATTTATTCTTATTTTTTATCTATTAAATTATTTCATAAATCTAATGGTTTTCAAATTTAAAGATTTTTATTTAAAATCATGAATAGTATCTTAAAATATAAAAAATTAACAAATTAAAACTTACTTTAATTTAAATAATTAGCATTAATTAATTTTTTTTTTTGTAAAAACCACTAAAATAATATGCTATGAAATATTTAAAATTCAGTAAAAATACTTTCAAATTTAAATTTTAAAATCTAAAGTTTAAAAATTTATTTAATGTTTAATAACGAATGATATTTTTTAAAAATAAAAAATGAATATATAAATGAAAAATAATTTAATTAATTAGTCAAGTTGTTTTTATAAATACTAATTAATACAGATAATATGAAAACTCTTCAATAAAGTAAAATTATTTTTAAACTTATGTAAAAAAATTCTTTTACTAATCAATGGTGTTTAAATTAGAGAAAAATAGTAATACAAAAATTTGAATGAAAGATAAATAATTTTATTTAATAAAACAATATAGTCATTGTTATAAAAACAAACTAACTAAAACAGATAGTATCGAATATTTTCAATATTCTAAAAATATTTAAAACATAAAAATTTTTTAAATAGTAAAAAATTTTTTTATGTTTAATTAGGAAAAACAGAAAAAGTTTATAATACTAAATTAGAATGGAGACTAATAATTTTTATTAATTAATAAATACATTTATTTTGAAAAATACCACTTAAATAAAACATATAATTCTTCAAAAAAGTAAAAATATTTTCAAACTTACAAAAAATCTATATTATAAAGTTTTTTGATATTTAATTATCAATCATTTAACTTATTTCAAGATTATCATCATGAAAATATAAATTAAATGAAAAGAAAGCAAATTAAATTTTTTAAAATAATTACTTTATTAAAACAATAATTAGAAAGGATGGAGTAAAGTACTCTTATCTTATAAAGTATTAAGTAAAAGCTTAACAACGATGAAGATTTATCAAGGTATGTTCCAGTAAAATATCTTTATTATATTTATTATTGTAGTTTAAAAAAGAATAAGCTTAAGGATTATGTAAATAACTATGTCTGGCTGGATTTTACATAAAGTGAATAAACCCTATTCAGTAAAATTATTAAAGATTAATAATTTTTATAAGAAAATTTATAAAAATTACCAATTGTAACATTTAAGAGGGCTTTTCATATGAATGTGTCTTTTCCCCCTTAAATAGAATTATAATTGCTAGCTATTTAAAAAGGGGATAGGAAGGGGCCCAAATAAAATTGAGTTACTACTAAGCATAAATAATGTGTATTCTTTTAAGTAGATAATAAACATGAAATTATTTTTTTTATTTAATGTACTTAAATAATTAATCTAAATTTTCTTTATCTAGTTTATATTTTTAATAAATATTAAAAATTTAAAAATTAATTAACAAATTTAAGCTTTTATAAATATTAAAATATAATTTATTGACAAATAAGTCATTAAATTAGTAAAATTTATATTAACTTTTGGGCATGAAGTGCATCCACTAACACTTTAAGGAGTAGGGAAACCATAGAACCCATCCTACATTCGCAATATTTTAGAAATAACTTAGTTGGGCGTTAATGTCATTACAAAGACAAGAAGAACTAATTGAATCAGCAATAGAGGAACTACCAGTTGGGCATGCAGTACATGATCCACCACTGAAGAAACTGTAGAAGTTATCTTTGCAAAATCACTAAGATTCGATGGTTTTGTTTTTATCTTAGCAAGTGCAAGAGGTGACAAGAGTATCCGTGGTAGTAGAAGCAGGAGAATTAGCTCCATAAGGGCATTGTATGCAAGATTTATCAGGATTAAAATCAAAAGAAGTACCTTAATAGCCAGTTTTACAGTAGCAATAACCATCAGCACTTAGAGTAGAGTTAGCATCCATACTAGCATTTACTGTAACAAGTAAAGATAATCAAATAAGTATCAAAGAATTTGCTTTCATTTCTCTTTTTACAAGATTAGTTTTTATTTTTATAAAATCTTAATAATTGAAATTTTGATTTTTAAATTAATACAACTGAGCTGAGATAATTTGAAGATCATTCATTAATTCTTTTATCAATTTTCCATCTTATATTAATTATCTTGAATTTAAAATAAATGATAAATCGGGTAGGTAAATTTATTAATTAATTCATGAGAAAAACAAATATTTTTAAATTAGCTGATCTAAAACATCTACCGTCCAAACTGTTGATTAAGGTGGGTATTTTAAATAATTATTTGTAAAAAAATTCACCTTATTAAAAAATTAGTTTCCAACAGCTAAATATTGCTGACTAGTTTATGGATTTGGATGCCCTTCATGATCTCTTTCTCATATTTTAATTTTTTATAAAATTTGATTAAAGAGCTGGATAACTTGTAGCTTTTCATTTTTAGTTGAAAAACATTATTTATTTAAATTTATTTGTTTATTTACTTATTTATATGCTTATTATCTTACTGTTGTAATTTGAAAGTTGATTTTGAAAAAAATTAATATAAAAGAATTAACATTAGATTTCGTTGTATGATAAAACTAATTAACAAATTTTCTAATCATTAGACTTTTAAATTAGTATATATTGTCAAACAAGAATTGATTAAGTTATTTATAATTGATGTTTTCAAGATAGTTTTGTGAAAAATAAATTTCAAATAAGCATAACTATAGAGAAAAGCAATGAAACTATGGATAAAATGTATGTGGAAGATGTAAAAGCAGCTCCGCAAACATTAGTAACAGAACCAGCTGGAGCAGTTTATCCTAATGGGCATATAGTACATCCACTAGCACCAGAAGTAGTAGGGATACCATAAAAGTTAGGATTGCATTAGCAAACAGGAGGAATATCAAAGTTGAGGGAAGCGTTAGTGTCAGGGCAAGCGCAAGAATACTTAGTAGTTGAACCAGCGGCAGAGGTTGTTCCAGTTGGGCATGTAATACATCCACTAGCACCAGAAGTAGTAGGGGTACCATAGAAGTTAGCATTACACTAGCAAGAAGGAGGTGTAGCGGAGTTGAGGGAAGCGTTAACATCTGGGCAAGTGCATTAAGACTTATCAGTTTAACCATCAGCAGAGATTGTTCCAGCTGGGCATGCAGTACATCCACTAGCACCAAAAGTAGTAGGGGTACCATAGAAGTTAGCCTTACAAAAGCAAGCAGAGTTATCAGCTTTTAGGGTAGCATTAGTATCATTGCAAGAGCATGAAGTAACAGCAGTTGAACCAGCAGTAGAAGCTGTTCCAGTTGGACATGCTGTACATCCAGTAGCACCGCCAGCAGTAGGGTTAGGTGTACCGTAGAAGTTAGCCTTGCATACGCAATAAATATTATCAGCTTTTAGGGCAGCATTAGTGTCATTGCAAGAGCATGAAGTAATAGCAGTTGAACCAGCAGTAGAAGCTGTTCCAGTTGGGCATGCTGTACATCCAGTAGCACCACCAGCAGTTGGGTTAGGTGTACCGAAGAAGTTAGCCTTGCATTAGCAGGCAGTGTTACCATTATTGAGGGCAGAGTTAGCATCATTGCAAATGCAAGAGGTGACAAGAGTTCCGGTGGTAGTGGCAAGAACAGAATTAGTTCCAGTTGGGCATTTTTGGCAACTTCCACCAGAAACAGAATCAGTAGAAGTACCATAATAACCAGCATTACAGTAGCAAATAAAACCAGTATCAATAAAAGCCCCAGCAGTAGCATTAGCATCTGTACAAGTAGCGCTTACTTTTACAATTACAGCTAATAAAATAAGTATCAAAGAAGTGGCTTTCATTTTTTTTTTGCAAGATTAATTTATATTTATTAGTATTTATTATTTTTATTAAATCTTTATAATTGAAATTTGCTCTATTTTAAAATTAATAGATCTGAGCTGATTTAATTTGAGCACTATTCATTCATTCGTTTTTCAATTTTCCCTCTTTATATTAATTATCTTGAATTTAAAATAAATGTAAACCGGGTAGGTAAATTTATTAATTAATTCATGAGAAAAAATAAATATTTTTAAAATTAACTTATCTGAAACATCTACTTAAATTTATCAAATTTTGAATAATCTAGGTTTCTAAAAGAAAAAAAAACATATTTAAAAATATGAAATATAATAAATTTAAAAAAAGTTTAAAATAAAATAAATTAAAAAAATAAATAAACTTGATTTAATTTTATTTAAATAATTCATATTAAAAAAAGTAGAAATAAATATGATTTTAATTATTTCAAATTAAATTTTGTAAATTCATTCAAAAATATAATCTTTGAAAAACTTGTTAATAAAAATAAATAGAAACAGGATAGATAGGTAAAAAAATTTTTTCTTTAATAAAGTTATTATTGTTATTTATAATTGTTTATTTTAGAAAAATTTTCAATTATTATTGGTCTTTCTCTTAATTAGAATTTTTTTGCGCTTACTATTAGAAAATCCTTTTTAGTTTTCTGCTAATTGTTGAATTTTTCATTTTGAAAAAGCTATCTTTCTAATGCAGTATTGATTGCTAAGCCCATTTTTAGTTCTTAAAATTTGCTTCTATTGCAATTACCTCCCTTAAATTCCTTTAGACTATTTTCCATAGAGAATTTATTCTTAATAAATTTATCTATTTTTAATAAGCAAGTTTGTAAATAGAATTAGGAATTAATTTGGATAGAAAAATTTAGAATCTTTAAAGGATATTTTGATCATTTATACTTTAAGGAACAGGTCTTTATACTATTATTAAGAGCAAGATTCCTATGAAACTTATATTGATAATTATTAAAATGCTTTACTATAGTAGATTAAATGAGGTATTATATGTAACTAATATCATTTATATTATGAATATACTCATTAAAACAATTTTGCAAGATAGTTAATCAATATCATTTAATTACTATCTTTAATAAGGACTTACTTTGATCAAAATTCTAAGGTAAATTAACATCAAAAATTATAAAAGCATAGCTTTTAGTATCGGTGAAGTCCTAATTAAATTTAGAAATATAACTAGAGATGCTCTTATTTGATTTCTAACTATATCCCAATAAAAAGACTTTTCTTTATATTCCTATTAACGAATAAATTTTATTATAAAAATTTTTAATTTTTATTAAAAAACTATTTACTTAGTACAAAAGACCATATTTATTCAGATAAAACAAGCTTTGTAATTTTTATCTTTTACTTTACAAATAAATAGAAAATGATGTTGGGATTATTATGAACCATATTAAAAGTAATGGTCCTACTAAATATAGTAATATTTTAGTGTGTTATTCAGTATAGCATTCATACTGCATTTCAGAAATAATATATAGATTTCCTGCTATTTCTCTACAAGATGAAGACTATATCAATACTTAATTATTGAAGAACTAAAGAATAAGTATATTAGTATGAAAGAAGAAATCTAAAATGAGCGGTCATCTATCTTAAAGATATTTGTGAGGAGCTTTACTAGTTGGATCAGCAAATATATAACAATTATTTAGAAATTGATAAATAATACTCTAATAGCATACAATGGAATTTAGAAATCATTATTTTTAAATATGCAATCTAAATTATATACTGTATGCTATACAGGGTCACCACCTCCAATTTCAACAACAGAGAGAAATTATTAAGTCTAAATACCTAAGTTATTTATTAATGCTATAAACTATAAATAGTTAATTAGAATTTTGATGTAAGAGGAAGAACTACTAATACTTTGATTATGTAGTAAAATTAATTTAAGCTTTCTCAAATAAAACTAGCTCATATTCTTTTATATTAACGTCAACTATCTTTAAATTTAGAATATTAAATATCCGCAAAATATAATTAATAATAAAAATAGAAAAAGAATAGAGTAAATTGTATTTTGCTTAATGCATTCTTAGCACTAAATTCCACTATTAATTCTTCCATATTTTGAACCCCAAATAACTCCTTAAGAATCACAAGATTCACAAATAGCTCCTACATGCCCCAGTGAGCACCCAAATTTATTTGAAGGATCTTCAGGGATACAATTTTCTGGATTAATACATTAATATATTTAGTCTGAATTTTAGTCCTTATTCCAGTATCCATTTTATAATTGTATGATATTTGAATGGCAATTTTTAGAACCAATAGGACATTTTAGATATTATAAATTTTCAATTGAGCTTGGATCTTGTAAGCAATAATTTCCTTTTTTAAAAAAGTTGGTCAGTTTAATTATTTAAAAAATAAATACTAATATCTGATAAAAATAGAGAGAGAGAGAGATTTTACAAAAAAAGCTAAAATGAAAAAAAAATTATTTTATTGAAGGAAAAATATTAAGAAAAAAAGAACTTTTAGTTATAAATTAATTTTCTGATTAAAAAAATTTTTTATGATTTAATGGAAGGGATAAGGAGTAAGGGTACTAATTTAAATTATAATTGAAATATAATATTTTTCATTTAAAATTAATAGAAAAATAACATGTAAACTAATAATTTAATTCTAAAACTAAAAAGATTTAGGGCACACCTCACAGTGCTAACTATTTGAAAATAAGAGATCAGAAAAGCAAAATTTTTAAATTGTATAACTTCCTGCTTAATAAAATAAATAATACTAAGATCACCTTGGTATCTAGAGAATTTTTAAATATTAATATCAATTCAAAGAAAGTAGAAGTAATATTTTAAAGAATTTAATAAATTTACTTATTTGAGCTAGTCAACTTAATTATCTTCATTTAAATCAATCTAAGGATCGTCAGCATCTCTGACAGGTTCGTTCACCTTAATTTTACTCTAAGTTATTGTTAGACATCTCAGAAAATATGTGTTTAGCAAATTGTAATTTTTTAATTTATTTTACTTTAGTTTTTTTTCTTAAATTTAAAAAATATTATAAAAGTTAAAACCAATTTGTAATAATTTTAAATACATACTTTTCTTGTATGATCTATATTAATGAAACTACAGATAAAATGTATGTGGAAGATACTAAAGCAACTTTGCAAATATTAATAACAGAACCAGCTGGTGCAGTTTATCCTAATGGGCATATAGTACATCCACTAGCACCAGAAGTAGTAGGGATACCATAGAAGTTAGGATTACATTAGCAAACAGGAGGAATAGCAAAGTTGAGGGAAGCGTTAGTATCTGGGCAAGTGCAAGAATACTTAGTAGTTGAGCCAGCTGCAGAGATTGTTCCAGTTGGGCATGCAATACATCCACTAGCATCAGAAGTAGTAGGGGTACCATAGAAGTTAGCATTACATTAGCAAGCAGGAGGAGTAGCGGAGTTGAGGGAAGCATTAACATCTGGGCAAGTACAATAAGACTTATCAGTTGAACCAGCGACAGAGATTGTTCCAGATGGGCATGCAGTACATCTACTAGCACCAAAAGTAGTAGGGGTGCCATAGAAGTTAGCCTTACATAAGCATGCAGAGTTATCAGCTTTTAAAGCAGCATTAATGTCATTGCAAGCGCATGAAGTAACAGCAGTTGAACCAGTAACAGAAGCTGTTCCAGTTGGGCATGCAGTACATCCAGTAGCACCACCAGCAGTTGGGTTAGGTGTACCGTAGAAGTTAGCTTTGCATACGCAACCACTATTATCAGATTTTAGTGTAGAATTAGTATCGTTACAAGTACAAGAAGTGATAAGAGTTCCTGATGTAGTGGAAGCAGGAGAATTAGTTCCAGTTGGGCATTATTGGCAATATCCAACCCCAGCAACATCAGCAGAAGTACCATAATAACAAGCATTACAGTAACAAGTACCTCCGGCACCAGCAGTAGCGTTAGCATCAGTACAAGCGTTTACTGTAGCAATTACAGCTAATTAAATAAAAATCAAAGAAGTTGCTTTCATTTTTTTTTTGTAAGATTAATTTATATTTATTTGTATTTTTTTTATTATTAAATATTTATAATTGAAATTTAGCTCTATTTAAAAATTAATAGATCTGAGCTGAGATAATTTGAAGATTATTCATTCACTTGCTTTTCAATTTTCCCTCTTTATGTTAATTATCCTGAATTTAAAATAAATGTAAACCGGGTAGGTAAATTTATTAATTAATTCTAAAATTAATTTATCTGAAACATCTACCTAAATTTATCAAATTTTGTATAATGTAGGTTTCTAAACAAAAAAAAACATATTTAAAAATATAAAAATGACTTTTAAATTCATTTATTTTATTAAAATTTTATGACTTAAATTTAGTGATTACCTTAAGTAATTAAAATATTTTTAATTGTAAAAATAAAATCTTTAAAATTAAAAAAATAGTAATATAAAATAAATTAAAAAAATAAATAAACTTGATTTAATTTTAAATAATTCATGTTAAAAGTAGTAGAACTAAATATATTTCAAATTAAATTTTGTAAATACATTCAAAAATAAAATTTTAGAAAAACTTGTTAATAAAAAAAATAGAAACAGGATAAGTAAAAAACTTTTTTCTATTATAAATTTATTGTTGTTATTTATAATTGATTATTTTAGAAAAATTTTCTATTCATTATTGGTCTTTCTCTAAATTAGAATTTTCTTGCGCTTACTATTAGAAAATACTTTTTTGCAGTTTGCTAATTGTTGAATTTCTAATTTTAAATAAACTATCTTTCTAATGCAGTTTTTATTGCTAAGCCCATTTTTAGTTCTTAAAATTTGCTTCTATTGCAATCACCTCTCTTAAATTCCTTTTGACTGTTTTCCATAGAGAATTTATTCTTAATAAATTTATCTATTTTTAATATGCAAGTTTGTAAATAGAATTAGGAATTAATTTGGATAGAAAAATTTAGAATTTTTAAAGCATATTTTGGTCAATTATACTGTAAGGAACAGGCCTTTATACTATTATTAAGAGCAATATTCCTATGAAACTTACATTGATAATTATTAAAATGCTTTATTATAGTAGTATAAATGAAGTATTATCTGTAACTAATATCATTTATATTATGAAAATACTCATTATAACTAATTTGCAAGATAGTTAATCAATATTATTTAATTACTATCTTTAATAAGGACTTACTATGATCAAAATTCTATGGTAAATTTACATCAAAAATTATAAAAGCATAGCTTTTAGTATCGGTGAAGTCCTAATTAAATTTAGAAATATAACTAGAGATGTTCTTATTTGATTTCTAGCTAAATCCCAATAATAAGACTTTTCTTTATATTCCTATTTATTTATGAATAAATTTTATTTAAAAAAAGCTTTAATTTTATTAAAAAACTATTTACTTAGTACAAAAGACCGTATTTATTCAGATAAAACAAGCTTTGTAATTTTTATCTTTTACTGTACAAATAAATAGAAAATGATGTTGGGATTATTATGAACCATATTAAAAGTAATGGTCCTATTAAATATAGTAGGATTTAAGTGTGTTATTAAGTATAGCATTCATACTGCATTTCAGAAATAATATATAGATTTCCTGCTATTTCTCTACAAGATGAAGACTATATCAATACTTTAATTATTGAAGAACTAAAGAATAAGTATATTAGTATGAAAGAAGAAATCTAAAATGAGCGGTCATCTATCTTAAAGATGTTTGTGAGGAGCTTTACTAGTTGGATCAGCAAATATATAACAATTATTTAAAAATTGATAAATAATACTCTAATAGCATACAATGGAATTTAGAAATCATTATTATTAAATATACAATCTAAATTATAAACTGTATGCTATACTGGATCACCACCTCCAATTTCAACAACAGAGAGAAATTATTAAGTCTAAATACCAAAGTTATTTATTAACGCAATAAACTATAAATAGTTAATAAGAATTTTAATGTAGGAAGAAGAACTACTAATGTTTTGATTATTTAGTAAAATTAATTTAAGCTTTCTCAAATAAAACCAACTCATTTTAATTTATATTAATATCAACTATCTTTAAATTTAAAATATTAAATATCCGCAAAATATAATTAATAATAAAATTAGAAATAAAATAGAGTCAATTGTATTTTGCTTAACGCATTCTTAGCACTAAATTCCACCATTACTTTTTCCATATTTTGAACCCCAAATAACTCCTTAAGAATCACAAGATTCACAAATAGCTCCTACATGCCCCAGTGAGCATCCAAATTTATTTGAAGGATCTTCAGGGATACAATTTTCTGGATTAATACATTAATATACTTAGTCTGAATTTTCGTCCTTACTCCAGTATCCATTTTATAACTGTATGACATTTGAATGGCAATTTTTAGAACCTATAGGACATTTGAGACATTATAAATTTTCAAACTAACTTGGATCTTGTAAGCAATAATTTCCTTTTTAAAAAAAGTTGGTCAGTTTAATTATTTAAAATATAATTGTGAATATTTGATTAAAATAGAGTGAGAGTCTTTACAAAAAAGTTTAAATGAAAAAAAATATTTTTTTAAATTAATAACAAACCCCACCCACCTACCTACCTACCTACCTACCTACATATCCTCCTTGTTTTCCATCCCAAATATTATTAAGAAAATAAAAATTGTAAATTTTATTAAAAAATGTATGATATTTACCTTATTAGCAAGTATAACATATTTTATATTTCTAAAAAGTTTGTTAAATTTCTCCTTACTAACACTTCCTAAAGTTAACACTAATAGGAATACTTAGCTCTTGATAGTCGAATTTAAAAGTTGTGGTATTTAAAATAAAGATAGGGCTAATTGTTTTAACTATAATAGAAGAGTTAGCGTTAGGTTAATAAGAATAGGACACATTAAAAAGGAAACCAAATTAATCAAAATTGTAATTCTATCTGAGATTACCATCAAGCCCAACTTCTTAACTCTAGAATTCAAGTAAATAGCTACCAAATTCAATCAGAATCTCTTAATTTATCTAAGTTGTATTTTTAAAAAAACTTACTTCCCTCATTTCTTCATCAATTAATCTCATTAATATTGGTGAAGATGTGCTACCACTTTATAGGTTTTCTAATTTAAAATTTTAGGTATTTGAGTCATTTTTTATTTAATTTTTAACATCCAAATAAATAGGATAGGAACCTATATTTTTTCCATATAATTATGCAAAATTTTTAATAAAAGAGTTTAAATTTAAGGTAAGTATCCTTCTACTGACATTTGTTTTTTATAAAACATAAGGCTATATGCCTTAATATCTAAATGCACCTCCTATCAGAGCAGAGTTTTATTAGAAAGTATTTTATGTCATGTCTTAAATATCACAATTGTTCAACAATAATGCTCCACCAGAGCCTTATGGACAAGAATTTTTAAAGAAAGTATTGCCCTCAAACTAAGAAAATATGCTACTAAAGCAGTAAATAGCTCCCCCATTTCCTGTTTTTGATTGGTTTTACTTAAAAGTGTTATCTGATAAGATTATTTCTGTTATTAAGTTTAAATATATAGCTCCTCCATCAAGGTAAGATTTATTTGAGATAAAAGTGTTATTTTTCATTATTAACCTAGAAATTTAATACAAATAAAAAACACTTGCTATGCTATTTGTTTCTATATTATTTGAATCAACATTCTAGATAACTACTGAAGTGGTTTAGAAAATATAAATAAAACTATTTTACTTAAGTTCAGCACTTTAAATTTAAATTGTATCTAAAAGAACATTTTAGCTTACTTAAATTTCAATAAAGTTAGAATTGGAATTAATGCTAGAGATAGATGAAAAATTAGAATTTGATATAGTTAATTATTAAGCATTAAGTAACATTAGTTGATTTGTTTTTGAAAGAGAATGATAATAGTTGGAGTAGGTTGATATTTAATTTTAAATAATAATTCCGTTTTTATTATTTAAGTCCTGTAAATTAATAAATCCTATCATATCTGAATTTATTATCTGGATATTTGAGAAATTAGAATTAATTATTCCCTCGCATTCTAAAATAAAAAGTTATTAGCTACTAATTGAGCTATTATAATTGTTTTCTAATTTAAAGTTTTCGAATTAAAAATCATTAAATAGTAAAGTTTCATTTATATTAGATAATTTTAGTAAAGAAATGGATGAGAGTGAGGTAAGTTTAAGTGTAGTAAATTTGATTTTTTGGAAATCTATTTACGGAATTGCTTCAAATTAGAAAATAATTCCTTGTAGAGCTACATTTTAATTTGTTATTATTTTATTTTAATTTGATATCATGTTGCTAAAGCTAATTGAAGTAACATTAGTTATTTTGAATAGTTAAACATTCTAAAATATATTCTGTAAAAGATTAGTATTATTTATTGTGAGTAATTTGATATATGAAATATTTATCATAGAGCTTTGCTAAAAGTTTGAATTTAAACTATTAAGTATGATGTTGAAGTTATTAATGGTTAATTTGTTTATCTTAACAAATGTAAGTAGATTAATGATATTATTAAATTAACAATTGATAAAAGTTATGTTCTGTATTATAATTATATCAATATTTTAGAAAAGAATAATCTACGTTTTAATTTGTTGAATTTATTCTCCATTAATCACTAAATTTTAGATAAAAAGATGATTGATACCTTCAAATGTTAGTTGATTATTTCCAAAGTCTGATAATTCTATGTAATTTAAAAATAGTCTTTCTAATTTTTAAAATGTTTGATTTCCAAACTTGAATTGAGTATTATTTAAGTTTTTAAATGAAATTTTTAAATTTTAGAGTTGGAGGTCTACAATATTTTAATCTGTGCTGTTTTGAGTTTTTAGATAAATACTATTATTGTTTATTGCTTAAATATTCAGCGAGTATTAGGTTGTCACAGAGCTAGAGCTAACAAAAGGATACTTTAGATCAGTTTATTCGCCATTATTTATGTACATATTATAAATAATGCTCTAAATTAAGAGTTATTTTAGTGATAATAAATTCAAATAATCACTTTATTGATTTTTTGTTATTATATCATTTTATTCTGTTTGTATTTATAATTAGGCAGAACAAATATTATTTGAAATAGAGCCAATATTTAGCTAAGCAGTGTATTTGATAGTATTTTCTATAGTTATAATCATCATATCAATGATTAAATACTAAGAATTCTGTGATTATACTTATGATTATAAAACCTTATAATTTTATACTTATAAGAAATCAATTTGCTTAGGCTAAGTGAAGGGGTTAGCATTAAAGAAACTAATTGAATTGTCAAAATATAAAACGAATATATTGTTAAATCCAGTGTACTCAATATCTATTAGTGATTAAGTGCTGTTAAAATTTCTAATTACTTAAAAAAATTTGAGGTCTTTTCTTAAATATATACTTACAGAGTTAAATGAAAGCATGAATATGAAAGAGCCTTCAATTTTTAATTTTATACCTGATGATGGTAAATTCTACTTAATAGTGTTCATGTTTACATCATATACTTTTAATCCTTCAATTCTATCTACATAGTAAATCCTTTAATAAAGAGGATCAAAGCAGATTTAAGATTGCATGTCTTAGTGATCTAATTGAGAGATTTATAAAATATTTCCTGTCTAAATATCTATTATTTGTATACATTGATTGGTCAATATTATGATATTCTAAGTATTGTCTATTCTAACAATTTTTTTTACAATATCATTTTATTATATTTTAAATTAAAATTAATCTAGTTTTATTTAAGTAGAAAGAGATGAGGAGTTTTAAAACATTATCTTATTCCATTAGCTTGTATTTTTGGTTGAGGAGTATATTAAAAACGAATCATCAATCATAAAAAATTGGCCTACTCCTGTTGAGATATAGGTTAGAATCAAGAGCTATGGATTAGTTTGATTCTTTTAAAGATAATATAAAGACTATTTTTGAGTAAGAAAAAGAACTTGGAAATCTGAATCACTGATGAAAGTTATTATTTAAGAATCAAGCAATTAAGAAAATATCGGTCTTATTCTGGTTGAAGTTACTTTATAGATTAAGAGCTAATTAAATATTATTACATAAATTTAGGAGTTATTTTTATTGTAAAAATTGAAGTAAAAGTATGAAGGATTTAGTTGATTAAAGTATTTAACATCCTTTACTTCACCATTAACTATATTTTTAAGAGTTGATTGAGAGTTTTCAAATAAAATATATTGGTTTTCATCTATCTTTAATATATTTGGAGTTAAATTTTAAGGCAACAATGAATTAAAATTAAACTCTAGGATAGAGTAATCAAAAACTTTTAAATTCAAATAGTCTGTAACAAATATATAATTTTTATTAAAGCTAATATAAATATCAAAAATTGGAAGCTAAAATTAGTATTTGCAAATAAAAATGTTAGTATCATAATCAAAGATATAAAATATGTTATTTGAGCTTGCAAAAAGCTTTCTCTTATAATGATCCCAAACCAACATTTTCTAGTAAGCATTTGAGTCATTCTATTACTTATCTAACTATTTTAATATTTTATAATGTAAAAAATTAAAAAAAAAAGTTTACTAAATGAATAGATTAAGTAAAAAATTAATTAAATATATTTTTACAAAAATTAATCTAAATATAATTACTTAAAATATTTTAACAACTTAGTTGGTATCGTAAGAAATAATCTCAATTTAATTTTAATTATCAATGAATATAATCAAATCAAGATTTTCATCAACAACTACTTGACTTTGTTAATTAAATTAGTACTATAATTAGATTGTTTTCAGGCTCTCATAAGTATTTATGTTATAGATTACTATAGAATTACTGTATGAAGAAAATAGTATCACTTGTATTTGATCAGAGAAAAAATAAAACTTTTAGTTTGTTAAAAAATAAATAATAAAAAATTTTAAGATAATTGAAATTTATTTATACCTGATACAAATTTTCAAAAGTTTAAGTACTAAATGGTGGGAACGATGTATCCAATAATTTAAGTGTATCTAAATTAAATATCTTAAATCTTTATGTTTATTTATCTCCAATAATGATAGTGCTACATAAATCGTTATAATATATAGAATAAGGTAAAAAGTCTCTTGAATATTTTACAAACTTATAAATTTATTCTTTTAAAGAGTACACTCTTAAACTATATTAACTATAAAAGATGATCAACTATTTTTGTCTTTAAATAATAGTTCCATAAAAATTACCAATGCTAAATGGATAATTATTAGATATGCAATTTTTAGAAATATCCTTTTTAAGAAAAAATATTTTCAAATGACTATTTTTAAATTTATTAATTTAATTACGTTTAAATCGATTATGCAATCTTATAAGTTTTCTATAAAGGCCATATATCCTAATTCTACATCATAAGCAAGATTCAATTATGGTAATTAAGATACGTAATGAAAAAGCTTTTAAATTATTATTTTATGTCAAATAAGTAAATAATGAAAGAAATGATATTTTAAATAGATTTTTACAATTTTAAAGTTAGATGAGCTAACGAAAGCAATATGATATCCAATAATTATTACCATATAGTTTTAATTGAGAAAATAAAATCCTTTTTTATCATACTATAGATAGTATTTGTAATTTTCAACTACTAGCTAATGTGGTTGTAGTAAATCAATAACAATATCTGTAACCCACTTTTGCTATTTTATCACTCTTATCAAATTTGTATATATATTAAGCTATATGTCTAACTCATATAAATTAACAATATGTAAGAAAAATAAATTATTTAAATAATCTGCACTTTAATATTAATAGCAAAATATTTATTTAACATCAACTATTTATTGTACCTAATGATTATTAAGAGTTATTGGGATTTAAATATCGTTAAATTTAAATGGATAATATCTAGTATTTGATGCTACCTATTTATTAAAAAATTTTAATTTTAAAAAAAGTAGATTTAAATATTAATTAATTAATAACTTACCAACTATAATTAAAGATTTGGATCATCTAAACTAATTGTGAGATAGATGTTGGTATTTATGAATATTATCTAATTTTATTTATGTAAAAAGGCATAAATATTTTATCCATAATATTAGTTTTGGTATAGTATAAGCGTGTTTGTATCTCCGTCATAGTAAGATAAAGTGTAAGTATTACTACAAATGAATACTTTGTTGTCATATCTAATATACTATGGAAGGTATGCACCAATAGTTATTACCTAATTTTAAAAAAATATATAATTTTTTTTTTTTAAATTGAAATGATACTTAGAGTATTTTATTATCTGCAGTAGATACAATTTAAACTGTATTATAAGGACTTAAGCTAAATATCTAATAGCTTAAATTTGGAGATAAATAATAAGATAAAACGCTATTATATTCACTAAATATATTGATCTAATAATTGTTTAGAAGACTCATGCTCATTATCCCATTAAAAAAATCTGAATAATAAATAGTATCTTAGTTTAAATTAAAAAAACCTAACTAATCTGCACAAACATTATAAAATTCTTAAGATACATAAACTGGATTTTACTTTTTTTAAAAAAAGGTTACCTAATTAATTAGATTAAAATAAATTTACATCTTTGTAAATATTATAGATCACTATTTAACTGAGGTAAACATCCAAAACTAGGAAACAAATCACATCACCTGTTTTCAATGAAAATTAAACATCGTTTACTATTTATCTTATTGAGAATTTGTAGTCGTATTAGTTATTTATTTAGCTGTAATGAAAAACATGAAGCTGTCTTAATTCTGCATAAAGTTCACTAATTTCTTAATTATTAATATAAACTATCAAGGTTTTTGTACTTTGGATATAGAATGGTTGTCTAAAAAAATTTATTTAACTTGGTTAGATGTCTACATTACTAAATTAGTTTTCTAAAAGTATTTCAAAAGTATATAAATTCAATTCTCTTATAGTTAAAATCCCATTTCTTATTCCAGTAAGTATTAGCTTTTCTTCTTCTTCTACAACTAAGAAACAGTAAAAATTATAACTTTTAATGGCGATTTAATCTTGATAATATAAATCATCCCAAAAATAGAATTATTTAGCAATCTATCTTGACTCTAAATCATATTAATTAGCAATGCCATTTCCATTTAATTCTAAAATCTAATTATTTGTAGCAGTATTAAACAAATTATTTATTATCGAATTTGATAATCTTTAAGTATATTAATTGGCATGCTATTCAGATGAGAAATATATTTAACTAGAATTTACAGAGGTTAATTGGCTTTAAGTGAGCTCTTAAATTTACAAATCTTATTTTATTACAGTTAACAAATAAACTTTATCATTATATTTCAAAACATCAAAGGAAGTTAGTGAGCAAACTAAAGGTTAAGACAATTGTAAAGTAAAAGAAAGAGCAAAATTAGTTGACGTAAAGTTGAAAATGTAAAGTAGATCTTGTTTTTAAGAGAAATAGAAATCTTTTGTATTCCAAAAGCAGTCAGAATTAAAGAGACTAGCTGGTAATGTGTTCGTTATTTCAGTGACTTACTTATTTGAGCTAATTTAGAATACTTAAGTAGCTGTTAAATTTTGACCACCAATTAGAATCAAAGTCTATATTTTGAAAAAATAAAATTATGTAATATTTAAAAAACAATATTTTTACTTAGTTAGATCTCAACATTGAAAAGATGGCAGTTTATGAAGTAATTGATTTGATTAATGAAGGAGCATAACCAAATATTACTGAATAAAAATCTATTTTATTATTTTAGTAGAACGCCCACATATCTTGAGTATTTAAATTTATCATTTAAAGAGTGCTCTTAGACGAATACTATAAAAGTATATTTTTATTAAATGATTAATCATAATAGTAAATTGTATTTTTGGAGTTGATAGCAAGAATATATTGATCATTTTTTTGCTGATAATTTTAAACGCTAAGTATTTAATTTAGATTATCTGACGAGTTATCAACAACCAAAAATTACTAAGATTGGAAGTTGTATTAGACTATTTATCCTGTTTAAGTCAAAAAAGTTATTTTCATTCCATCTAAATAATACGCATTTGCTATTTATTAATTAAATGTAACATTTTATGATAAGAGTAGACCAGATGAGATATAGAAAGTAAAAACTTAGGTATTAGTATTCATGCAAGATAATATATTGTTTTGTGTTGATTCTTCTACTAGCTTAACACATTTTGTGATCTGTTATGAATTATTGAAACTTAAAATGTAAGTAAATATAAATAAAATTATTATTACAAATGCTAATTATGGAATTTTATAATAAGCTTGAGGTATGAGCTAAGGAATTGACTTGACAATAAATTTGCCATATTCATCAATCTAAAGCAGAGTGCTATTATCTTTTTTTTTAAATTTTAACTTTAAAATAAAAAAATTAAAATATTCTATAAAATACAGATATATAACAATTGATTATAAAATACTTATAATTTTAATTATTTATTTTCATAATGTTTTAATTCGCAATTGATTATTTCAAAGCAATCAAGATAAAATTCAAAATTTAAAAAGAATTATAATATCTATTTTGTTGAAGCTTATTTAATTTATTTATAATCGCTCAAAATATTATTTTTAGGTAGAACTTAATTGAAATCATTCACAATTTTTTGCAAAATTTAATAATTTCAACTCGCACACAAGTAGTAAAATATTGAAAAAGCAAAATTTAGTTTAAAATAAAATGAACTTTAAAAAATTATTTTAAAAATAAAATTGTAAATTCATAATTAATTTAGAAATTAGAACTTTTATTTAATTCAAAAAAGGAATTCAGATAATATTTAAAATTTTATTAAAAGTTTTTTTTTATGAAGCTTCAATATTTTTAAAAACTGAGGTAGGTAAATTCTTTAAAAATATAACTTAAAAACTTATTAATCCCTTCATAAAAACATTTTTTTCAAAACTTAAAAATTTACCTTAATTAAAAATAAATAATTTTTATAGTATTTTATAAAATCACTTATTTGAAAGTTAAATTGATAAAAAAAAATTAAAAAATAGAGTTAAATTATATAATACGAATTCGAAACATCGATGCTATAAATTTAGAAAAAAAATGCAAAATGCTTAATCTTATCATTTAAAAAATTGAAAAAAGAAAATATAAAGCAAAAGGCTTAATTCTTTCATTTAAATTTATTATGTTTTTAAAAATAAGGTATCATATAGATATTTAGATTTCAATCAATTAATTAGCTTTAAAAGAAAATATAGAGGTGTTTAGTAGATTTACAAACAAATTTTTTCTACATTCTTTTATGATATATATTATGTTGGTTTATATTCATTTAAGTTAATATTGAAGGGTAAAAAAAGAAAAAACATACATTATTGGCTTAAAATTTAAATGTTTACCTCCACTGATAGAAGTGCTAAAGAATTATATTTTACCAACCATTTAAGATGCAGGAATATAAGATAACTAAGGGCAGATTTATAGATAAATGCATGTATTAGAAGATGGATCTAAGGAATAACTATTAGATTAAATGCTGCATTCATATACACACTCTCCATCAAACAAATATTATCCATCTTAGCAATTCGAAATGCATCCTTACTAGAGTATAAAAAATGTAATGATTTTAAGAAAATTAAATGATTAAATTACTTTATCTTATGGATTAACAGAGTATCCAGATTAGCATTAATAGCATTCAGTAGGTGAGCAGCTTAAGCAAAATTAAGAAGCGCAGGAAACACATTCCATTTTTTAGTTTTCATATGTTCCACTTGGGCAAGATTAGACACACTTATAACTATTCTGATCAAAATAAAATGGGTATTTACATCCAAGGCACTCAAAATTTTTATCGTTAGAGCAATCTTAGCATGCTTAGTAACATTTACTAACATCAACTTACTGGCCAAAAGAAAGGAAAATTCTATTTAGTATTAAATGGGTAATTAACAAATCTTTCAACTTCATCAGCTTTTAAATTTTTTTTATATATCTGTTTGAAATTTATTTTTAGTTTATTAGAAATATTATTTATAAAAAAAAGTTCTACTATAAAGACATCATTTTAAATAGAATGAGAAATCAACAGCGTTTCAAATTATAATGTTGAGATTATTATTTTACTGATTGTTTTTAAAAAAATCTAGATATTATAATCTTTATGTAAAGAATATGTTTTTAAAATTATTTGGAAAGGAATAAACTTTAACATTTATTATCAATTTAACTCCAATAAATATTTCAAATAATCATTTTAACTTTCTTTTTTTAAAATGGATTTTAAGTTTACTCTAATTCTTTTCAAAATTCTTTTTAACATTTAAAAATTTATAGTTTAGTTCTAACTGCCAAAAAAATAAGCTAATAATTATACTTATTTAATTTATTTATTAAAGACTTTTAAAAGGAATTTAAGTATGTTCAAAATTAATATTTTAGAAATATTCTTTTTATTTTTAATGAATGAATACATTTGATTATTTTTTAGAAAAATATTTCATTAAATAATAAGATTAAAAATAATTACTCTTTAATTTCATTTTATATCAAAGTAACTAAAATATTTTTTCTTAATTTTTTATTTTGTTATTTTTGAATATATTATATTTAGAGTAGCAAATTTAAACTTAATGATAATAAATATTTTTTAATAAAATAAAATAAAGGTTTTGTATCTGATATATAAACTAAACATAATTTTTTTTATCCCTATTAATTAATGCCTTCCTCCTTATGTTTTTTAATTAATGTTATTTTATTGAAAAAAAGGAAGTACTTTATTGTAAAAATGAATTTTTTACTCCATAATTTATTTTAAAAAGCAATTCTTAAATTACATGTAACATTAATATTAAAAAATGTTATCCAAGAATTAATTTTTGATATTCATTTGGATAATTACAGAGTTAATATTTTAAAAATTAAAAAATATCAAATATTTTTAATTATTAATTCCATTTAAGTACAGATATAAAGCAATTAATTCTTCAAAAAATATATTTTCCATATTACAAATTTTTTTTAGTTTGATACAAAATACATATCTAAAATAATGAAAGTAATTGAATTTTGTTTATTAAAAACTAAAGTATTATGATATTCTTTTTAAAAAATAAAAATAATAAATTTTGTAATTTATTGATTTTTGCTGCTTATATTTTCTGTATCTAATATGCATCAATATTTAGTATACTGAATCTGATAGAGTTTTATCTCCTCTATCCATTAGCATATGATTCATTAAAATATAATATGTTTAAAATAACTATGTATGGATATGAAAGAAATACTATCTAACCCTAAAAAAAGATAAGTAAAAATATTCTCTATAATTTACTCATTTAGTTGTACTTGATATAACTTACTCAATTTAATTCTTTTTAATTTTTCTTATTTGTTAATTTGTAATGAAATATACAACTTTAATAAATCATCATTTTTCTAAAAAATCATAAAAAATATAATATTTTTTTTCAAGATATTACTAAAAAAAAAGCTGAGTAAAATTATTTATTTTGTACAATTTTTTTTTAAAGATAATAGTAAGCTAAATTAATTTTAGCTAAAAAATCCTTCAAGTCAACAAATAATCAATCAAAAAACTTTTATTCTACTAGAAAAATTTTATAAATATTAAACTATTAATATAAAATTATTAAACGCAAAACTTAGTATTAAAATTAGCAAAAATTGATATAAAATAAAATTTAAAAAAAAAAATATTGATTTAACCATTTTAAAATTAATAGTCAAATGCTTTCACTATATAAATCATACAATAAATGAGCTGGATTTATTATTTAAAATTAAAAAATAGATTTATAATAGGCTAACACTTAAAAGTTGTTTGCTGCCAGCTACTTTACAGTTTCATTAAATGAGGCATTATCATAGTCAGCTAGTCCAGGTATCTTATAGGTTTGAAAGCTAAAGAACTATCCAGAAGATAACAAATTTTTTAATTCTTTTTTCTCAACTTTATTAGAAGTAATTTAAATTTATTATTATATATTATCAATAAGGAGTGTTCTCAAATTTTAAAATATTTCTAAGCTTAATTAGTCATGAAATAATTTGTTTGTTATGGTTATTAGCAGCTCTTTTTTAAAGTTAGCTCTCTGAAATCTCCATTAAAATTCAAATGTATTGCTCAAATCACTTATTTAAATTATTATTGAACTTAAATTAAATTTACTGATCACTTTAATAAATTTTTAAATCAAAGTTAAATTGTGAGCAAATTTTTAATAATTGCTTGAGTTTAATTCATTTAATTATATTATTATTTCTAATTTATATTCTTCCAAAAACCTGTCCTGCAATTAATTGTAAAGTTTCTTATTAAATTGCACCTAGTTTTCCTTTAATATTATTTATGATTTAAATTTATTACACTTTCTACTTTTGTAATACAGATTAATAGCTAGGAGGTAAAATTAAGGCAAACAGAAGAAAAGCGAAACATAAATAGCAAAATCTAATTAAATTACTTTGGCAAAATATAGAAATTTAACCAAAACCAGAATGAATAAGTTAATACATTAAATACTTAGTTTCAAAATTTACTCCCATTCAGGAAGTTTTGTGTTTAGCTGAAATTTCTAATAGGTCTGAAAGGGGTATAGATTAATCTAAAAGATGTATTAACAGAAATAGATTACCAAATCTTCTTTCCATTCTTCTTTTTTTCTTTTAGTAGAAGTATAAAAGTCTAATACTCCTACTAAGAAGTTAAAGCTAAGTAGAAAAATGAATAAAAAATTGCTGTAAATAAAACTTTGAACCAATATATAAACGCTACAAAGATTTAAAAAGGCAGAATGAATTATCAGCTTTCCTTCATATAACTTTTAAAATTTCATTACAATTTTAATGGTTAAAATCCATAGAATTGAGAAATTGACAAAAATCATAGCTGTATAAAATGAGTTTTACAAACTTTTGGCTGATAAAGAGAGCAAGTAGATATTTATGCAAGCCGTAGGCAGGGTGATAACTATCAATTAAACAAGCATTCGAATTGATTAATTTTTAATTGATCTGCAAACACAATACCATTCACACTGAAAAAGGAACAAAAGTAAATAAAATGGTATTCTCTCTCTTTCTAATGATTGAAAATTTGAGATGAGCGCAGCAAATTTTGATACCATCCAAACAATTATTATAGCATAGACTGCCTTAGTACTATTATCTTTGCTAAGTTACACAAATTCGTATATATGAAGTAAAGATATTGAAACGCTTGATAATACTCCTAAGAAAAAGTTCGTATTTCTTTTACTAAAACACTCAAAGCACATCCTATTTACTTTTTAACCCTACTTTTATTTTAATAGATAAATTTTAATTAACCATAAAATTTAGGTGATCAAATGAAGTGATAGAAAATAAAAAAATAAAAAAATCAATAGCGACCTATTTTTTAATATTATTTCTATTGCATATAAAAATGATCCATATAATTTTTGAAAAAATAGAAATTTTACTCTTTAACTAACAACTTAGAATCATCAATTTACCCAAACAATAACTAAAAACATATAGTAATTAAAAATGAATGAGTTTCTTTATCAAAATATTTTTAAAAAAACTTTGCTTTATCTTCATAAGCACTATCATTTTACTTCTTTCTTTAAATTCAAATTTTATTTTACGTTTTTGTAAAAGTTAAATCAAGTATTTTTCTCTCATTATTTATATTAATAAAAAATGTATTTAGCTATGAGTTTTTGTAAAGGATTTTATTCAATTTTCAGCGAAGATTCTCTGTTGAGATATTTATTATATAAAATTTGTTTATTAATTCATAAAATAATTAATTTGATTTTATTTTTAAGCTCAAAGATATTTAAAGGATATACATTATTAAGGCCGGTTTTTTAAAATTTGAAAATGTGGTTTAATTAAGGCAGTTACTAAAATTTCAGTGTAAAGCCTTGAGAAAGGCAGTACCCTAGGGTACTATACATATACATACATATTTATAATAATAATAACTTTATTCTTAATATTTTTAAAGAGTGATAGGAAATACTCAAATCAATATACTTTTATTTTTAACAAAAATTGGATTGAAGAGCCAATAAGCTTGTTTTTAATAATTGTATTTGTTTGTTAACATTAATGCTTATCATTTTACTTACTGTTGTAATTTGAAAGTTGAGTATGAAAAATTAAATAAAAAAAGAAATAATTTAGATTTCATTGCATAAAAAAATTATTAACAAATTTTCAAATCATTAGAACATAAAATTAATATTTATAGACCAACAGACAAAAACTGATAAAATTTTTAATAATTGCTGTTTTAAAGATATTTTGTGAAAAATCAACTTCAAATAAGCATAACTAAAGAGAAAAGCAATGAAACTATGGGTAAAATGTATGTGGAAGATGTTGAAGCAGCTTTACAAACATTAGTAGTAGAACCAGCTGGGGCAGTTTATCCAGAAGAACATGCAGTACATCCACTGGCACCAGTAGTGGTAGGGGTACCATAGAAGTTAGCTTTACATTAACAAACAGGAGTAGAGGCAGAGCTGAGGGAAGCGTTAGTGTCTGGGCACATGCATGAAGCAATAGCAGTTGTACCAGCAGTAGAGGTTGTTCCAGTTGGGCATCCAGTACATCCAGTAGCACCACCAGCAGTTGGGTTAGGTGTACCATAGAAGTTAGCTTTGCATTAGCAGGCTGTGTTACCACTATTGAGGGCAGAGTTAGTATCACTGCAAGCACATGAAGAAACAGCAGTTGAACCAGCAGCAGCGGCAGAACCAGTTGGGCATCCAGTACATCCAGTAGCACCACCAGCAGTTGGATTAGGTGTACCATAGAAGTTAGCCTTGCATTAGCAGGCAGTGTTACCACTATTGAGGGCAGAGTTAGTATCATTGCAAGCACATGAAGCAACAGCAGTTGAACCAGCAGCAGCGGAAGAACCAGTTGGGCATTAAGTACATCCAGTAGTACCACCAGCAGCTGGGTTAGGTGTACCATAGTAGTTAGCCTTGCATTAGCAGGCAGTGTTACCGCTATTGAGGGCAGAGTTAGCATCATTGCAAGTGCAAGAAGTGACAAGAGTTCCTACGGTAGTGGCAAGAACAGAATTAGTTCCAGTTGGGCATTATTGGCAAGCTCCACCAGCAACAGAATCAGTAGAAGTACCATAATAACCAGCATTACAGAAACAAACACTTCCAGCACCAGCAGTAGCGTGAGCATCAGAACAAGCATTTACAGTAGCAATTACAGCTACAGAAATAAGTATCAAAGAAGTTACTTTCATTTTTTTTTTGCAAGATTAGTTTATAATTATTTGAATTTTTGATTTTATTAAATCTTTATAATTAAATTTTGCTCTATTTTAAAATTAATACAGATGGGCTGAGATAATTTGAGGATTATTCATTCATTCGTTTATCAATTACCCCTCTTTAATTTAATTATTTTGAATTTTAAATAAAATATCTATAGGGTAGGCTAATTTATAAATTAATTAATGATAAAAAACAAATATTTTAAAATTATCTTATTTGAAACATCAACCTAAATTTATTAAATATACTTTAATGAAGGTTCTAAATGTAAAAAAAACATATTTAAAAATTAGAAATTTTCATCTCATATCATAAATTTATTTTTTTGAATGCTAATTATTTTTTTTACATTAAAAATCATTTAATGACTTGTTTAAAAGATAATTTTTTTAAAGTTGAAAACCCAAAAAATTCTAAATCTATTGCTTTACACAAAATAAAATAGAAAATTGTTATTTTTTATAATTACTGTTATTTAATTAATCATTAAAATTACGAAAGAATTAAAAATGAAATACTTTATTCTACTTTATTACTAACTAATATAAGAAAATCTGTTAAAGTTTTAGGGGGATATGGTAGGCTTTTTAAATTAGATTTGCAAATAAAATATTGATTACTTTTCTGATAAAATATTAAAAAAATATGTCTTCTAAAGAATTTATTAGAATAATAATTAAAATAAAATATATTTTGATTAATTTTCTGATAAAATATTTAAAAAATATGTCTTCTAAAGAATTCATTAGAATAATAGTTATATTGATTAATTTTCTGATATAATATTAAAAAAATATGTCTTTTAAAGAATTTATTAGGATAATAGTTATTATGGTTTTGGTAACTTAAGTTGTCTTCTAAGGGTGTGAAAAAATAATTTGTCTTGTATATTTTTTCATGAATTTTTATTTATTTCCACTTACAATTTTTGGTATGGAAAAATCAACAAAAAATTCAATGAAGAAAGTTTAAATTAAAAAAAATTAAACTTAGAATGAAGAGAATATTTGGGAGAAAAGAGGAGGAATTAATTAATTTCTTTACTATCCCTTAATTAAATTCTTAGTTCTGACGAAATATTAATAAATTTTGTCTTGATTAGAGCTGTATAAGAAATGATCATTCACTGATGAAATATTAACAAAATTTGTCTTTTAAAGATTTGAATATAATAAATGCATGATGATCTTCTGATGAAATATTTAAAAAATGTGTCTTCTCTCTAATAAATTTAAAAAAATAATATAGAAATTTATTGTTTGTTTGTTATTATAAAAAAAATACATCAATGAAAAGCTAAAATTTATTTAAATAATCAGACAAAATTTAATACTTTAAACATAATTTATTTAAAAATTAATAATGGATAAACTCATATTGAATTCATATATCTTTAAAATTATTTATTATGATTTAATTTTTGCTTAAACTTTCATACATTTTATTTTATTTTAACAAAGATAATAAAAATTGACTAATTATTTAATTAAAATGTAAAAGAAAGTAATATTTAATAATTTAAATAAAAATTTAAAGTTAATTATCATAAAGTATTCATCAATTCATTAAATGTATTAACTTTATTTATTTACAAACCAAAAATTGATAAGATTCATAATTTTTCCTTCAATAATTTAATTTTAAAGTACACTTAGAGCTTTAAAAAAATTATTACTAGTAAAAAATTTTGATAAATAAACAGACTGTAATAAATTTTCTATTGAATGCATCATACACGTAATAAGAAATATATCTAAATTTTTTAAAACGCATTATTGAAAACAAGAGAGAGTATTTAGGATATTTTTTAATAAAAAAATATATCTTTCTGATTAAATATTAATAAAATTTGTCTTCTTAAGAATTTATAAGTATCATCTAAATAATCATATATTTTGATTTCAGTGTGATTTTAATATTTATTTTGATTAGAAATCCTGAGTTTCTTTCTGCAAAAATATCTTTAGTTCATAAAAATATTTTCCCAATTAAAGTTTATGTTAGTTTCTTCAAAAACTTAATAATTAAAACTGAGAATAAAAATACTAAGATATTTATTTATGAATTAGTTCAAATTTTAGATATTTGAAAGGCAAGATATTTTTAATATTCAACGTCTTCTCGATTTAAGATAAAAAAAGTAGATTTGAATTGTAAAAAATATAAAACAAATAGTGTATTTCCCTAAATCTATTAAATTGAAATAAAGAGCAAATATTTAAAATTATTTCTACTTTAAAATATAAGTAAATGTAGTGCATAATGTATAAACCCATCTAATTTTAGCCAATATTATTATAATTTTTTATAGTCACATTTTTATACAAACAAATATATGAAATCCGCGAAATGATCCACTTTACTGTGTGTTAAGATATTTATTTATTCTACCATATATTTCAAAACTGATTAAATATTATTAAAATTTGTCTTCTTCAGAATTTGTTATCCATTTAGATAAAATTTAATTTCATTATTTTATTTTAAATTTAAATATTTCTCTTAAAATCACCTAAGTAATAATTAATAAATAATGATGATTTTTTCTCTTTTTACCTATATTTTGCTAATCTAGGTATTAAAATATGATAAACTGGATATAATTATATTTTAATACCTGGATTATGCTTAATTTAAAATGAAAAAAATATATTAAAGTATATGATATCATGGTTCGTGATATTTCAAATGCAGGAATATCTATATATTTTTTGATTATATATTAAAATAATAATTATAAAATCAATAACAATAATAAATTAATCAAATAGATAATCGATCAACATCAAAAAGCTCAAATTTGTTAAAACATTAAATTTAATATTTAATATTTAAAACATAATTTATCTAAAAATTGATCAGGGAAAAACGAATATCAAATTCTTAAATTATTAAAATTACTTTTTATGATTAAGAAACTTTAATTTTCGTGTACACTTTCATACATTTGACTTTAATTGAATAAAGATAATAAAAATTGGAAATTTAAAAAAAAAAAAAATAAATATTTAAATAAAAGAGAAAAGAAAATTAAAAGGCAATTATTATAATCTATTTATAAATTGATTGATTAAATAGCATTTAATTTTATTTATAAACAAAAAATTGATAAAATTCATTATTCTCTTAACAATTATAACAATTTAATTTGATAGCACACTTAGAGCTTTATTAAAATTATTTCTTGGAAAAAATTTTGATAAGTAAACAGATTGTAATAGATTCGTACTTGTAATAATAAATTTAAAAAAACGTATTATTTTATTATAAAACTTAAACAAGAGTGTATTTAGGATATTTTTTAATAAAAAAATATATATCTTTCTGATTAAATATTAATAAAATTTGTCTTCTTATGAATTTATAAGTATCATCTAGATAATCATTTATTTTTTAATTTGATTGGAAGTTCTGAATTTCTTACTGCTAAAATATCCTTAATTCACAAACATATTTACCCAATAAAAGTTTCATTTACTTACTTCAAAAACTTAGTAATTAAAATACTAAGATATTTATTAACTAGTTTAAATTTCAGATATTTGAAAAATGAGATATATTTAATATTTTTTGTCTTCTTTTTCTTATGGATTTATGATAAAAAAGTAGATTTCAATAGTAAAAAACATAAAAAAACTAATATTCACTGTATGGGATGAGATATTTATTTATTGATTGATCATATATTTCAAAACTGATTAAATATTATTAAAATTTGTCTTCTTCAGAATTCATTATCCCTTTAATTAATATTAAATTTCATTCTTTTATTTCAAATTTAATAATTTCTCTTTAAATCTCCTAAGAAAAAATTAATAAATAATAGATGATTTTTTCTCATTATCTATATATGTACATATTGTATTTAATTATATAAATTAACTAATAAGGAGTCTATTAACCCATGATTTGGTTAATATAAGTTTTTATCTATGCCATAATAAAATAAAAATTATACAAAAAGTAGGAGGTATAGATAAATTTTATATATCTTTATCAAAAGAAAGTTCTTAAAAAAAAACAAAAATTTAAAACTTTAAATTATTTATGAATATACCCACTCACCCTCTAATTTATATGTTAGAAATTTTTAATGTTATTTTTATTTTTAAAATTCCATTATTTTTTATTTAGGATGATTGCTTTGTCAATTTTTTTAAACTAGTTCTTTTATTCTTCATATTATTAAATACTGAAATAAAAATAAGCCAAATAAATATTAGTAATAAAAAGATATCATTTCATATTAAGTTTTAAGAGAACAATAATAACTTTTTACTTAACATTTTTAAAGAGTGATATGAAAATACTCAAATCATTATATTTTTATTTTTAACCAAAATTTGATTGAAGAGCTAGCTAGCTTGTAGCTTTTTATTTTTAATAACAAAAATTATTTAAATTTTTTTGTTTATTTACTTACTTATATGCTTATTATCTTACTGGAATAATTTGAAAGTTGATTTTGAAAAAAAAATAAATATAAAAGAAAATATATTTGATTTTGTAAAATGATAAAAATAATTCAATTTTCAAATCATTAGAACATAAAATTAATATTTATTGACTAACAGACAAAAATTGATTAAATTTTTAATAATTGCTGTTTTATAGATATTTTGTGAAAAATCAACTTCAAATAAGCATAACTAAAGAGAAAAGCAATGAAACTATGGGTAAAATGTATGTGGAAGATGTTGAAGCAGCTTTGCAAACATTAGTAGTAGAACCAGCTGGGGCAGTTTATCCAGAAGAACATGCAGTACATCCACTGGCACCAGTGGTGGTAGGAGTACCATAGAAGTTAGCATTACATTAACAAACAGGAGTAGAGGCAGAGCTGAGGGAAGCGTTAGTGTCTGGGCACATGCATGAAGCAATAGCAGTTGTACCAGCAGTAGAGGTTGTTCCAGTTGGGCATCCAGTACATCCAGTAGCACCACCAGCAGTTGGGTTAGGTGTACCATAGAAGTTAGCCTTGCATTAGCAGGCAGTGTTACCACTATTGAGGGCAGAGTTAGTATCACTGCAAGCACAAGAAGAAACAGCAGTTGAACCAGCAGCAGCGGCAGAACCAGTTGGGCATCCAGTACATCCAGTAGCACCACCAGCAGTTGGATTAGGTGTACCATAGAAGTTAGCCTTGCATTAGCAGGCAGTGTTACCACTATTGAGGGCAGAGTTAGTATCATTGCAAGCACATGAAGCAACAGCAGTTGAACCAGCAGCAGCGGAAGAACCAGTTGGGCATTAAGTACATCCAGTAGTACCACCAGCAGTTGGGTTAGGTGTACCATAGTAGTTAGCCTTGCATTAGCAGGCAGTGTTACCACTATTGAGGGCAGAGTTAGCATCATTGCAAGTGCAAGAAGTGACAAGAGTTCCTACGGTAGTGGCAAGAACAGAATTAGTTCCAGTTGGGCATTATTGGCAAGCTCCACCAGCAACAGAATCAGTAGAAGTACCATAATAACCAGCATTACAGAAACAAACACTTCCAGCACCAGCAGTAGCGTGAGCATCAGAACAAGCATTTACAGTAGCAATTACAGCTACAGAAATAAGTATCAAAGAAGTTACTTTCATTTTTTTTTTGCAAGATTAGTTTATAATTATTTGAATTTTTGATTTTATTAAATCTTTATAATTAAATTTTGCTCTCTTTTAAAATGAATACAGATGGGCTGAGATAGTTTGAAGATTATTCATTCATTCGCTTAGAAATTTTCCCTTTACATATTAATTATCTTGATTTAAAATAAATGATCTATAGGGTAGGCTAATTTATTAATTAATTAATGATAAAAAGCAAATATTTTTAAATTAGCTAATTTGAAACATCTACCTTAATTTATCAAATGCTTTTTAATGCTGATTCCTAAACGAAAAAAACAAATTTAAAAATATGTTATAAATTTATTTTTTTTTCTTCATAAAAAATTATTTTGTAACTTTTATTTTAAAGAGAAAATTTTAAAAATTGAAAATTCAAGAGCTCTAAATCTATTTCCTAATACAAAGTGAAATAGAAAATTAATTAATGATATTTATATAAATACTATTTTTGAATTATCATTAGAAGTAAGAAAGAATTAAAAATGAAATGCTTTATTCAACTTTATTACAAGTTAATAAGTAGAAAATTTGCCAAAGTTTTAGGAGAATAAAGTAGGATTTTTAAATTAGATTTGCAAATAAAATATTGATTAATTTTCTGATGAAATATTGAAAAAATATGTCTTTTAAAGAATTTATTGGAATAATAGTTATCATACTTTCTTGTAAAATATTAACGTAAATTGTCTTCTGAGGATTTGTAAGAATAATAAGTCTTGTATATTTTTACATACATATTATATGGATGATGATAATATTGCATATAAAACTTTCATCAAATTACAAATTAATATAACAGTCATATATGTTTATTTTCACTTACAAAAATTAACAAAAACATCAATAAAGAAAGTTTAAAAAAAAAATAATTAAATTTTACCTGAAGAGAAAATTTGAGAGAAAATAGGAGGAATTAATTATTTTTATTATTACTTGATAAAATGTCTAGTTCTGATGAAATATTAATAAAATTTGTCTTCAAATGATCTGTTAATAATAGAAATAATCATTCATGGAAGAGATATTAACAAAATTTGTCTTTAAAAGATTTTAATATAATAAATGTTTAATGATTTTCTGATGAAATATTAACAAAATTTGTCTTCTCACGAATAAACGAGAAAAAATAATAAAAACTATTTATATAGATTTTTCTTTGCTCAAAAAAAAAATAAAGGCTTATTTTTAAATTTACTTGAAATTTTGTGTTAGTTCTTCTAAAAGAATACTGAAAACAAAATTTTATTTAAACAAATACACCAAATAAATTTTATACACTAAACAAACATAATTTATCTTAAAATTAATTATGGATAAACTCATATTGTATTCATAAATCTTTAAAATTATTTTTTATGATTAAGGAGCTTTAATTTTTGTGTATACTTTCATACATTTGAAATTATTAGAACAAAGATAATAAAAAATTACTAATTCATTAATTAAAAGTACAAGAAGGAAAAATATAAATTTAAAATAAAGAGAAAATAAAATTTGAAGGCAATTATCATGATATATATATATCAATTAATTAAATTGTATTTCATTTTATTTACATACCAAAAATTGATCAAATTCATGATTCTTTCTTTCTTTACATTAATAACAAATTAACTTGAAAACTTGCTTAGAGCTTTAAAAAAATATTTCTCGCAAAATATTTTTAAAAAAATAAACAGATTATAATAGATTTTCTATTGAATGCATACTCGTATTAAGAAATTTATCTAAATTTTTTAAAGTTAATTTAATGCATTATTTTTCATGAAATAGAAAGAAACAAAAGAGTATTTAGGAGTTTTTATAATTAATAAATAATATTTCTTTCTGATTAAATATTAATAAAAAATGTCTTCTTAAGAATTTATAAGTATCTTCTAGATAATCCTTTATTTTCATTCAAGTGTACTTACTTTGTATATTTACTTTAATCTGAAATCAATCATTACATTAAAAATATTGATTGCCTAGCAATTTCAGGTATAAATTAAATAAATATTTAATTGATTAATTAATTAATTGAGTAAATGCAATAAATCAAACATATATTCACATAAATGCAAAAAATCAAGCATATATTCACAAATAAATTAAAAAAAAGTCAAGCTATTTATTTTTATTACAAAGCCTTTTTTAAAAAATAAATGTAAATTAAATGAAAAATAGTAGTAAAACCCATTATTTAAAAGCTATTTTTTAAGCTACTCAAACAAAGTTTTGTGTTATTTTTTGTGATATGTTTTTTTGCTAAAGTAAAAATTGTACTTTAAAAATAACTATTTTATTAAAATGTAGAGAACTTAATGAATTTAACATTTTAAAATGTTAGTATTTAATAAAATTTTATAATAGTTTTTATTTTTTATAGAGACTAGAGAATAAAGGCTCTTATTTAGAAAGTAATTAATTAGATTAAACTTTTAAACAAAGAAGAATATTGAAAATTTCCTAATGACACATATATAAAAAATCAATCAAAATCTTAAAATTAATATTAAGCTCATCTGAATTTCTTACTATGAAAATATCTTTAATTTGCAAACATTTTTCCCCAATAGAAGATTCAATTAATTTCTTCAAAAACTTAATAACTAAAACTGAGAAATAAAATGCGAAGACTATTATGAATTAAATCAAATTTTATATATTAAAGTGATGAGATATTTTTAATTAATCTTATCAAAGATTTAAGATACAAAAAGTAAATTTCAATTATAAAAAAGAAAAAACAAAAAGTAATTTTCCGTAAATTTGTTATATTCTTAAACATAAAGCAAATAAATAAAATTAATTTATTTCTATTTTAAAATATAAGTAAAAGTCATGTGTATATTGTATATGCATTCGATCTTAGCTCGAATATTTTTATTAAATTTTATTGTTGCACTATCATACAAATATATGAATTCACAAAAAGATTTGTTGTAATATTAAATTGAGTTGATGATGTATTTACTTATTTATTTATTTTTTCGACTATGTATTTCAAAACTGATTAAATATTATTAAAATTTGTCTTCTTCAGAATTCATTATCCATCTATCTAGATTAAATTAAATTTGATTATTTTATTTCAAATTTAATAATTTCTCTTCAAATCTCCTAAGAAAAAATTAACTTATAATAGATGATTTTTTCTCTTTATTAATATATATTTATATACTGCATGCATTTAAATAAATTTACTAATACAGATTTTTTAAAACCTGATTTGTTAAATAGTAAATAAGAGCAAAAATACTAATAAAATAATATTTTAAACCTACCTAGGTTTTTTGAGGGGAATTGCGGTAATAAATATAAAATTAAGAAATATTTTTTTTTTATCATGTTAGATAAACTAGAAAGTTAATATTTCTTTATATATTTCTAAGATAAAAGCACATAAATAAATTGTTTAAAAATTTCTATCAATAACATTAAAATAAACTAAAATTTTTAGAATAGAATAGAATAGAAATAGATGAATTAATTACTTTTAAAACTAAAATTAAAACCTTTTCATTTAAATTTTAGATATTTTAAAGTAGTTTTTGTTAACTTAATTTAGCTTTGCTTTTTAAAAGTTGATAACTTTAATTAATCAACTCTTTGAGAAAATAAGATAATTAATTAAGTAATTAATCAAGGGGTAGTGTTATACTACATTTTTTGAACTGATAAAATATTATTAAAATTTGTCTTCTTAAGAAATAATCAGAATACTAATAATACATACATAAACTTTATCTCACCTGAATTTACTATTAAATTTTCTCCTAATCCTCTTTGAAAAGCATCAAAAGTTTCCTAAATTATATGTTAAAATTTCATATTTACTAGGTCTTTTAAAAAATTCAATCTAATATTCTTAGATATGAACCTGATCTTAAACAAAAATATCTTGCTTTGTTTTTAAATAATGTTATATTCCTTATTTTTTAGAAGATATTTTCCATTATGCGCTTTTATGAACTACAAATAAATTAATCTTTAAAGAAATATAAGTCCTTCAAAATTTAAACACAGATGAAAAATGAAATAGGTTTGGACTATCAATGAAATCATAGGATTCAAATTTTTAATAAATAAACGAATGAATGAATAAAAGTTTTATTGATTGATTTTTGTTTATTTTAAAATTTTCTTCTTAAATATTTTTTATAATATATTTTTCCATTTTGAACTTTAATGAATGAATTGCAAATAAATTAATCTTGAAAGAAAAAAAGTCATTTAAAATTTTAACATAGATGAAAAATGAAATAGGTTTGTAGATCAAAGAAATCATAGGAATCAAATTTTTAAAAAATAAATAAATACATTGAATGAAAGCTTCCTTGATTGATTTTTGTTTATATTAAAATTACTTATTAAATCTTTTTACAATATGTTTTTCCATTATACACTTTAATGAATTACAAATAAATTAATCTTTAAAGAAAAATAAGTCATTTAAAATTTAAATACAGATGGTGAAGTAGGTAGGTAGGTAGGTAGGTTTGGAGATTCTAAGAAATCATTAGATTAAAATTTTTGATAAATAAATAAATGATTGAAAGCTTCTTTGATTGATTTTTGATTATTTTAAAATTTTCTTCTTAAATCTACTATATGAAATTCTCATAAATATATTCATATACTAATAAAAAGCAACTAATATAATTATAATATATCCAACTAACAGGAGGGATTTATTTATAAAAATATATATCTTACATTGATTTTTCCTATTATTACTATAGTTATTTAATGTTTTTTCCCATGTAAAATAAAAAATGTTCCCCCTTTTTAAATTTCAAAGGATATTCTCCCTTTGCAAATTCAAAAGGACTACTTTATTTGTTTGTTAGATTTTAATTCTCAAGAGTGATATTTTAATTTATTTTTTTATGTACTTATTATTATTATATTAAATAAAACAAAAAAAGTTATAAATCTAGCAATTACAAAATATGACCAAATTTTAGTAGTATAAGCGATTCTGTTTAATAATTAAATTAAATAACTTTAATTTATTTACAAAATGCTAAATATTTTTTATGAGTTTTATTATTATAGATTTTAGTTAAAAATCAGAATATATTTAAGCAACTAAAACAATTATAATTTTCAGTAAAATTTAATTTCACTAGCTAAAGTAAAATATCTAAAAATGACTGGCTGACTAACTAACTAACTAACTAACTAACTAACTAACTAACTAACTAACTAACAACCAAATTGATATAAACATTTAATTTTATTTAGAATTTTAAGAAACTGAATGATAGTCAATAAAAAAGAAATTAAAAATTAGTTCATTTAAATTAATATTATTAACATTTTACTTTTATCTCAATATCTTCTTTTATTTATTTATTTATTTAAAAACTTTGCTTGAAATGAAATATCAATATAATTTGTATTTTTATATTCTTAATTAATATTATTAGTATCCTAAATCTTATTTTATATTTTTACATTTTTTTATTTTATTCAATAATTTAAAGACACCTTTTTTCATTTAAAATATGCAATTTCATAATAATAATTTTTTTTTTTACACTAACAACTATTCCAAATAGCAAATAAAGAAACTAACAAACTGAATTTTTAAAAAAAGGATTGAAAAATTAATTAATTAATTTATTATATAATTTTTATTAAATTTATTAAAGAATGAAAATTTTTTCATGAATAATAAAGTGTGAATTTTTTCTTTAATAAAATATTGCTGAATTATTTTAATATTTTATTTAAAAATAAAATTTATAAAGCAAAATTTAAAACTAATTTGACTATCTCATTTATCAATTAAATTAGATTCAATGTTTGTAAATTTTGTTTCTAATATTAATTATTTCAAATTAACTCTATAAAAATAGGATTTTAATTTTATTTAATTATTTGATGAAATTATTTTTATTAATGCAATTTTCTCATTTTTGCTACAAATGATAAAGTAATTTACATAATCCTTTATTTCACTCTGTTATTTATTATTTTTAGCAAAAATAGTTAAAACAATAGAAGAGATTTGTATCTTCCTTCCTGCTATATTATAATAATAATAATCAAAATAATTTTTTTTTATTTGAATAACAGTCTATATTATAAAATTTACTCTGAATTTTCATAATTTGAATTAATTGAGTCTTACCTAATTTAATTTAAAAAAATTATGCTATCAAAATTACAGATAGATTGATAGCTATAAATTTTTCGTTTAATTTAAATTTTTTGAAAATTAAAAGCATTTTTTGTATTATATTTATAAAGTATTTTACAACCTATTATTTTTAGATAATCGTAATTATATCCATAAATATTTAATATTTAAAAAAACATTTATTTCTGATATAAAAAGTGGCGGAAATGTCAAAATAGTAAGCTAAACCAAGCCAGCTAATTGTCTTATTTAAATTTTAAGGGTTTTTAATTAAAGATTTCGTTTTCCATAAATTAATTGCTTACATTATTTAAAAGAGGGTTTGCTCTAAGTTAGAATATTTAAATAAATATTTTATCAATTTTTACAAGAAGAAACTACATTGAAAGTTTTTAAATATCAAAATAGCAATCTATTTTCATAAATTAATTTTTAGATTTAAGTGAATAATTTATACAATTTTTAATTTAAATTTTATTCATTAATTAAAATGTAAAAATAATTTAGTAAATTAAATGACAGGGGATAAGAGAGAGCCAAATAAAACCTCAAACATGCCTATCTGTCTGTCAGCTCTTCATTTTGTAGAGATTTTTTTAATGAAGAAGAATTAAAGTTAGAATTTTATTAGAGATGTTAGTGAGATCAAAAATTAGTCTGACTTTTTACTAAGGTATTTATTTTTTTTAAAGACGAAAAGACATAATATATTAAGCATACAGATAGAGTTGTTGAAATATTAAATATTTGTATCAGATCTTATTATTTAAATTGATATTTTTTTAGGGTAGAGTTAGTTATTTTGGATGTTTAAAAATAGGAAAACTAAAAATTTTAACAACATAATAAAAGGGATTCAGCGATTTCACAAATTGGTGATGTTTAATCTAGAATATATATAGCTATATTTTATTAGTTGATTCAATAAAATAAGATATATGATATATAAAAATCTTGTAAATAATTCTTGAAGAAGACTTAATAAATAGCAAAATAATAAAGCTTTTATTAAGGGGTAACTCTATAAAAATTCATCTAAATTTTGCTGGATGTGATTATTTATCTCTCTTTATTCAAGTCTTATGCTCATTTTCTGTTACTTTTTTTTGGTTAGAAAAATTATCAATTTTACTGTAATCAGCAAATTAAGACATAGACTGAAAGGAAATTTTTATAACTTTCTAGTCTAGCACATATTATATAATAATTTTTATTATCGAGATGTAAATATTATTAACACCAAACAACACGTATATTAAAGATAAGTAAGTATACATTCAATTAACAAATTCATGAAAAATGCCCTCTGCACTTTTACCTTGACAGATAAGTGACATACTAAATTAACTAATAGAAAAACTGAGAATTTATGTAAGAGGAAACAAATTCTAGAAAAAAGATCAAGACTCTATGATATAAAGAAAGCCAGATTATTTTTAATTAATTTTTAAAATTTTAAATTCTTAATTATTCTTTTAAATAAGTAAGTTACTCTTTAAATTTACTTTCAAATAATGTTAAGGAAAAAACACAATAGTTTGTAAAAAGGGTATTCATTTATTTTATTTTTAACAAATACTTTTTCATAAAATAAATTAATTTTATTTTTATTTACTACTAACTAATACTTTTTAGTTTAAAAAAAATTGATATAAAATTACTATGAATTGTATTTAGTATTTCATTATTACTAAATTTGGACACAGATTTATTTTATACGAATATATTGTTTGTTTGATATTAAAAAATTGGTAACATGTTAGAATATATTAGTAAGATATAAATAAATTATACTAACAACTTACAATTGACCATTTTTTATTAGAAATTCTATTCTTTTTAAACAAATTTAAAAAAATTTTACATTTAAATTATTCATAGAATTTTCATTCTATCTATTCCCATCTATCTGTAATTTCTGCTATAGAAATTGATTTAGTAGTTTCAAAACAAATTTGATAAGAAATTTTATAGCTATATTTATTTATCTAACTATTTTAACCTATTTAAAAAAGTAAATTGTAAACGGATTTTGAATACCAAAATATTATTTTTTCTTTTTATCCAAATAAAATTTATCTAAAACTAAATAAATTTCTTGAAATACTTATAATTAATTGATATTCAATATTCTTGAAAAAAAATAAATGATATAATTGAAAAAATATCAAAGAAATTTAGATGTAATATTTTGTTTTTAAATGATTATTTTTTAGTAAAAAAGGTTTTTAAGCTCTTTGCTTTAACCTATTTCTTTTCACCATATTGATTTTGTAAGAATGAAATTTATTATTACTATTTATTTTGCTCACTCATATTTTTTTCAAGTTTTTAAAATATTTATTTTTAATTCTTTTATTTTTATTTATTTTAACTCATTTTTAATTTATAACATTTACTTTGATTATTAATTAATTAATTTCTTATTTCTTCATATTTTTTCTTCATTTTTACCTTCTAAATAACTAATTCATTATATTTTCTTCAATATTTAATAAGTTGTAAATAAATTTGTGTAATTGATTTGTCAGAAAAGGTTTTGCTTTTGCAAAATTTACTAACAAACCTCACTAATTTTACTCTTGATATAATGTATAAACAGTTTTTTTTTTGTTTGTTTGTTTGTTTGTTTGTTTGTTTGTTTGGCTTTTTGTTTTAAATATAATATTTTTTAATGTAAAATTAATTTAAAAAACAATATATTTGATTTTTTTGTTTTTTATTTTGATAAAACTTTTTTCCCTCTTATGCATCATGTTATGGTACAAAACTCAATTATAATTTAAACCATCTGTCTTTAGATAAATATTAATTAATTAGAGTCAGCATAAATAATATTAAAATGCCAATTATTTTAGAAAATTTATGTAAAAAAGAGGAAAGATTTTGAATTATTCTATTAAAACAAACTTTTTAAAAATATTTTGCATTTTTAGATTTTTAATAAATAGAATATAAATTTTTTTTGGAGAGAAGTGAGGGAGGGAGTGAGGTATGAAAGTATGTAGGATAAAAGATAATATGGTTATTTTTACCATTATAAATCCCTAATGATAATTATTAATATGGAAATATAAATATTTACAATTCTTAAATTGGTTTTAACAAAATGCCATTCATTCATTGTAAATCAAATATTTTTAATTACTTATTAAATATTTTTTGGCTTTTTTTGTACAAATATTAATAGAAAACACATTAAAAAAAGTAATTTTTTAAAGTTTTTAGATTAATAATTTTATTTTCATACAAAAATATGAATCACGTTACAATCTTTTTTCTTTCAAAAACGAAAGGAGTTTTTTAAAATGAATTGAATTAAAATAATTTTTATTGTAAAAATATATGATAAAAATGAATTTAACCCAATAATTAGTAGATTTAGCTACTTCTTTGAAGACTTTTTTATGTTCCTCCATAAGTACAGCTTTCTGTGTGTTTGTAATTTTTTAGGATAATCTACATATCGTCTGCAAATAGCTAGAAGTGGATGTTATGAGGGTCAAGTTTTTTGATTTTCTGTATTTGAAGGATATTAATTCAGATTTTTCATATAAGTAATTGAATAGCAAATGAAAAACTTGTAACCCTGAATGACTGATTTCTCTTCCTATTTTTTACTCATTTATGTCGTCATTTTGAAAATATCATCAAAATTCTGACTCAGTTATGAGAATAACTGTTCTTGGTTGACACAATCAGAGGCAATCTTGACATCATAGAAGAAAGTGAAACTGCTTTCTTTCTTTACCACAGTATTTTGAATAAGAAAAATTATCCTACAAATGCTGATGACTGTGCTACGGTACATCAAGAAATCGCATCTACTGATGTGTAAATTTGTTACTTTGGCCTCAATCTTTCAAATTTTAGAAGTTCTATGTATGGCATTGCCTTCTCTTACATTTTAAAGACTGAGGATTGAATCTTAATGAACCTTAATTTGTAATTTATCTTCTCTTAAATACACTTCAATAGGTAGATTTTCTGGTATAGGAAGTGTTTCTGTATAATTCTGGATCAAAGAGGAGGTCTTTTAGGAGCAGTTGGAGATTGCTGCCCCTGATACAGATTTTCAAGAGTATAAATACTAAATGGCCGGAAAGATGTATCCACAAAAACTTAAGTGTATCTAAATCTTTAAGTTTATTTATCTCCAATAATGAGAATCTACCAAAATCGTTATATTATATAGAATAAGGTAAAAAGCCTGTTGAATATTTTACAAACTTTTTAAATTTATTCTTTAAAAGAGTACACTCTTAAACAATGTTAACTATAAAAGGATATCAACTATTTTTGTATTTAAATAATATTTCTAAGAAAATAATCATCGCCAAATGGATAATTATTAGATATGCAATTTTTAGAAATAGCCTTATTAAGAAAAATATTTTAAAATAACTATTTTTAAAAGTATTCATTCATTTATTTACTTTTAAATCGATTATGCAATCTTACAAGTTTTCTATAAAGGCCATGTATCTTAATTCTATATCATAAGCTTAAGATAGATAATGAAAAAGCTTTTAAATTATTATTTTATGTCAAATATACAATTTCAAAGTTAGTTGAGCTAATAAAAGCAATATGATATCCAATAATTATTACCATATAATTTTAATTGGGAAAATAAAATCCTTTTTTATCATACAATAGATAGTATCTGTAATTTTCAAATACTAGCTAATGAGGTTATAGTAAATCAATAACAACATCTACTACCGTCTTTTGCAATTGTATCACTCTTATCTAATTTGGATATATATTGAGCTATATATCTAACTCATATTAATTAACAATATGTTAGAAAAATAAATTATTTAAATAATCATCACTTTAATATTCATAGCAAAATATTTATTTAACATCAACTATTTACTCTACCTAGTTATTATTAAGAGTTATAGGGATTTAAATATCGTTAAATTGAAATGAATAATATTTAGTATTTTATGCTATCTATTAATTAAAAAAATATTAATTTGAAAAAAAGTAGATTTTAAATATTAATTAATGACTTACCAACTATAATTCAAGATTTGGATCATCTAAACTAATTGTGAGATAGACATTGGTATTTATGAATATTATCTAATTTTATTTATGTAAAAAGGCCTAAATTTTTTGTCCATAATATTAGTTTTGGTATAGTATTAGCGTGCTTGTATCTCAATCAATCACAGTATGATAAAGTGTAAGTATTACTGTAAATGAATACTTTGTTATCATATCTAATATACTATGGAATGTATTTACCAATAGTTATTACCTAATTTAAAAAATATATATATAATTATTTAAAATTTCTTTTAAATTGATATGATACTAAGAGGATTTTATAATCTGCAGTAGATACAATTTAAACTGTATTATAAGGACTTAAGCTAAATATCTAATAGCTTAAGTTTGGAGATAAATAATATGATAAAACGCAATAATATTCACTAAATATATTAATCTAATAATTGTTTAGAAGGCTCATGCTCATTATCCCTCCAAAAAAATCTGTTAATAAATAGTATCTTAGTTTAAATTAAAAAAACCTAACTAATCTGTACAAACATTATAAAATTCTTGAGATACATAAGCTGGATTTTACTCTTTTTAAAAAAGGTTTTCTAATTAATTAGATTAAAATAAATTTACTTACATTTTTGTAAACATTATAGATCACTATTTAACTGAGGTAGACTTAAAAAACTGAGAAACAAATAACATCACCAGTTTTCTGTGAAACTTAAACATCATTTACTATTTATCTTACTGAGAATTTGTAGTTGTATAAGTTATTTATTTAGCTTTAATGAAAAACGTGAAGCTGTCTTAATTCTGCAAAAAGTTCACTGATTTCTTAATTACTAATATAAGCTATCAAGGTTTTTGTACTTTGAATGTAGAATTGTTATCTAAAAAAATTTATTTAACTAGAATTAAATGCCTTTTTAATTTTTGATAGGCTATACTAATTAATGAATATTTAATTAAAAGAAATTTATACAAATTTTAAGCTTAAAAAAAAAACTAGATTAAAATTTTAAAAATCTTTGTTAATTTTTTGATGAAATAGATAAAATTTTATTATTTGAAACTATTTATTATTATACAATTACATAAGGGTTATAATAATATAAAATTAGATTTTTAAATAAACTTGTTTATCTAAAAAATAATAGAGGGTTTCCAATTTGCTGGAATTACCTATAGATCTTGTTTTTAAGAGAAAAAGCAGTCAAGAATTAAAGAGACTAACTAGGTGCTAATGTGTTCGTTATTTCAGTGACCTACTTATTTGAGCTAATTTTGAATACTTAAATTTCTGTTAAATTTTGACTAACAATTAGAATCAAAGTTTATATTTTGAAAAAATAATATTATTAAATATTTTTAAAAAACAATATTGAATAGAGGACAATTTATGAAGTAATTGATTTGATTAATGAAGGAGTATAACCAAATATTACTGAATAAAAATCTATTTTATTAATTTAGTAGAACGCCCAGATATTTTGAGTACTTAAATTTATCATTTAAAGAATGATCTATGACCAATAATATAAAAGTATATTCTTATTAAATGATTAATCATAATAGAAAATTGTATAAATTAAATACTTAGCTTTTAAAATTATTATCAAAAAAATGATCAATATATTATTGCTATCAACTCCACAGATTATCTGACGAGTTATCAACAACAAAAAATTGTAAGATTAGAAGTTGTATTAGACTATTTATCCTGTTTAAGTTAAAAAGTCATTTTCATTCCATCTAAATAATACATATTTGCTATTTATTAATTAAATTTAACATTTTATGATTAGAGTAGGCCAGATGAGATATAAAATGCGAAAATATTAGTATTCATACAAGATAATATGTTGTTTTGTGTTGGTTATTCTACTAGCTGCACACAATTTGTGATCAGTTATGAATTATTGAAACTTAAAATGTAAATAAATATAAATAAAATTATTTACAAATGCTATTTATGGGAATGTATAAAGCTTGAGGTATAAGCTAAGGAATTGGATTGACAATAACTTTGATATATTCATCAATCTAAAGCATATTTCTATTATCTTTTTTTTTTAATTTTTACTTTATGATAAAAAAATTAAAATATTCTATAAAATATAGAACTATTATAATCAATTATAAAAAACTAATAATTTTAATTATTTATTTTCATGGTGGTTTATTTGCATTTGATTATTTTTACTCAAAGCAATCAAGGTAAAATTCAAAATTTAAAAAAAATATTAATATCTATTTTTTTCGAAGCTTATTTAATTTATTTATAGCACTCAAAATATCATTTTTATGTAGAACTTAATTGTAATCATTCACATTTTTTTGCAAAATTTATTATTTTCCACTTGCACATAATTAGAAAAATATTGAAAAAGTAAATTTTAGTTTAAAATAAAATGAACTTTTTTAAATAATAATTTTAAAAATAGAATTGTAATGTAAATTCATAATTAATTCAGTAAATTAGCAATTAGAACTTTTACTTAATTAAAAAAAGGAATTCTGATAATATTTAAAATTATATTAACAGTTTTTTTTTATGAAGCTTCAATATTTTTAAAAACTGAGGTAGGTAAATTCTTTAAAAATATAACTTAAAAACTTATTAATATCTTCATAAAAACATTTTTTTCTAAACTTAAAATATGCCTTAAATAAAAAAGAATTTTAAAAGTATTTTATATAATCATTATTTGAAAGTTAAATTGATAATAATAAAAAATTAAATAATACAGTCAAATTATATAATACGAATTCAAAATATAGATGCTATAAATGTAGAAAAAAGAAAATATAATACAGAATGAATCTTATCATTTAAAAAATTAGAAAAAAGAAAATTAAATTAAAAACACTTAATCCTTTCATTTAAATTTATTAAGTTTTTAAAAATAAGGTATCAGATAGATGTTTAGATTTAAATCCATACAACCAAGTGAATTTAAAAGAAAATAAAAGTGTTTGGTACATATTTTACAAAAAGTCTTTTTATTTTCATTTAAGTTAATTATTCAAGGGTAAAAAAAGGTAAAACATAAATTATTGGCTTAAATTGAAATGTTTACCATTACTAATAGAAGGGCTAAAGAATTATGTTTTACCAACCATTTAAGATGCAGGAAAAAAAGATAACTAAGGGTTGATCTATAGATAAATGCATCTATTACAATATGGATGGATATAAGGAATAACTATTAGATTAAATGCTGCATTCATATACACACTCTCCATCAAGCAAATATTATACATCTAAGCAATTCAAAATGTATCCTTACTAGAGTAAAAAAAATGTAATGGTTTTAAGAAAATTAAATGATTAAATTACTTTATTTTGTGGATTCACAGAGTATCCAGATTAGCATTAATAGCATTCAGTAGGTGAGTAGCTTAAGAAAAATTAAGAAGACAGGAAATGCATTACATTTTTTAGTTTTTATATGATCCGCTTGGACAAGATTAGTTAGACACAATTATAACTATTTTGATCAAAATAAAATGGGTATTTACATCCAAGACACTCAAAATTTTTATCGCTAGAGCAATCTTAGCATGCTTAGTTACATTAACTAACATCAACTTATTGGCCAAAGGAAAGGAAAATCCTATTTAGTATTAAATGGGTAATTATCAAACCTTTCAAAATTTTTTTGATATATCTGTTTGTAATTTTTAGTTTTTTAGAAATATTATTTTAAAAAAATCGTTCTACTTTAAAGACATCATTTTAAATAGAATGAGAAAAATCAACAGTATTTCAAATTAAAATGTTGAGATTAT